AAGCTGGAAGAAAATAAGGAGGTTGAAGCAGTTGAAAAACCAGACTTCAGGAGAGGACATTATGGTGACCTTAGAAATTTTTTTAGTGAGTATAATTGGACAGACTTGATGCTAGGCAAGGAAGTGAATGAGATGTATGGCAAGTTTTGTGAAATATATGATAAAGGCACAAAAAAATTTATACCAAAACAGAGATGCAGGACCAGAAAACAGGATTGGTTCGACAGAAATTGTGAGAGGGCAAGAGACCAAAAGACACAAAAATGGAATCAGTATAGGAAGAGGCCAAACCCCCAAACATACCAGCGATACAAAGATGCGAGAAACAATTATACAGCAGTAAGGAGAGAGGCAGAAAGAAATTTTGAAAAAGGGATAGCAGATAAATGTAAAACAGAACCGGGCCTATTCTACAAATTCATAAACAACAAATTGCAGGTAAAGGATAATATCCAGAGGTTGGAAATGGGAAACAGATTCACAGAAAATGAAAAGGAAATGTGTGAAACATTAAATGAAAAGTTCCAAAGTGTGTTTGTACAAAATGAAATCTTCAGAGAACCAGACACAATAAGAATTCCAGAGAACAACATAGAGCGGATAGAGGTGTCTAGAGATGAAGTGGAAAATATGCTAAAGGAGCTCGGGAGGAACAAAGCAGCTGGCCCAGATGGCGTTTCACCATGGGTTCTGAGAGAATGTGCATCTGAGCTCAGCATTCCACTTCACCTGATCTTTCAGGCATCCCTGTGTACAGGAATCGTAGCAGACGTGTGGAAACAGGCTAACATAGTTCCAATCTACAAAAGTGGCAGCAGGGAAGACCCCCTCAATTATAGACCTGTATCATTGACAAGTGTAATAGTGAAAGTATTGGAAAAGCTAATCAAAACTAAATGGGTAGAACACCTGGAGAGAAATGATATAATATCAGACAGACAGTATGGTTTTCGATCAGGAAGATCCTGTGTATCGAATTTACTCAGTTTCTATGATCGGGCCACAGAGATATTACAGGAAAGAGATGGCTGGGTTGACTGCATCTATCTGGACCTAAAAAAGGCTTTCGACAGAGTTCCACATAAGAGGTTGTTCTGGAAACTGGAAAATATTGGAGGGGTGACAGGTAAGCTTCTATCATGGATGAAAAATTTTCTGACTGATAGAAAAATGAGGGCAGTAATCAGAGGCAATGTATCGGAATGGAGAAATGTCACAAGTGGAGTACCACAGGGTTCAGTTCTTGCACCAGTGATGTTTATTGTGTACATAAATGATCTACCAGTTGGTATACAGAATTATATGAACATGTTTGCTGATGATGCTAAGATAATAGGAAGGATAAGAAATTTAGATGATTGTCATGCCCTTCAAGAAGACCTGGACAAAATAAGTATATGGAGCACCACTTGGCAAATGGAATTTAATGTTAATAAATGTCATGTTATGGAATGTGGAATAGGAGAACATAGACCCCACACAACCTATATATTATGTGAGAAATCTTTAAAGAATTCTGATAAAGAAAGAGATCTAGGAGTGGTTCTAGATAGAAAACTATCACCTGAGGACCACATTAAGAATATTGTGCAAGGAGCCTATGCAATGCTTTCTAACTTCAGAATTGCATTTAAATACATGGATGGCGATATACTAAAGAAATTGTTCATGACTTTTGTTAGGCCAAAGCTAGAATATGCAGCTGTTGTGTGGTGCCCATATCTTAAGAAGCACATCAACAAACTGGAAAAGGTGCAAAGACATGCTACTAAGTGGCTCCCAGAACTGAAGGGCAAGAGCTACGAGGAGAGGTTAGAAGCATTAAATATGCCAAAACTAGAAGACAGAAGAAAAAGAGGTGATATGATCACTACGTAACAAAATAGTAACAGGAATTGATAAAATCGACAGGGAAGACTTCCTGAGACCTGGAACTTCAAGAACAAGAGGCCATAGATTTAAACTAGCTAAACACAGATGCCGAAGAAATATAAGAAAATTCACCTTCGCAAATAGAGTGGTAGACGGTTGGAACAAGTTAAGTGAGAAGGTGGTGGAGGCCAAGACCGTCAGTAGTTTCAAAGCGTTATATGACAAAGAGTGCTGGGAAGACGGGACACCACGAGCGTAGCTCTCATCCTGTAACTACACTTAGGTAATTACACTTAGGTAATTACACCGCAAGATCCAGAAAATGCCAATTGGCAGGGTAAGCCAGGAAACCAGGAACCCAAACCTGGCAAGCCAGGAAACCAGGAACCCAAACCTGGCAAGCCAGGAAACCAGGAACCCAAACCTGGCAAGCCAGGAAACCAGGAACCCAAACCTGGCAAGCCAGGAAACCAGGAACCGAAACCTGGCAAGCCAGGAAAGAACCAAACATAGGGGGTGGTGCAAAAGCAGGGAACTGAACATTGACAAAGTCCAACCTAGCCCCTCTACTCAGAGAGCGCCCCAGGAACATCAGAGACCCGAGACTGTTCAACATGCTTCCACGACACATAAAGGGCAAAACAAGCCGACCCCTCACAGTGACCAAGAGAGAACTGGATCAACACCTCCAAAAGTTACCTGATCAACCAGGCTGTACGTAATACATCAGGCTGTGCACAGCCATGTCGAACAGCCAGGGCGATCAGTCCAGCAATGAGGAGGCCTGGTCGACGAACCGGGCCGCAGGGATGCTAAGCCCTGGACACTGCAAGGTAACTGCACGGTAGCAGTAGGAGAGCCAAGAAGCACATACTAAACCACACAACAATGTGTAACGAGAGGGGCGAGGTAACATCAGAACTATTACATCCCCTGACAGTTAGCACAACACAAACAAGCATAAACTAACTTGTACAGGGCTTCTCACAGACGTCAAGTAAACTAACTTGTACAGGGCTTCTCATAGACGTCAAGTAAACTAACTTGTACAGGGCTTCTCACAGACGTCAAGTAAACTAACTTGTACAGGGCTTCTCACAGACGTCAAGTAAACTAACTTGTACAGGGCTTCTCACAGACGTCAAGTAAACTAACTTGTACAGGGCTTCTCACAGACGTCAAGTAAACTAACTTGTACAGGGCTTCTCACAGACGTCAAGCCCTGATGAGTAACTGACAAACAAAACAATCCAGCTATCCCCTCACATATTACCCCGCAGGTCAATCGACCTGAAGCGGATACAGGAGAACAAGCCATACGGACTAGAAAAACAGCCCCAGCACCAGCAGCGAGGGACACAAGCTTAGAAGGAAGATGAAGAATGAGGAAGACACAAGGTACAGTGCTGAAACAACCACTGGTGCCTGAGCACACGACCGCTGCTTATAGCATCAACCTCAGAACAGAGGTGGATTGCCGGCATAGGGGTCTGGGGCTTCCCCTTTCCCCTACCGGGGAAGGGAGAGCTGCACAGACAGCTGCAGACGACGTGTGATGTCATACTTGTTTGCCCGTTTCTATTAGGGAAGTTCTATCCACTTGTTCGGCTTTTCGTCGCAATTTTCACCAGCATAGTGGGTTTGTTTTGGGACGCCTACCTATCTGGGGTGCCTGACCCAGTCTATGGCAGACATAGAATGCTTCCAACCACATGGGGGTTTCTATAGCCCATTGTTCCTCGTGCCTCTTCTAAGGGGACCAGGTTCTAGCTCGTGGTCCCCGGTAGGCTCACAGAACTCCATACGCATGACTGATGCCAAAGTCTGACATTAGCATATCAGCCTGGAAAGATCCGGGGAGCCAACGGGGCTCCCCCCAGAAAATACCTGTATGGTGCTCCTATTAAGCGACACATTAAATTCTTAGATCAAACAATGTTTTTTCTTTTTATTACACTATATGATATATATATCATAATATATATAACTATCTTCATTTTTATTCTCTATAATGAACCACTAAGCTGGTATGGTGTGTCCAAACAGCATAGCCTACCACACACCAATCAGCCAATAACGTTACCTCAGTAAGACGCCTCCCAAAATGCTACGTACATTGCTAATTCTCAACACAATGCTGCTATTATCATAATCATGATCACTAAGTCCTGTAAGTGAATAATTTTCCACAAGTTTATTTTGTAAGGGAACATGAGCAGTCGTTTCATGATGCTTAGATGGACCAAACAATGGGAGAGTGCTGTGGCTACCTGTCAAGTGCTGTGAACATCAAGAACAGCATTGTGTTCACTAATAACTGAACATTGAACACACAGTTTTTATCAGTCAGGCTCTTCTCTAATACTATCATCGCTAAATAATAGCAGTTACATGTATCTTTTATTTATTTGGACATCATTTTTAAGCAATGCTGTAGTCACAAGCTGAACAGCCATACTGTTAGATCATGCATGTGCCAGCCTTGGTTGCTCACTCAGTACAGTACTGAGGCTTTCACACCCACAAATGGTGCCTACAATTAAAACAAAAATGTTATAAGTTTACTGGAGCTCTGAGGAAGCCGATGTGAGCCCCGTGTAGCCGTGGAACTTTTAAATCTTGTACAATAATCTACAACATATATATACTGTATGATATGCACCTTCCAGTCAGTCAGGCCAAAATCATATGTATACCATATATGCTGGCATATGAGTCAATATTTGAAGCCTAAAACACTCTCGCCAAAACCTGGGGTTGACTTGTCCGCCAAATACAGAATGTGAACCTTTACGACTGAGAGATAAATAAGTGAAATACATTATCAATGCCGGGCCTAACACTCATTGTGCACCACTTGCCATAAATCTCACAGCCCATCACAATTATTGAAACTCAGTGACACTCACTTTTAATAATGGATTTCATTACGAAGAAATCAATTTAAAAACAATTAGGAGAGTTTTTATGCATCAATTAGAAATAATGAAAAAGGCAAAAGCTAAACCACCACAAGTGCCCCCCTTTGATGGAAATACCTTTTATATACTGTATACTGTACATGTCCAAACTGTAATAATGTATATAATTATACCTAATGAGATCTTACAAATTGTCTACCAACATACCCATTGCAAGTTTTCTAAAGAAATTACTGAAAACATCTTTAGTTTCTGAGCTCAAACCACCAGCTAGAGACCAGATGAGTGAGAAGAGGAAGGCTGCTGTGGTCCAGATGGGGCCCACCTTAGCACTGTCCTTCATTGAGATAGACGAGTCTTGCAAGACATCCTGTATCAGTGTTGCAGTAAGCGGAAATACAGACCTGAAGAAAATGTGATAATGCATTCATACTCTTAGCAAACACATTACCTTTAAACATGAGGTACATTAATTGTTTCACTTTATAAAAAAAAAATAATTCTGTAGTAAAGCATAATGGATCTAACTCAGAAGTATACTTGAAGCATTTTGCACTCACGGCAGATCCACTTATACAGTCACTGCCCCCACATCCCCGACCCTAATACAGTACTGTAATTTATATTTTTGTCACATCTCAAAATATATACCAACTTGCATACTATTGCAGAAAAAAATTATGTCTCAATTTTTCTCATATTATTCTAATTTCCAGTTATCTGGACATCCAAACATATGAATTCATGAAGAAAATTGAGGTCACACTGTAATAGTGTGTACTGTACAGTACAATATTGAATTTTACCACTTTTTGCCTACCTGATGAGTGAAAGCTCGGTGATTGGCAACAAGAAATAACAGTGTTCCAGTAAGAATGCCAGGGATGGTGGGATGAGCCAATTGGCTAGATCTTTAAGGAGAGGGGAGTACTCTTCCCACCAAGTGTCATGAGCATGAACATGAAGCCAGGTGTGTAGCAGGGCAGTCCAGTTTACAGTGCCATCGCCCACAAATACCATACCACACCGAGACACACTGGCTGGAGAAGCCTGTAAATTACCAAAATAATCACAGCTGGACAAATTTAACAGTGTATTCCTCAATTAATAAATGATTGTTTTCCAACGTTTAGTTATCTCGAGGCTAATACATACTATTATTAAGTTAGACAATGAGAGATTACACAGGTTTAGGCTAATTATATTTCTAGTAGTTAATTAATCTCACTGGCTGGCAGCACTGCATGAAATATTACTACAGTGTATGCAAAAGAAATGTGATATGGTTTGCCCTCCCCCCCCCCAACCTCCAAACATATTTGGCTTTCTGGAGGTCACAGTTTTGAGCATACAGTATCAGGTTGCTCCAGATTCCATGTTGCAGCTCTTAGCATTGGCAGCAAGTGACACACAAAATAAATCTGCTATATATTGCACACATACATACATGTATATACCTTTTCATGTTAATTCAAGGATGGATTAAAATTCTCCACTGTCTCGCTAAGTCTACCTGGTGCCTGATCGGGCATTTTGAGAAGCTCCTCACTGCACAGATGAGGTCTTACTGGACCAGACTTGTTCAAACAGTACTCGATATAAAAATAATAATTCATTGTGTTGGGGAAAGGAAGCCAGAGTGCATTCATATGCGTTAGGCTTTTATCGAGGTCCCTTCCTCCGAGGTTGAGTTACTGACCCCGCCCAGGATGCAATTCCACAACAAGCTCACTAACTCCTGACTACCTACTCACTGCTAAGTGAACAGAGGCATTAGATGAAAGAAATGTGCGAAACATTTTTTGTCCTGCCCAGGATTCGAACCCGGAATTCTCGACTATGGGTCGAGAACGAACCCGATTGTACTACCGGGACCCTAAAATTTTCAGGGTCCTGGTAAAATATCTTATTTTAAGGTGGGGGAACCATATTCTAATTTCAGTTTGACAAACTGACACTGAAAATCTACAGGTTGAAGACACATTTACTTTCTAGAACAAGAAGTAACTTCAAACCTGTGACAAATCCAAGACTTCAAAGATGATAGCCATATCATTAGGAACAGGAAGAGTTTCACCAGATGGCAAACAAAGCTTGCGGGAATCATCGAGTGCAGTGTTCAGGTTTTCTACCCAAGAAGCATCAGCGGGACCATCCAGCAGCAGCCAGCATCGTTGTAACCTTCCATGCCTGTCATAAGTCAGGAAAAATGTTTCAGGAAAAATATCTTTCAAGCTTAAAAAATAAACGCTCATTAAAGAAATGGAAAACTCCATAATTTCAGGTGTAAAAGTTTGAAAACTACCACAGCAAACTTCTTCATAAAGAAATACTAGAAGGGGTATTGGGCTGTGTCCAAATGTCCTATCCCCTTCTCCACATCCTCTCCCATCCCCCATCAATCATCTCTCTCTTCCCCTATTCTCCCACTCAAAATTTGTTCCCCTCAAGATCTCCCTCTCCTCTCTTGCCTCCCCTTCCCTTCCCTGTTTCCCACATTTCACCCCAATTTCCCCCAACATCCACCCTCACTCCATCTCACACTTATCTCCCAATTTTCCCCTCTCTTGCCTCTTCACCTGTCTCCCCTTCTCACCTTCATTCTCTTTAAATATCACCCCTCTCCTCACCTTACTCCAAACATCTATCTCTGACCACATCTCTAAGATCTCTATAAATCTTGTTAGGATATCTGCCAGCAAGAAAAGTCTGCCTATTGAAGACAGAAGAGGTATCATAACATTGATGAAAATGCAAAATTCGTTTAGTAACGTTATCATGGCTGAGGTGTGAAAAAATCAACTGAGGAAAGTTGCACTGGCACTTACACTACTTTAGAAATAAATTAGTAAAGATTTTAGACCTCCTCCTCAGGAGAAAGTTCTGGTAGGAAGTAAAAAGAGATGATCAAGTTTTCAAGTCTAATTCAAGTTTTCAAGATTCAAGTTTTAATGAGTCTAATGATCAGGTAGTTTACAGAGATAAATCTGCTCTCAAGATAAGTGCTATACAAAATAAAGTTATTTTATATTATCGCCCAAGAAAAAAACAGCTTTGAATGTAATGAAACCCTATTTTCTGGGTGAGCCCTGGAGGCTCCCTGGAGCTTATCGGGCTAATGTACTTCATATTAGACCGGACATTAGCTATGGAGTTCAGACCTACCAGGGACCAGCGCCAGAACCTGGCCTCTTCAGAGATATTTCTGGGAGCAATGGCCCTGGAAAACCGTTTTGTCATTGGGGTTTTCCTTATCTGCCATCAACCGGGGTTAGGCACCCAGAAATGTAGGCATAGCAAAACAAAACAAACCACACATGGTAATAAACAAAAACAAAAAAACGAACAGAGATGTAAAAAATTCCTACAATCCCAAAGAAACAAGCAAACATCACACTTTACTGCCGTGCCGCTCGTCCTCGGAGACCTCCCCTCCCCGAGAAGGGGAGGAGGGACCCCAGAGCTCACCATGCCGGCTGCCTAGCACCAGTTTGGAAGGTAAGCTTCAACCAACGTGACAAAACCACTGACCAGTGGGAGGGAGGGTTGCCAGGGAGCCTCTGGGGCTCACCCAAAAAACCAGCGTTGAATGTAATGAAACGCCATTTTCTGGGTGAGACCCGGAGCTTTACCGGCTGATATGCTAATGTCAGACTTTGGCATCAGTCATGTGTATGGAGTTCTAGGGCCTACCGGGGACCACGAGCCAGAACCTGGCCCCCTCAGAGAGGCAAGGGGAGCAATGGCCTATAGAAACCCCCGTGTGGTTGGAAGCATTCTATGTCTGCCATCGACCGGGTCAAGCATCCAGAAAGGTAAGCATTCCAAAACAAACCCCTATTCTGGTGAAAATTGCTACCTAAAGCCGAACTAGTGGATAGAACTCTTCAACAGAAAACAAGGAAACTAGTATGACGTCATACGTCACCGCGCCGCTGTCTGCGCAGCTCCCCCCTCCCCGGGCGGGGGAAGGGGGAGCCCCAGACCTCCCACGCCGGCTATCCACCCATCAGTTCTGAGGCTGGATGTCAAAACACGCGAAAAACGCCGACTGGAGGGAGGGAGGGAAGGTTGCCGGGGAGCCTCCGGATCTCACCCAGAAAATGGCGTTTCATTACATTCAACGCTGGTTTTCTGGGGGGAGCCCCGTCGGCTCCCTGGAGCTAACTACCCACAGAGGAAGGTCAAAGGGACAGAACCGGGAGGCGGACACCACGCACCCCCCAAGGAGGCGAGACAACCGGCAGCAAACGCCAACCCAAGGCGCCACAGCCCCGAAAATCCCGGGAACAACACGAGAACCACGAGCAGCAAGGCCCCTGCACGAACACCAAAAATCCATGCCCGAAAGACTGCAAGGCCACGTCGCCCAGACGGCAGCGAGAGCAGCGAAACCACGAACGCCACAGGCATGAGGGAAGAACACTGGCAGCTTAGCCGCAAGAACACGGCTGACCACCCGGGACACTATCACCCGCGAACCAGGAAGAACAGAACCGGATCAACGCAAAACGCGCTCCGGACCCAAACGCCGTGGCACGCAAACAACAGCGGAGGGCCGCCACTGAACACACAAACGACACCCCCGGCCCGACCAACGAAGCACCAACAAACCCTGGACCCCTTCAGAATGCAGCAGCCCCACCCCGCGCCAGAAAAGATGGAGACTGCTGCCACCAAACAACCAAAACGCTAAAACCGAAGGAGCAAGGAAACTCCGAACCGACCCCCAGAGGCAAAGGCCCAAAGGAAAGAGCCGACGAAAAAACACACCAGAACCGAAGGGGCACTACCAACCGAGGAGAAGACAGAGCACGCTGACCAGAGACCAGGATGGTGCAAGCGGCGCATGAACAGGCCGGAGGTGAAACGACGCACAAGACAGCTGACTAACGGTGCAGAAGCAACACCAAGACCGAAAGCAAGCTGAAGCGGCTCCGCCTAACAGTATGTGGCAAGACGACGGCTAGAAAACCAAAAAAGCCCCGAACCTACAGACCACCGGATGCACTGAACCAGGGGAAAAGAAATGGCGAAGCAGCCAACACCCCCAAGTCCCAAAACGAACTACAACGGGGCAGCCCCGGGGCTCCCGGGGAGGAAACTACGAGAACGTTGCCACCACCAAGGCTCAAGTGCAACGCCCCTGCTGCCCGCACCCGCTGTGTTAGCACAACTGGGTAACCGAGCCACAACGAGCAACCAAACTCGCAGGACTCCAGGTCGAAGGTGTCACCGACCCCACAGGCAGCAGACGGAGGCAAAACAGAGAGTCACCCAGAGACAAAACGTGAGAGCAACCCTCAAACTCGCTGGAAGCGAGGGGGGGACTCTGGGGTCACATCCATCGGACCCGCGCGCCCCCAGGGGTTTCCGAGGGTCCCGAGCGTTTACTATAAGAGGACTCGCGCTCAGGTAATCCCAGGCAGGGTACTGCTAACCGGCACCCAAAGCTACCAAACAACTTTCTAAGAGCTGAACCCCCGGGACGTGTACACTCACGGGGACCTAGCAGGGGCACCACCAGAAAATACTCAGAACACAAGGGACACAAGGGGCAAGAACGAAGGCAGACCCCCCACCAGGTAGATAAACAAAAAGAAAAAGAAAACCCCGCAAGAGGACAGCGTACCCAAGCGGAACAGAGCCGGCCGCTATGATTGGTAAAGACAAGCTGCACAGTACCCTGCGCCCCACCAGTGCAAAAACTGCCCCTTACTCTAAGGCGAACAAGGGAGACAGAACACCCGAGCACACAAAGAGCGGCCGAAAACCAAGCAGTAAACGGCCAAGCAGGGGCAGGACCCAAGGAACTTGTGGAAGGTGGCCCCAAGCCCCAAGGGTAGTACTTACAGGGCACCTAGGGAAGGGGACCCTAGGCGCATGCAGCCCGAGTACTGAAGAATCACTCCCGGCTCACGCACCACCTAGAAAACAGACACCACACTCTAGGTACAGTGCTGAAACAACCACTGGAGCTGGAGCACATAACCATTGCCTATAGCATCAGCCGAAGAACTAATGGGTGGATAGCCGGCATGGGAGGTCTGGGGCTCCCCCTTCCCCCTCCCGGGGAGGGGGGAGCTGCGCAGACAGCGGCGCGGTGACGTACGACGTCATACTAGTTTCCTTGTTTTCTGTTGAAGAGTTCTATCCACTAGTTCGGCTTTAGGTAGCAATTTTCACCAGAATAGGGGTTTGTTTTGGAATGCTTACCTTTCTGGATGCTTGACCCGGTCGATGGCAGACATAGAATGCTTCCAACCACACGGGGGTTTCTATAGGCCATTGCTCCCCTTGCCTCTCTGAGGGGGCCAGGTTCTGGCTCGTGGTCCCCGGTAGGCCCTAGAACTCCATACACATGACTGATGCCAAAGTCTGACATTAGCATATCAGCCGGTAAAGCTCCGGGGAGCCAACGGGGCTCCCCCCAGAAATGGCACTTCATTACAATCAATGCTGGTTTTCTGTGGGGAGCCCCTACGGATCCCTGGAGCTACATACAAAAAGACAAGGAAAAAAGGGACTTACCCGGGAGGCGGCCGTCATAAACTCCTCAACGCGAAGTCGAGACAACTGACTGCAACCTGTGACCCAAAGCAACACAAGAACGCCCAGATGCAGGCATGTTCACCAAATAACGGGCAGCCAGGACCCTGTTCGATCTCCAAAATTCATGCGCCCGAATATGAGCCCAAGGCATGTTGCCGAACATGGCAGCCAAAGCTGCAGACTCCTAAACGTCATGGGTGTGAGGATAGACCACAGGCTGGATAGACTTAACCATGTGGACAACCTGGGAGACCCGAGCCCTGGAACAGGAAACGAGGGAAACCGGATCAACCCAAAGCGCATCCCCAGCCACCCCAGCAGAGGCGGGCAGGTAACAGCGAAGAGCCGCAACTGGACAAAACACATGATGCACCCCTGGCCGAACCAACCAAGCATCAATGACCCAAAAGACCCTCCGGAAAGCAGCCGTCTCATTCTTTGCCAGAAAAGACGGAGAAGGCTGCATGCAAACGTACAATCCTACCCCCAGGACCAAAAGAGCAGAAACCCCTGCTCCGGAGTAGAGCACGAAGCTCCCCTACCCGACCCCCAGAGGCCAATGCCAACAAAAACCGGGCCTTGGAAAAGCCATCTTGGACTGAAGGGGCCACCACAAACCGAGGAGAGGAAAGATAAGGGAGCACCCTTTCCAAGAACCAGGACGGCTCAGGCAGTGCATGAGTAGGCCGGAGGTGAAATATAGCACGAGAAAGCTTACGGAACAAGGCGGATGTGACGTCCACACCGAACGCAAGCTGGAGCGACTTCGCCAGCGCTGCACGATACGATGCGACAGTATTAGGCATCAAATGACCGTTCTGAAAAAGCCAAGAAAGAAAGGACTAGATAACCTGATCCGAAGGAGAAGACAACTTACGAAGAGCAAGAAAATGGTGAAAAAAATGCCAGGAAACTTCATACTGTCGCTGAGACAAAGCTCTCAGGTGGGACAACAGCAACGAAGCCACCTGATCACAATAGAAATAGTGATACACCCATGTCAAAAAGACCAGACGCGAAGAGCAGAGGAGAAGGTCAAACAAAACCCCGTACAGAACCGGTCTAACCTGCTGAAAAAGGAGGAGCCGCGGGAAACGTCCCGGGTTCGGACACCGGGCAAACAGCACCGGAAACCAAGGCATTGAGGACATTATCAGGTGAGGACATTTCCGGCCATCGAGGGGCCACAAGGACTACTCTCCCTGGGAAGGTCTCTAACTGAGCCAGAACCCGAAGCAACAGCTGGACGGGGAAAGAGGTACAGGTAACCCCACCTCGACCAATTTTGCCGAAAGGCATCCACCGCGAACGTCACTGACTGGGAGACGCCGAGACCACACCGACGCGAAAAGGTCTACGTCCGGGAGTCAGTACGTATGACAGATCCAATGAAACGAGTCGTCGTCGACTGTCCATTCCGTGGACAGGAGAGTGAAGCGAGACAGGCAATCTGCCAGGACATTGGACATTCCCCAGATATGAACTGCATGGAGAGCCAAACCCCAAGAATCCAGCAGACGAACCACTCGAAGGGACCAATCCCAAAGAGGCAAGGACCGAAGAGAACCCCTGCAGTTCAGGCAATGAACTACCGAAGAACAGTCCGAATGGAGCTGTATGGTTGAACCCCAAACAACCCGAACCCTCCGAAGCTCAAACCAGACTGCCGTGAACTCCCTAAACGTGCTGCGAGCCCGATGGAAGGATGGATCCCACCGTCCCTTGCTGGCCTGGAGAGCACTGGTCACAAAGCCCCAGCCGAGAGACGACGCGTCCGTGAACACATCGAGAGAAGGCTCAGGAAGGTGCCAAGGCACCAAACCCCAAAAACCCCGAAGAGGAAGTCGCCGATGCAGCAACTGAAACAAGGCTCCCGGAGGATGAACCCAACGATAACGAGAGAGGTGGAAATGGCGTCCTAGAAGGAACCAAAACAGATGTCGAAGCCAAACCCGACCTGGTGGGTAGACCAGCATGGTGAAGTTCAGACTCCCGTATAACTGCTTGAGCAACCGTCAAGTGACCCGAGATCAACTCAGAAACAGCCTACGGCGGGACCGCAGCAACGCCTCTGGAGGGAGAGACAAGGAAGCGGTTCGAGAATCCCAAACAAGACCCGGCCAAGTCCAAACCTGGAACGGAACAAGATGGGACTTCCTCCAGTTCACCAGGAACCCGAACCTGGTGAACAGGGAAAGAACCACATCCCTGACAATCAGACAAGCAGACCGACTGGGAGCCAACATCAGCCAGTCGTCTAGGTAGGCCATAATCCGAATCCCTAGCAAACGCAGATAGGTCACCACAACCCGGGTAAGACGTATGAAAACGCGAGGTGCCAGATTCAAGCCAAAAGGGAGGCAACGAAAGTGGTAAGCCTGACGCTCCACCACGAAACCTAACCAGTCCCTGAACACCTGATGAATAGGAACGTGCCAATAAGTGCCCTTGAGGTCCAGGGACACCATCTAGGCACCCGGCTCCAACAGAAGCCAGACCTGAGACAGAGTAGTCATCCGAAAGGAGGGGCAAGGAATCCAGGGGTTCAGATGGGACAAGTCCAGAATGAACCTCAGATCCACACAGTCCTGTTTCGGCATTGGAAACAGGCGGGAAACCCACCTGATAGATTGGGGTCGTTTCGACCATGCCCAAGCGCATTCACTCCAAGATGACTTGAGGAAACGCAGGAGAAGCAACCTGTCCTATCAGCCCCGAATCCCCAAACGGAGGACAAGTCGCCCAACTCCACTGCAGGCCAGATGACATGACCGAAAAGGCCCACAAATCAAAGGTGACAAAGGGTCAAAGGTGTCATTGATCCAACAGGCAGCATGACGGAGGCAAAACAGGCGACTGTCACCCAGAGACAAGGTCACACAGCAACCTTCAAACCCGCACAAGGAAGGCTGGAACTCGGGAGACGCATCCATGAGTCCACCGAGCCTCGACAGGGGTTTCCAGGGCCCATACAGTAACAACTACGGGAAGCCTGGACAAGGTGTTGCTAACCGGTTAAAAAACCCAAACAAACATGGGGTAGATAATAACACTGAAACCCCTGTGACGTGTACAAGCACGGGGGCATAGCAGAGGGCCACCAAAACAGTATCAGGGGAACTATAGGCCCACTAGGCAGAACCCCAACCAGGCAAACAAAACAAAAGAAAAACTTTGCAAAAGTACACCATCCACAGAGGCAAAAGTACACCATCCCCAGAGGCAAAAGAAACCGGTCGCCGTTAAGATAGCAGGAAGCGCAACACCTTGACACCCTAACCAGCACAGCACAAAGCAAACATCGCCCAGGAATTTGAGGCCAGAGAAGCCTCTGTCTCGGTTGTCATTAGCTTACGAACCGGTGCTAGGCAGCCGGCACGGTGAGGTCCGGGGAGCCCCCTCCCTCTCTCGGGGAGGGGAAGGCTGTGCGGACGATCGGCGCGGCAGTAAAGTGTGATGTTTGCTTGTTTACTTGTTTCCATGGAATTGTAGGGAGTTTCTACCTCTCTGTTCAGTTTTTTGTTTTAGTTTCTTACCATGTGGGGTTTGTTTTGTTATGCCTACCTTTCTGGGTGCCTAACCCCGGTCGATGACATAAGGAAAACCTCCAACCACAAGGGGGTTTTCGAAGGCTATTGCTCCCTGATACCTCTGTGAAGGGGCCAGGTTCTGGCGCTGGTCCCCTGGTAGGTCTGAATTCCATAGCTAATGTCCCCGTCTAATATAAAGTACATCAGCCTGATGAGCTCCAGGGAGCCGTAGGGGCTCCCCACAGAAAATAGTTTAAATATTAGTTCAATGTGTATGAAATCTTTTATATTAAAAAATCACTAAAATATAATAAAAATACAGTATATATAATTTTGAAACCTACAATATTTGTTTATAAAGTTATACAATACAGTATTTGCAAGGGATCCAGAGAGATATATTATCTGGATATATCCAAGAACATAAGAACAAAGGTAACTGCAGAAGGCCTATTGGCCCATACGAGGAATAAGAGGAATAAGAATAAATAAATAATAATAAATGGCCCATAAGAGATATATACTGTCCAGATTATCAAGGTCACCCTGCAACTACGATGTCATTAAAGAGAAAATCATTTGCAGCAATGAAGTAATTTGAACCAGCATTCTAGTGATTCCCAGACACTTGCCTTAACCCACTCGACCACAATATGACAAAAACTGCTCATGGCCAAATGGGTTAAGACTGGGAATCACTGGAATGCTGGTTCAAGTCACTTTATGACCCAAATGATTCTCTCATTGTTACATCACACCTTTGTGATTTCTTTGTGTAGCGTCATTTAAGATAAATAAGAATAAGACAAACCTAATAATTTGAGACATAAGGCCATCAAACCACTCGCGAGAAAGTGGGCTTAGGGAGCCAAGTAATTGTCCCTGTGCCAGTGTCTTTGGATTCAGGGTATTAATCATGATTGGCCGATCACTCTCCATCAAACTCAGGGCAGAGGACAGAATCTGCAACATAAAACCAATCACAGAAAATGAGTATTAAGCATAATGAAATGCCCATTTCTGGGCTTACATCATTAGCTACCCTAGCTTACATACTGGCAAATGAATGGCCACAAGACATCCAAACTCTCTTTTAAGAAATGTTTTTAGGGAAAGCACAAAACTACCAAAACAAAACTATGGTAAATACTAAACAAGTACATATATAGTGAATCCCCCCTTCCCAACCACCAGATGGCAGGAGGACTGCCTTAGCCCTGCTAAGAATCCATCCATCACTCTCAAGCCCTTTGCACCACCACTTGCATGTAATCCTTGCCGTCACAGTGGCTTCCAATCCATGACATCACAGTCGCTTGTAATCCATGTCATCACATTCACTAGTAATCCTTGCTGTCACAATCACTTGTAACACCTGCCATCATGAGTTGTTTCTAATCCCTGCCATCAGATATGCTTATAATCCCAGCCGCACAGTCACTCATAATTCCAACCATCACAGTCACTTGTAATCTCTGCCATCAAAATTACTTGCAATCATCCCTCATCAGAGTTACTTGTATTAATTTGTGTTAAAATCATGTTTAATCCCTGCTTTCACAGGCATGTGCAATCCCTGCTACCATGGTTTCTTATAATCCTGGGGCCAGATTCACGAAAGCACTTACGCAAGCACTTACGAACCTGTACATCTTTCCTCAATCTTTGACGACTTTGGTTACATTTATTAAACAGTTTACAAGCATGAAAACTTGCCATTCAACTGTTGTTATTGTTATAAACAGCCTCCTGGTGCTTCGGAGCTCATTAACTGTTTAATAATTGGAAACAAAGCCGCCAAAGATTGCGAAAAGATGTACAGGTTCGTAAGTGCTTGCGTAACTGCTTTCGTGAATCTGGACCCTGGTTGTTAGAGGCATTTACATTCCATGCATCTACAGTTACTTGTATTCCCCATCATCACTGCCACTTGCATTCCCAGCTGCCACTGTTTCTTGCATTCACTGCAGTTACAATCACTTCTATTCCCTATCACCTGTAAGTCCCTGAAATCCTTTAACCTTTATTATGGTTGTTTTGGCAGCACATGGGGGTCCCACAAGCATGACACCATGTCTTTCCTTCAGAGTCTCATTTAGCTGTAAGATCTTCAACACAAACTCATTAGTTATCAGCAGTCCATTGTCAGCACATGCCTGCAAAGACATCACCATTAAGAGGTACAGAATAATGTGGACATACTGTACATATACAATATACTATGCACCTGTTAATATATCTATGAATGCACATAAAACCAGCAACAAAAGTAGTGAAACACTAATTTCTGGGCGAGCCCCATTGGCTCATTGAAGCTATTATCACTGATAGTGTACCATCTATTAGGTCACATCAGCCACAAAGTTCTATAGGCCTACCGGGGACCAGAGCCAGAATCTGGCCAGCTCACAAAGGCGCAGGGAGCAGTGACATTTATGTATTTATGCCACTACTGGGAAAGGAACCCATAAAGTCAGCAGGTCATAACAAAATAAATAAATATTTTATTTATATATATATATATATATATATATATATATATATATATATATATATATATATAATATATATATATATATATATATATATATATATATATATATATATATATATATATATATATATATATTAATTATAGTGACATGAGGAGACAGTAATCCGTATGAGATGCTGAGCAAGAAAAAGCCAGAACAATAAAGAGAGCCCCACACTCAGGAACTGAAGAACAACTAGGAAGACAATACAGTGCCACAAATCCGCATGCTGTTGCAGTGGAAATCACAGGTAGGGACACCATTAACGAAGCCACCTGATCACTATAGAGATGGCAATAAACATGCATATGAAGGACCAGACACAAAGAGCAGATGTAGTCAAACCAGAGAAGTATGTCACGAGGCTGACCTCTGAAAGAGGCACAACCATGAAAAAACCAGCGTTGAATGTAATGAAATGTCAATTTCTGGGCTAGCCCCAGAGGCTTCCTAAAGCTATCATACACTGATTAGTGCCACACTACCAGGTGCCATCAGTCGCAGTGTTCTATTGCCCTACCGGAGACTACGAGCCACAACCTGGCTCCCTGTTGAGAGACGCAGGGAGCGATGGCCTATGAAAACTTCACATTTAAAACTTAATTATACTTGCCACTACTAATAAAAACCAACGAATGGACCTGGGGGAAAAAAAAAAAAAATGATAAATGCACCCCCCCCCCCATTTCCAGGGGGGTGCATTTTCAGTCCAGCTGAAAGGCTTCCACTGCGAAGGCCTCACAGTCACAGTCAGGGAAAGATGTAGCTGTAGCATGAGGGTAGATGATGAGACTATGCCAACACGAAGAAGTTTACAAACAGGTACTTGAACGTCCGGCAAGCCTGTAATTCGGAATGACAATCCAATCCGTGGAAGAAACAGAACTGGACAGAAAGTCGGCCAGGATGTTGGACACACACTGGATGTGAATGGCACCCTGAGAACTCAGCCAATGAACTATTAAAGTGATCAGCTCCAAGGCTATGGACTAAAGAACAGATCAAAGGAGGAAAATGTGAGGTGCCAAAAACAGCCCAAATGGGAAACACAGCAGCAGAAAACTTCGCCTCCCCACAGTGAAAGTGAACCAATCTCCGAACCCCGGTAGGGAATCCAGAGAACACTTAAGTGTGTGGCTCGAGAGAGAACGAGCCCGGGTCAACGGAGTCACCCAAAAAAAGGCAAGACAAGAACTGGTGCTGAAAACCCAGAATGGAAATAGGCCCAGGAGGCTCTGACTGCCCAGGTGAGACCGGCCCACTGGGCGAAGGGGTACAGACCGAACCATGATCTAAATAATCAACACTCCCAGATCAGAGTCCCTAAACACCAAACAAGGCAGTTGCGAGGCATTCAACCGGGCACACAACCCGGCATGATGCAAAACAGAAAACCTGCGAAGCAAAGTGACCATTGCTTGATACCTCTAGACTTCTACAGAAGAATGAGTGAGATGGAGCACATGAGGGGAAACAAATTCCACATGACTTGGGGCTGAAGATGTCACCAACCCAACAAACACCATGACAGAGGCAGAACATAAGAGTGTCACCCAGTAGCACAGGTAATGAATGCACAAATTTGCACAAGGTGAGAGCAGACTTGGAAGAGGCATCCATAGTACAACTGAGCCCACAGGGGTTTTCGAACGCCTGCATGGTGAATGAGTCCAACAGGAAGCCCAGACACTGGAGTCTGCTACGCAGCTAAACCCTGTCAACAGAGGCAACCAAACTGGCCGAAGTCAAAGGAAAAGCCAAGTGGGCAGCAAAGGGGGGTTCTACCGCACACATCCTAGGCTGGTCTAATATGGCAAAAGGCAGAACCCCCCCCCCCCCCCAAGCAAAAGAGGCAAGTGAAAACAGAACACCAATGACAAAATAGCCATAGAGCCCTCCTCCCCAATACTAAACCGCAGCAAATGAACAACTTCGGAGAAATCGACGCACCATGTGCTAACTTAATAACAGGTTGTGCAGACCACAGTGCACCCCACCAGCCAAAAACACTCCAACCCAAAGAAAGACAGTCACAGACCACCGGGCTTACCTTAAGGGCGAGGCCCACCTCTAGCAAGGAAGCTCCCTAAAGGGAGTGTTTCCTGAATGCCGCAGGGAAGACAACCCTGACAAGACAAGGGTAGTACTTACAAAGTGCACAGGGAATGAAACCATGAGCACATGCAACTCCAGTACACTAAACTCCTGGCTCATGCACACTTCTGTGTAAGAACGCAGCCTCAAAGGCAATGACACTATTCAAAAATGGAAAACCGGAGCCAGAGCAACGATGGCCACCACACCAGTCTAAAACTGAACGGTGTTGGGCCCAGCTGACTAGAGCTGGCTCCCTCCTACCCCTAGAGAGGGGGGAGGGGGTGGAGCGAACTAGCTTCAGGGAATCAACGGGACTTCCCACAGAAATTAACCAAATATTTAACAAGATATGATCTGATATCCACTTTCAGAGTATCATTTGTTGGACATCCACTGTGTAGAGCCTGTTATTAATAAATTTCATCGACATGCAAATTCATCTAAATAAGAATGCTGACCACTGAAAATATTTTAATTGTCTAACATTTGTGTGATCATAAAATATGTGTGCATAAAACAAAGAGTTAACTGTATTGTATTACAAAGATTATAATATTATTAGCAATAAAAATGATGGAAAGTTTCTTGGCATATTCCTAGACAAGAGACTCAACTTCAGTACCCACATACAACACATAACTAAGTCTCTAAAACAGTTGGTATACTCTCCAAAATCAGATATTATGTTCCTAACTCTGCTCTCATCTCTCTATATTATGCACTAATCTATCCCTATCTCAACTATGGTATCTGTGCATGGGGTTCAACCACTGCAAACCACCTCAAGTCCATCATCACCCAGCAAAAATCTGCTATCAGAATAATATCAAATTCTGCTTTCAGACAACACACAGCCCCCTTGTTTAACTCCCTAAACATGCTAAATATAATCTCACTCCACAAATTCTCTCGTGTCAACTACATTTACAAAACCCTGTTCTTAAATGCAAATCCTTGTCTGAAACTCTTCCTAGACAGATGTAATAGGACCCATTATCACCACACCAGAAATAAATATCTCTTCGATATCCCCAGAGTTAAACTTAATCTGTGTAAACACTCTATGCAAATAAAGGGACCCAGTTTATGGAACTCACTCCCTACTGAATTGAAAAGCTGTCCAACTTTTACATTATTCAAAATCAATACTAAAAAGTACCTAATTTCATCTTCATAGTTTTTCACTTTTTGCCTTAAAATTGCACTGTATCTATTGCTACCCAATCTCCCAACCTTTATGTTCCCAATTTGAACATCTTTACCATTGTGATCATTGCTGTCTTATATGTGCTGTCAATCTGCTGTATGGTGTTTATTAATCTTGTTTAAATTACTAATCAAGCTGTCAATGTAATCAATCAGAGCTTTAATATAACAATGTGCTTTAATATACTTATCTCTCTCATCTCATTTTTCTCTTGTAATGTATCTTTCATTTTTCAATTCTGATTGAAATTACCTACTTAAAATTATCGGCTAGATTAAGGACCTGCCCGAAACGCTGCGCGTACTAGTGGCTTTACAAGAGTGTAAATACTGTACTATCCAATGTATTCTCACAAACCCAATGTACCTTCTTGTATATATATAAATAAATAAATAAATAAATAAATATTTACATCACCTTACATAATATTTTGATAAATTTTCTAAGAAAATCTTATGGAAATGACATAATTAATATTTAATTTATATGCATCACTCTTTTTTTTAGAAAATATAGGAAATAATGTAATAACATGAAATAATAAGAACAGCTTTCAGATTTACTGTCAGAGAAAAACATGCCTTTTCAATACAATTAGTAAGACTGTCTGCCGGTGGTTTTGGTGTGGGTGGCAACTCTAGGAAAAAGTCTACCAGAATGTCTTCAAATCTATGAAAGTCTTCAGCCACCAGCTTAGGATGATTGACCTCTCTTAAGGCTCGGAGAACAACTTCAGTCTCAGACCACTCGGGAAATGAGATCCGCAGTCTTCCAGTGACCATCAGGACGGTTTTCACAGCTCGCATACCTTTGCCAGAAAAGTTTCCTTTTGATAATTAAACTGTACTACAGAATCAAACTGACAAGTTATAGCAAAAATCATATATAGTAATTTATTTTAAAAGCAAATATAATGCCAACACTATAAATAAATTGATGAGAATTTAATACAGTAAGTGTATACGCTCAGTAACAGATTAGTAGATACAAGATATATTTATGATTTTGAATTTGAGATAAAAATTAATAAGTACTGACCAAAGTCATAGTGGTGGTGAGGGTGAAGCATCTGCCGAGCATGATTCATAACGCTGACAACACGTGAAGCAAGGGCACGGGCATGCAAGAACCCACATGACATCAATGAAACCTCCGCAATGGAGTGGTAGTCTGCCATCATCATCGATACAGGTCGAAGTAGAAGCTGTTGACACAAACATTAACAAATATTGAATAATTGTTTTTATTTTGTTATTTATTTATTTATATTTACAAGAGTTGTTATATTCTTGTACAGTGACTAGCATGCATAGTGTTTCGGGCAGGTCCTTAATCCTAATTTTTCCCCAGAACCCACCAAATCATTTAATAACCCACCAAATCATTTAACAACCAGGTACCCATTCACTGCTAGGTGAACAGAGGCTACAGTTAAGGATTTGCACCCGGTCAATCCTTCCTGACCAGGATACGAACCCAGGCCAAAGCATTCACGAAAAGCTGGGCGAGTGTTTTACTACTGTGGCATGGGGACTGCGCCATTTAAATTTATGAAATTTAAATGCCTTTCATTCATTGATCACAATGTGACACTTCCATCTGTATTCACTGTTGCTATGCATAATTCTTCTCAATTATAAAACCAGTGTTGAATGTAATGAAATGCTTTTTCTGGGTGACACCTGAAGGCTTCCAAGAGCTATCCAGGCTGATATGATAGTGTCAGACTTTGGCATCAGTCTTGTGTATGGAGTTCTTTAGGCCTACCAGGGACCATGAGCCTGAACCTGGCTCCCTCAGAGAGGCACGAGGAGCAATGGCCAATAGAATCCCCCGTGTGGTTGGAAGCATTCTATGTCTGCTATCGACCAGGTCAGGCACCCAGAAAGGTAAGCATCCCAAAACAAACTCCTATTCTGGTTAAGAAATTGCTACTGTGAGCCTAACTAGTGGACAGAACTCCCAAAATAAAAACGAGCTAACGAGCATGACATCACCACGTCGCCGCGCCGCTGTCTGCTCAGCTAGCCCCCTCCCTGGGAGGGGGAAGGAGGAGCCCCAGACCCTTTGTGCCAGCAACCTAAGACCTCAGTTCTGAGGCTGGATAAAAAAAAAAAAAAAGACCCAACAGGCAGCAGACAGAGGTAAAAACAGTGAGAGTCACCCTGAGCCAAAGGGACAGAGCAATCCTCAAACTCGCACAAAGCAAAGGGGGACTCGGGGATCACATCCATCGGACCCATGTGCCCCCGTTGGGATTCCCAGGGTCCTGTGACGGAACTCATGCTCAGGGAAGCCCAGGCAGAGTACTGCTAACCGGCGCCTAAGTCTACCAAACTACTTTCTAAGAACTGAACCCCCGAGACGTGTACACTCACGGGGACCAAGAAGGGGGTACCACCGGAATAGAGAAAAATACTCGGTACACAGGGGAATATAACCAAGGAAGACCCCCACCCCCCACCCCCCACCAGGCAGTCAAACAAAAAGAAAACCCTGCAAGAGGACAGCGTATCCAGGCGGAACAGAGCCTCCTTTGCGAAGATACGCGAAGTAGGAAATCTCTGGAAAGACGGAGCCAAGGTACCCAAAGGAGCCCGGAACCGAACCTGGGGAGGAGCTGAACCTAAATCATACTCGTACAGGAAAAAGGGGTAAGAAAACCCATCCCCCTGCAACAATAAGCCCCGTGAGGAAGGCAAAACCACCCAATCTGGGTCAAAGGGAGCGCAAGGCCCCCAGGTCGACTCCTCCCCAGCCTCAAGATCCATTCCCCCCCGTCGGGACCCGGGGCAGACCCTGTCCTCCAAACCCTCTACTCCTGAATTAAAGGCAGACAAGTAGGGGGCCTGCTGGTGGGACCCATAAGTCTCGGCAGGAGGAACCGGCTCAAATGCCTCTGTCTCCACCCCGAATGGGGAAGCCCCTGAAGCCGCCCGAGTCTCATTACCAACTAAACCCGGTGCCGAATCCGAAACCCTCAGAAGATTGGAAGCCGCACACAGGGAGGAGGTGCAGCATGAACCAAAGGGGAAGGACCAGGGAGCGTGGAAGGAGCCAAATTCAAAGCGACTAATGCCCCCAGGTCCTGCTCCCGAAAACCAAAACGGGGCAGCCTCGGGGCATCCGGGTGGGAACCAATTTAGTGCGTTGCAGTAATCTAAGCCTAACATGCAACGCGGATGCTGCCTGTATCTAACAGCAACATCATCAGGATAAAACTGGAGCACTAGCAGAGAACACGACTTGCAAGACTCTGGGTCAAAAGTGTCGTTGACCCAACAGGCAGCATGATGGAGGCAAAACAGGTGACTGTCACCCTGAGACAAGGGCACACAGCAACCTTCAAACCCACACAAGGAAGGCTGGAACTCGGGAGATGCATCCATGGGTCCACCAAGCCCGGACAGGGGTTTCCAGGGCCCAAACAGTAACAACTACGGGAAGCCTGGGCAAGATGTTGCTAACCGGTTTAAAAACCCAAACTAACATGGGGTAGATGATAACACTGAAAACCCCTGGGATGTGTACAAGCACGGGGGCCTAGCAAAGGGCCACCAAAACAGTATCAGGGAAACTATAGGCCCACTAGGCAGAACCCCCCACTGTGGGGGAGCCGTAGGGGCTCCCCACAGAAAAAATAATTTTATACCTGGTTACAGAGCATCTAAAGGAAACTTTCTCAGAAATACCATTACTGTACAATATATAAAACTTGCCTTAAGATTGTCAGGGAGTGCAACACGACCCCGATACTGTGGGTTCATTGTCACAGCAATAAAACCTTTTGGGTTAAGAGCAAGAGGGTGCCCCCCTTCCATGCTGAAAGTGTCTTTGAACTCCCGTCTAGCACTTATCAATGTCAGGATTTGTTGGGCTGCTACACTTAATACTCCCACCTGTAATACAGTTAATATTAGTGGAGCACTGAAATCCTTAAAGTGCAACTATTATCAAAATTCCAATCATGACTAAACCAAGTTAATTTGCTTGTTTTTAATTTGCTTTTTATTATATCTTTATTTCCTGGAGCGCAGGCAGGAGAGATACATAATAATCTAGACTTGGAAAATATTAGAAGGACTGGTTACAAATCTGCACAAAGAAATAATAACATCAATGACCAGAGTGCATGGCAGGATGTGCCCAATTGCCCCCATTAAAAAGCAGAGGTACAATAGGCATGCTGAGAGCAACCCATCCTCAGCCTATGTTCATTCATCCAGTGGTCTAGCCCAAAGACACATTAATAAATTTAAACATGCTGTTCAATTCAAAATAGGAATTTTCTAAAAAACCAGCGTTGAATGTAATGAAACGCCATTTTCTGGGTGAGCCTCGGAGACTCCCTGGAGCTTATCGGGCTAATGTATGTTATATTAGACTGGGACATTAGCTAAGGAGTTCAGACCTACCAGGGACCAATGCCAGAACCAAGCCCCTTCGGAGAGGTTTTAAAGAAAACCAACACCCAAGCGTTCCCAGAGGAACAGAAGACAGGCAGAAAACACCAGAAAAGCCAAGAAACCCCCTGAAAGAGGTGAAAAACTCCCCCAAGACACTAGCTCATACACCCAGGAGCATGTAAACAAACCGCAACGCCGCCCTGGTGGCCACGTCGGGAAACCGACAGAAGAAAATGGGCACCAGAAACAGGGGGCCGTGACCGGCGCAATAGAGCCAAAAACACGCCAGCAAATGTGGGAAGCAAGCAGACTAGATGGACAAAAAACTCTGCCCAGAAGTAGAAAACCCAGGCAGGGGCAAACAGCCCCAGAACTGCTAGCAGGCATACCCCACAGCCCCGGGAATCCGCAACAGAGGCCCCGGAGCAGAGCTGTCCTCCACGCCCTCCGCCCTTAAAGAAAAGGAAGAGTCCAGGGGGAAAGGCAGCAAGAAAGGGTCGCTGTAAGACCCAAAAACCTTGGCAGGAGGAACAGGTTGGAAAACCTCCGTCCCCAACCTGAACGGGGCAGCCCCCGCCAGTCTCTCGGCCCTAACTAAACCCTGCCCCGACCCCAAAACCCGCAGTCGGTCAGGAGCCGGGAACAAGGAGGGAAAAGGGCGAACAGCACTTAACCAAAACGGGATGACCCTAAGGCATCCGAGTGGGAAACCAACCTAGAGCGTTGCAGGAACCTAAACCTAGCTTGCAACACGGATGCCGCCTGTACTCTGAACAGCAATAACATCAGGTGAGTACTGGAGAACAAGCAGAGAACAACTCGCAAGACTCCGGGTCAAGGTGTCAATGACCCAACAGGCAGCATGATGGAGGTATAAGTGGCGACTGTCACCCGGAGACAAGGGCACAGCAACCAATGAACCCACACAAGACGGGTTGGAACCCAGAAGACACATTCAATGATCCACCGAGGCCCAACAGGGTTTTTCAGGGCCCGTAGGCTGACTGCTACAGGAAGCCCGGGCAAGGTGTTGCTAACCGGTAAACACCCAAAACTAACAAGGGGTAGATGCCAACACTGAAAACCCCTGCGATGTGTACAATCACAGGGGCCTAGCAGAGGGCCACCAAACACTACCAGTGGAACTATAGCCACACTAGGTAGACCCCCATCAGGCAATTGAAAATAAAAAAAACAGGGACAAAAGTACACCGTCCCCAGAGGCAACAGGAACCGGTCGCCGCATAGGTGGCGGTGCGGCGAAACTTCATGGAGAAACTTTTCCTGTCACAATCTCCTGATGGAAGCTCCCAGGATGGACCGAGGCATCAGTCATTGAAAACTAGGTATGCTGTATATGATGGAATAAAAGTCAATCCAGCACATAGATCAACCCCTAAAATTTTGAGAATTCAGGTTTAGGCCTATATTCACTGAATAAGACGACTCCCCCAAAATAAGGCACCACTTTCCCTGTCCTACTGTATGGAAAGAAAAACTATGGTATCTCATAAGTATACACACTTGTTTAATGAATATTTACCACATCAGGTTAAGGTGGTAATATACACATGGAAAATACTGGAGGGACAGGTCCCAAATCTGCACAGTAAAATAACAACGTACTGGAGTGAACGACATGGAAGAAAATGCAGAATAGAACCAGTGAAGAGCAGAGGTGCCATGGGCACAATCAGAGAACACTGTATGAACATCAGAGGCCCACGGTTGTTCAACGTCCTACCAGCGAGCATCAGAAATATTACAGGAACAACCGTGGACATCTTCAAGAGGAAACTAGATTGTTTCCTTCAAGGAGTGCCGGACCAACCGGGCTGTGGTGGGTATGTAAGCCTGCGGGCCGCTCCAAGCAACAGCCTGGTGGACCAAACTCTCACAAGTCAAGTCTGGCCTCGGGCCGGGCTTGGGGAGTAAAAGAACTCTCAGAACCCCATCAACCAGGTATCAACCAGGTATCAACCAGGTATCAAGGTGTTAGAATTAGTTTTTTCAGCAGCCATGTCAACCTCTTACCTCTGCTAAACTATTGCCCAAGTTTCTTTTATTGGTATTACTCAAAGGTTACAACATGCACTTGGTAGCGCAAACACAATGATAAAAACTTTTCACAGAAATACTGGTAATATAGAATGATAATATCAAATGACAAATACTGCTGAAAGAATTTCCATAAACTCTTACCAGTAAGTTGTACCATATGATTGTATAAACAAAAAGATGTGCTTGCCATTCTTCATTTACTCAAATAAAATATTGAAATATACGCTAAATTATTGTAAAATATAAATGATAGTTCCTCCCCACGAACCCATAGTTCAACAACTAGCCGCTTAGTGTTGGTGGTGCAACTGGTATGCCGATCAGCTGTTGTACATGGGGAATTTGCAGGGCTGTTTTCTATTACTGTAACCCAGGGCTAAAGACCTGGGGCTAGGGGTTGGTCTGGGCGGCGAAAAGGTATCAGCGCTGGCGTTCGCCGACGACCTGGTTGTGGCAGCGGAAACGGCTGCCGGACTACAGACACTCATAACCAGTATTTGCCGCACGCTGCGCGGCTCTGGTCTCAAAGTAAACGCCGCAAAATGCCGGACGCTGAGCATAGCGATTGATGCGCATCGGAAGACATGGCATGTCCCCACCAGGAAGGCATATTATGTCGGAGACGATGCAATCGGTACTATGAGTGTGGCGGACGAGTACAAGTACTTAGGGATACTGATCGGAGCCGGGGGCAGACGCTTATCCTATGGTTCCCTGTTTGAGGACGGCCTGACCAACATCACCAAGGCGCCGCTCAAACCCCAACAGAGGTTATACCTACTAAAGCACCACCTAATCCCCAAAATGAACCACCGCCTTGTCCTCGGACACGTGGCTAAAACGGAGTTGGCGAGGTTGGACCGGCGGCTGCGACACGCCACTCGTGGCTGGCTGCGGCTGCCCCATGACACCCCCAACGCCTTTATCCACGCCGACGTCAAGGACGGTGGACTAGGGATACCCGACTTTGCCACATCGATCCGGCTACAAAAGAACAAGCGGCTCGGGGCGCTGACCGGATCAGCGGACCCAGTGGTGGTGGCAGCGGCTCTCCTACCCGCATTCCAAGCGAGAATGCGCCGGTGGGTAGACCCGGCCACGGCCGCTGGAACGCCATCCAGCAGGACGACCGAGTGCGCTAGAAGATGGAGGGCAAAACTGTACAGCATGGTCGACGGCGCCGGCCTCGCTTCCTCTTGTGAGGTCCCATCCTGTCACAAGTGGGTTGCGTCCGGCACCCGTTTGCTAAGCGGGGGAGATTTTGCCCACGCCGTCCAAATTAGGGCAAACGCTGTAGCCACGCCGTCTAGGGCGGCCAGGGGTAGACCCGAGGCTTCTGGTCTCTGTGACGCTTGTCGGAAACCAGGAACCCTGGGCCACATATCCCAGGCCTGCCATAAGACACACGGGGCTCGGGTGAAACGTCACGACGACATCACCCGGTTCGTAGCTGGCCGATTGCGGCAAAGAGGCTTTGAGGTGGAGCGTGAGGTCCGTATACCAGACGGAGGGACCTTCTGCAAGCCAGATATTATAGCTTGCAAAGGTGATGAGGCCTTCATATTAGACACCCAGGTCTCAGCTGATAACTTCCCACTCTCCCGTCCACATCAGAGCAAGTGCGACAAATACGGCACCCCCGAGATCCTGCAGAAGGTCCGGGAGTATACCGGTAAGCCTACAGTATCCGCCTCCTCAATAACCCTTAATTGGAGAGGTGGATGGTGCAAGGAGAGTGCGCGTGGTCTACAAGGTATGGGTCTCACCAAGAGCGATCTCGAGATTTGCTCCGTGAAGGCCCTGACCTGGACATATTCGATATACAGAATATGGTCCAAGGCCACGTCAAGGGGCAGGCCCCCCTAGCCCCGGGGTCACTGTGCACAGGGTGCATAAGGGTAACTATAGTCACGCTTAGGTAAACCGCAGCCAAGTCAGCTGGTAGCCAACTATCTAAGCAGTTTCGTCATCTGGAGTACCACTTCTCCTAATGGCGTCTCACAAGAGGGTGGATGACCTGGCAGAGCCCGCGAGTAGATAAGGCGGCGTCCGGAGGGACCCCATGCGCATACATGATAACCCTCCCGCTCCGGGGCCGAGTTAGGAGCATCCACTGTGTCTAGTTTTCCATGTATGCCGACGTCAAATCATCATCCCTGCCGACTGGGCAGCCTGCTGCTTTGGCCTTCAGCGTTTGTTTGTTCTTTTTACATGTTATACTGTGCACCCCTACCTATGTGTGCTGTGTCCCATATAGAAAAAACCAAATACAAAAGAATTTTCCATTAATATTTTTGTTTATTTTCAGGTTATTATTATGTATTATTAGTATCATCTTAACTCTTGTGGGTGTGATGAGATCTGCCATATATGTTTATTTTAGTTTGTGTGTGTTAGGGTATTAGGTATGCTTAGGGGTCCGTCTCGCCATGCCCTGTGGCTGGGGGGATCGGGCTCCGAAGCTACATAAAAACCCTATACCCCCCCGAAGTGGCAAGGGGAGTTAGGGGACAAAAAAAAAAAAAAATAGTATGTGTTAACCATTGTGGTGAAATTTGTTTTTCAGATAGTTTAGACAATTCTACGACACCACTTCTAAAACACTTTTAGTTGTGTGACGTGACGCAGTAGCGCAGCTATACTGGGCAGATGTAATGTGGCTCGCACCTCGCATTAATAAAAGAAGTGCTGCTTTGGCCCTTGCAGTGCACTGGATATAATGAACAATCAGATGAAACCTTAATGCAATTTACTCTTATATTAAATATGAACAAACACATGAAAAATAATATCTGAAACTATCTGTTCACATACACTTGGCTAGCACACGAGAAAGTATATAATAATAACAGTAAATTACATGAATGAACTTACGTTAATACAAAACAAAGGTGAAAAGAACTACAGTGGTGAGCGGGGTCAGGAGTACTTATACTCCTGCTGGTGACATCACATCTTCTGTCACTGAGGATTGGAATTGGAGGCCAGCAGCATAACTGCTAGTCACCCACAGATAACCAGAGCCAGCAGGAACACCTGCCTGGGGTTCTGGGGCTGGGTGGAGGGTGACGGTGGGTACTTTCCAGACATACGTCTGGGTTGGCTGGCATATAGGTGATATGTAGAGTGATATGTTATACTTATAGGTGATGTAACATGAAGGCAAGTAGAAAGAGGCAGTTTCCTCCGCCATGCTGAATTATGTGAGAGTTGCAACCGAGTTCTAACTCACATAGCTCACCAGCCAAACCTAATATTTACGAACCTATGATGATCTACCCTATGAGTTACGGCAAGTCACCCAGTCATTGATAATGGTAATAATTTCTACGTTAAATAGACTTACCAAACATGCACTCGTTTCACACACTTCACTGTGACCTCTACTCTTCACTAACCTCAAGTCTGTTGAACTCATCAAAGCAAGCCCAGCTTCCAGATGCAGCAACTCCAGTGAAGAACTTTCCCATGGCAATAAAATCCAAGTCATCAGAACAGTTGAATACAAGACAGTTCATGGCCAGTGACCGAGCCAAGTCCTGCAAAAGATTGATGCCTAATGAAATTGCTAACATTTTGTAATACATTTTTAACTATCAAATGCAATTTCCTATAAGCATTAACACAAAAAACAAGCATTGAATGTAATGAAATGCCTCTTTCTGGAGGTGCCCCAGTGGCTACCTGAAGCTATCTTGCTGAAAATCCTCTATACTAATATGTCACAGTTGTTGTAGAAGTTCTCTTTGGCCTACAAGGGAACAGAGTGAGAACCAGGCTCCCTCGCAGAAGCGCAGGGAACCTGGGAGTTATTACCAATCTGCCGGTAATAACGACCGGTTTGGGAGACCGGTATTTAGAGCCTCATAACGGTCTGGCGGTCGATATTACCGAAGGTTGGTATTGGGTTTGTTTTGGCATCAGGGAGGTCCTCACATGGCAAGCAGGCTGCCTACCTCTATCCTCCCTTCCCTCACCCTCACTGCACCTCTTTCCCCACTCCCTCACTCCTGCTTTCCCCCACTCCCTCACTTCCTACCTCCCCCCTCAAGACCCTTTCTGGGAAATGGCTCAGTAGATTGCCAGCCAGCCAGCGACAGCCTGGAGAATCTCCATCTAATACAATAAAGCATTCATGAAACAATTTAAAACTTTTTATTATCCTAATAATATTAGGAATATTCAAACCAGATGGAAAATTCTGGATGGAAAAACATCCAGAATTTAATTAAGAAACATCTGGTTAACTGGGTCAAGTTTGTTAGGCTTATCAGTGAGCCGGTCCCTTCCCCACCACTGACACACTTCCCCCCCCCACCCCCCATACTTCCCATACACACGCTGTCTCTGCTTCACCTCAAGTCAACATCCATCGCGCCATCCCTCTCTCCCTTCCTCCCTCAATCCATTTATCCATCAATCTCCATCCTATCATCCATCTCCATCCTCTCCCTCCCAGCCTACCACCCAGCCTCTGCCTGCCTCTCTCCCAAGCTCTGCCTGCCTGCCTGCCTCCTTGCCTCTCCCTCCCTGCTTCCCAAGCTCTGCCTGCCTGCCTCCTTGCCTCTCCCTCCCTGCCTCCCTCCCTCCCCAAGCTCTGCCTGCCTGCCTCCCTCCTTGCCTCTCCCTCCCTGCCTGCCTCCCTCCTTGCCTCTCCCTCCCTGCCTCCCTCCCAAGCTCTGCCTGCCTGCCTCCCTCCTTGCCTCCCCCTCCCTGCCTCCCTCCCAAGCACTGCCTGCCTGCCTCCCTCCCTGCCTACCTCCCAGCTTCTTCCTGCTTGCCTCCCTCCTTGCCTCTCCCTCCATACCTCCCTCCTTGCCTCTCCCCTCCCTGTCTCCCTCTCAAGCTCTGCCTGCCTCCCTCCTTGCCTCTCCCTCCCAAGCTCTGCCTGCCTGCCTGCCTGCCCATCCACCCACCAGTCAGCCATCACTGACACAACGAGTGCATTTGGAGACAACATGGTAAATGGATGTTCCTTGATTGTGCAGATATGTCCAACAGTCACGGAATGAATACTCCAGCCTCATGACAAATCAAAGCAATGTGCCTTGAATCTGTAACGTCACAGGATAGAAGGCACTAGAGTGGTGGACGCAGTGGCTGTCTGTACAAAATATATCTTACCTGAATGTTACTTGAAAAACTACCGACACTTAACTTCGGAAATACCGGAGCTCCAGAAATAACGACCAGGGTACAGCCCCATATAGGCCATTAAATCGAGTGGATATTGTATTTTGTCATCGTCTTTCTGTGGGGAGGGGAGCCCTGTCGGTTCCCCGGAGCTATCCAGGCTGATATGGATATGTATAACTTTCTGGCATCAGTTAATGTGCATGGAGTTCTTGCCTACCAGGGACCACGACCATAACCTGGCCCCCTCAGAGAGGGATGAGGAGCAATGGCCTGCAGAAACCCGTGTGGTTGGGAGCATTCTATGTCTGCCATCGACCGGATCTGACACCCAGAAAGGTAGGCGCCCTAAAACAAACCCCTATTCTGGTGAAACTATTGCTGCCAAAAGCCGAATGAGTGGACAGAACTTCCAAACGAAAATTAGCAAACAAGCATGACATCATGTTGCCGCGACGCTGTCTGCGCAAACCCTCCCTCCTCCCTCGGAGGGGGAGCCCCAGACTCCCACGCCTACGATCCACCCTTCAGTTCTTAGGCTGGATGTCATGATACGCAAAAACACCGCTGACTGAGAGGGAGGGAGGGATGCCAGGGAGCCTTCAGGACTCACCCAGAAAACGGCGTTTCATTACAGGGACGTTTCATAACTCCCCACTTCTGGGGGGAGCCTTGTCGGTTCCATGGAGCCAACTACCCAAAGACAAGGAAAAAACAGGGACTTACTCTGGCAGCGGTCATTCCTCACTCTTTAACATGAAGCCAAGACAACTGGCTACAACTGCCGACCCAATGCAATGCAGGCCCTATGAGGACCAGGGACATTGACAAGGTAGCGAGCGGCCAGGACCCTGTTCGACTTCCAAAAATCCTGTGCCCGAATGTCAACCCAAAACATGTTGCCAAAGACGGCAGCCAAAGCAGCAAACTTACGAACGTCATGGGCACGAGGATAGACCGCAGGCGGGCTAGCCTTAATAATCCTGCGGACGCCCTAGGAGACCCGAGCCCGGGAACAGAAGAAGGGAAATGGGATCAACCCAAAGCACATCCCCGGCCACTGAAGCCGTGGCTGGCAAATAACGGCGGAGAGCCGCAACCAGACACAAGACATGATGCACCCCCAGCCTGACCAACCAAGCATCACAACCATCAACAACCCAAGGACCTCTCCGGAAAGCAGCCATTTCATTCTTCGCCAGAAAAAAAGGAGACAGCTGCAACCAAACAAACCTACCACCAGGTCCAAATGAGCAGAAATCCCTGCGCCGGAGGAGAGCATGAAGCTCCATGACCCGACCCCCATAGGCCAATGCTAACAGGAAAAAGAGCCTTGGAAAACAATCCTGAACTGAAGGGGCCACCACAAACCAAGGAGAAGAGAGGAAAGAGAGCACCCAGTGCAAGGACCAGGAGCGTTTACGCGCTGCATGAGCAGGCCAGAGGTGAAAAAACACACGAGAAAACTTGCAGAACAGAGCAGACGTAACATCAATACCGAACGCGAGCTGGAGCAGCTCCACCAGCGCCGCACGATAGGAGGCGACAGTATTTGGCATAAGATGACGGTCCTGACACAACCACGATAGGAAAAGTCAAAACAACCCTATCAGAGACCGAAGTATACCAATGCAGTGATAGGATAAACCAGAAGGACCACCAGAAAACCTCATACTGCTGCCAAGACGAGGCATGCAGATGGGAGACGAGCAACGAAGCCACCTGCACCCCATACAAATGGTGATAAACTCGAGTCTGAAAGACAAGACGCAAAGACTCGAGGGAACCAGCCTCGTATCGGGCAGGACAAATCTTCTGAGAGGCGGAGCTGCGGGAAGACCGTCAGATTCAGACACCGAGCTAGCAGCACCTGAAACCAAGGCTGGGCTGGCCACCAAGCAGCCAAGAGGACTACTCTTCCCTGGTAAGTCTCCAAGCGGGCCAGAACTTGGAGCAACAGCTGATCCGGGGGAAAGAGGTACAGGTAACCTCACCTCACCCAGTCCTGCCTGAAGGCATTGACCCTGACTGCCTCACAGTTGGGGAAGGCCGCCACAAATACCAAAAGATGACGCAACCACGCCGACACAGGTGATATCCACTTCCGGAGGCCTGAAAGCCCGGCAGAGCCAACAGAACGAGTCGGTGTCAACCATTCATTCCGTGGACATAGAATGAATCAGGAAATCAGGACAGGCCATCTGCCAGGACATTGGACCCCCCCCCCCCCCCGAATGTGAACTGCCAGGAGAGCCAAATCCCGAGAACTCACCAGACGAATCACTCGCAGCGATCAGCGACCTTGGTTCGATGCCAAGGACCACCTCGAACCCCCGTGGTTCTGGTAATGAACAACCGGGAAACAGTCTAAATGGAGCCGGACCGTCGATCTGCGAGAGACCCGAATCCTATGGAGCAACATCCACACAGCCGCGAACTTCCACGCCATGCTGTGAGCTAGACAGAGGGATGGAACCCACTGCCCCTAGCCAGCCTAGTGAGCACTAGTCACAAAGCTTCAAACAGGAGACGACACGTTCGTGAACACATCGAGTGAGGGCTCGGGTAGACGCCAAGGCACTGAAGTCCAAAAAACCCAAGGAGGAAGCCGGCGACACAGTAACCGACGCAAGGCCCCTGGAGGCTGAACCCAGCGGTCGCGAGAGAGTCAGAAGGGGGATCCCCGAAAGAATCAGAACAGCTGACGAAGCCACACCTGACCTGGCGGGTAGACCATCATGGCAAATTTCAAACTCCCACACAAACCCTCGAGCAACCGCCACGCTACGCGGGAGCCCCTCAGAAACAAAGGCGGGAATGCAGACGAAGCAGAGCCACCGGAGGAAGAGACAAGGAAGCAGTCCAAGCATCCCACACAAGACCCAGCCAAGACCAAACCTTAGAAGGAACCCGATGGGACTTCTGCTAGTTCACCTAAAACCCAAACCCGGTGAGCTGGGAAAGAACGAAATCCCTGGCGAGCAGACACGCGGTCAGGATGGGAGCACAAACCAGGCAGTCGTCGATGTAGGCCAGAACCTGAACACTTAACAGATGCAGGCGGGCCACCACGACCCAAGTAAGGCGAGTGAAAATGCGAGGTGCCAGATTCAAGCCAAATGGAAGGCAACAAAAGCGGTACCTTGACGTCCCACCAGAAAACCGAGCCAGTCCCTGAACCGCGGATGAAACGGGACATGCCAAAACGCATCCTGGAGAACCAGGGACACCATCCAAATACCTGGCTCCAACAGAAATGGCCCTGGGACAGAGTAGTCATCTGAAAGGAGGGGCAATAAACCCATGGGTTCAGACAAGACAAGACTAGAATGAACCGGAGGTCCGCGCAGTCCCATTTCACGACCAGAAACAGGCGGGAGATCCACCTGAGGGATGAGGACGTTTTGACCATGCCCAAGCAAACCCACTCCAAGACGACTTGACAAGAGCGCAGAAGTGGCCTGCCCTGCCAGCCTTGAACTCCCAATGGAGGAGCCACTCAACACCACCACAAGCCCCACAAAAACAACCCGATAGGTCCATGAATCGTGGGACCAGGCGTGAGCAAACAGAGCAAGCCTCCCCCTGCCCCATCAATGGGACGAACCGTGAAAGGGCTGACGCACGTTACGAGCACCCAAACGGCACAAAGGGCGATCCCTGCACTGAACAGAAACAGACAGCACCGAAACTGACACCACTTGCCTACCACGAGAGAAAGAACCTCGAGCCCTGGCATGATCCCGCTGAGGTGCCCCCCCTATTGCTACTCGTGTCTCTCTTGAGTGGGGGGGGGGGTCAGGTTCTGGTTCATGGTCCCCGGTAGGCAAGAACTCCATGCACATTGACTGATGCCATAAAGTTATACATATCCTTCACCCTGAATAGCTCCGGGAAGCAAATGGGGCTCCCCCCCAGAAAAGAAGATAAACAATGAAGTTTTTAAAAAAAAACTCAAAATGACCCAAAGCAGTGCTGGGTGAGGACTAGTGACACCCAAGACATGACTCCAAGAATGGGGGAGAGATCGACTAACAATAATGCAATCCAAGGAAGACAACCCTTAAAACCCATGAATTATGGGACCAGGAGCTGATAAAATGAGCCAGATAACACCCAATGGCAGTGTCAATTGGGCAAACTTCAAAAGCACCAGAAAGAACCATAAGCAAGGGGAGCATTAGCAGGCACTCAGAGAAGGAGGATGCCAACACCTAGCTTTAAATAGTGGAGCATGCCAATGACATGTGGACCAGAGCACTACAGGTAGAACTTAATGCCATAACATCTGCAACAGAAATGCCTGTTTAGGGAAGTCAGATGTGGGCTGAGGTCAGACTGCCTGATGGTAGTGATCAGTACTAACTAGTTTTGAACATGACTGAGTGAATCATTTGTGGAGACTTTTCAAAGTTTTGTTTTCTGTGAACTTTCCAGATGTCTAAGGCTTTGCTGATTTTCTGGAGGCTTTTTCCTGTGGGGTGGTGAATTGTCACTCGCTCCCTGCGAGATGACACTTGCCCCTTGACGGTACTTGGCCCCCTCCTTGTGAGGGGGGCCAAGTTCTAGCTCTGGTCTCCTGTAGGCCATACTGAAGTCACAAAGGTTCAGTGAGTCACTGGGAAGCTCTTTCCAGAAATACTGGATTTCTTGTACATACCTTGACTGTTTCTGTCTTTCCAGTGCCAGCAGGCCCTTCTGGTGCTCCTCCCAGATGTGCTTGGTAGGCCGTAACCAGGGCATGTTGAGCACGGCAAGTGAGGGGAGTTACCACCAAGCGGCCCTCTGCTCCAATGTATTCCCAACCCCAAGGCAGAGAACAGTAAAGCATCCTTGCTTCTATTTCATCTTCATTTAGATAGCACCTGGCACAAAAGATTAATGTACTGTAATGTCACAAGTTAATAATTTATGCCATGTGAATTTTTTGTTGTATTAATAGGTGTCATTTAAATCTAGTGCCAAGAAATGTCCATTTTTTGTGGTAGCCAAGTGGTTCTACTGTGTGAGGAGCTAAGCTCTTATACAAAGTTTGAGAAGCTAAGTGCATGGCTTCTGGGTTGCACTACAGAGTGCAACCCAGCCTCCTAAAATGATAATATATATATATAGCAATAATTTGGTTAAACATACAAAAATGGACTGTTGCAGCCAACAATTTTTACATTTTGTACTATTAATTTTGTAGAAGGCACAAAAAAAAAATTAAATATTCTTAGGTCTACTTTAAGAAAGAGCACCCATTCCTCAAACATGACCACCCGTCCCTCAAAAAACCAGTGTTGAATGTAATGAAACGCCATTTTCTGGGTGAGTCCCAGAGGCTCCTCCGGAGCTATCCAGGCTGATATGCTAATGTCAGAATTTGGCCTCAGTCGAATCCCCACAAGACAAGGACAAGACCACACCAACAAAATACAGCAAACCTAAGAAGGGACAGAAAGAAAAAGGAATGACCTCCAAAAAACCTCCAAAACCCCCGCGCCCAAATATAGGCCCAAGACATGATAGCAAACTTCCATCAAAGTGGACTATTTACAGACATCATGGGCATGAGGGTAGATCGCAGTCTGGCTAGACTTAATTATACTGTGGACGACCTGAGAAACTCAAGCCCTGAAACAAGGAATCAGGGAAACTGGATCAATCCATAATGAATCCACCGAAGCAGAACTGGTGGCACGAAGGTAGCAGCAAAAAGCCACCACCAGACAAAGTGCATGATGCAACCCCAACCAAACCAGCGGGCATCTGGAAGTCTGCCGATTCATTCTTCACCAGAAAACAAGATCTGTAATAACGATGTCCAAATAATGGCTGCAACCGAACAGAGCACCCACGAGGGCCAAAGGAACAAAATCCCCGGTGCCTAAGAAGAGCATAAAGATCAACCCGATAACTGTAGGCCTTAAAAAAGTAAAACACCACTTTCAACAAAAAATCCTTGACTGAGGGAGGCCACTGTAAAACAAGCAGAAGAGAAATGAATGAAACCAGTCCAGAGACCAGGCATGCTTATGTGGCGCATGAGCAGGCTGGAGGCAAAACAAGGTGTGAGAAAGCTTGTGAAATGGGGCCAAAGAATAATCAACCCCAAATGCAAGCTGGATCAGCTCTGTCGATGCTGCACAATAAGAGGCGACAGTATTCAGCATGAGATTCCAATCAAGAAACTGCCAAGAAACAAAGTACAAAACAACCTGCTCAGAACCTGAAGAGGAACGGTAAAGAAAGAAAATAGAAAAAAGACCACCAAAAAAACTCATACTGTCGCCGGGAAGAAGACCGAAGTTGGGACCCCACTAATCTAGCCATCTGATCACCATACCAACTGCGATAAAGATGAAACAAAAAGTCCAAACACATACAGTAGAAGAGAAGGTCGAACCAGCAAGGTACGTTACTCGCCCAATCCTCTGAAAGAGGTGGAGGTGCTGAAAGATGTTCAAAAAGCATCCATTGCAAAGGCTTCGCAGTTGGGAACTGGCACCATGTAAAGAGGCATATGCCAAGAGGTTGACGTCTGAGTGCCTGAATGTACAGCAAAGCCAGAGCAAAGAAGCGGCATTGACAGTCCATTCCATGGAAGAAGGCACCAGAACAGACCATTGGCCAGGATGTTGGACACTTCCTAGACATGAATAGCACAGAGATGCAAACCCGAGAACTCGGCAGACGAGCTACTCGAAGTGACCAGCCCAAAAGAGCTACCAACTAAAGACACCCCCCTCCCCCATTGAGAATGAATCACTGAGGAAAAGTCCGAATGGAGCTAGATCACCAAGCCCAAAGTAATCTGAACTCTCCGCAGTGCCTGGAACACAGCCGCAAACTCTGGCGCCAAACTGTATGACCGACAAAGGGAAGGGCACCATCGCCCCTTGCTGGACTGGTAAACACTGATCACAAAGCCCCCAACTGTCAGCCAAGGTGTCTGTGAACACATCGAGCCAGGGACCCTAACCCCCAAAACACTCTTAGAGGAAGCAAGCAATGCAGCAGATGGCACAGCGCTACCCGAGTCTGCACCCAACGATTATGAGAGCGGCGAAAGGGGCTGCCCCAAAGGAACCAGAACAGCCTCCAAAACCAAAGCCTGCCCAACAGGTAAACCAAAAGGGCAAAGTTCAGACTCCTGCACAGCTACTCAAGCAACTGCCGAATCATCCATCCCATCAACACCAGCAGATGGTAGTGCTGCAGCAAGGCCAAAGGACAATCCGAAGTTAGGCCCAACCAGGTTTGAATCTGGGACGGAACCAACTGGAACTTCCACCAGGTCACCAGGAACCTGAATCTGGTGAGCTGGGAAAGAACCAGATTCCTGGCCAGCAGACAAGCATACCTGCTGTTGTGCACACAACAGCCAGTCGTTGAGGTAGGCCAAAACCCAAAAATATAATGTATCTTTGTCATCATATCTTCAGTCACGTTATTGTGACTCATTGCCTGCAAAGAAAAGGTGATGTATCAGCTACCCTGCACCTGGGTTTACCCAAGATGAACTATGACAGGGTCACTAAAATAAGACAAAAGAAAGGATGGGTAGATGCATTTTCTTAGAATGCCAGAAAGCTTTTGACACAGTTCCTCATGAAAGACTGATAAACATGATGAAGAGACGAGCAGAAATAACCGGAATGGCACTGGACTAGGTATGGGAGTAGTTGCCAAACAGTAATCAAAGGGTCATACTTGGGAGGATACGTCAGGCTAGAGAGGGATATGAAGTGGTGTTCCACAATGGTCCAAGGACCATTGCTCTTTTTAATTTATGTAAATGACCTTGCAGAGGAAGTGAATTCATACATGTCAATGTTTGCATTGACTGAGGAAGGGTTCACTGAAAACAGAATTGTACTGAAGCCTCAGTATTTCACTCATTTCCTTGCTGTCATCTCTGAAAGTTCCATCACCTTTGCACACAAGGGCCCAATGCTGGATGTAGTTTTCCTTCTTGTTTTTACATACAAGAAATATTTTGGTTCCTCTCAATTTCACTTATGGCCTTTTCCTCTCTCTGCCTCTCTTGGATTTTATATGATTCTTTCAGCTTGAGCTCGATCATTTCTATTTCCCTACAAAGCCTTCCTTATCGTTGTTGGGATAGAGTGGAGCATTTGAGGTGTTCTACTATTTGTTTTCTTCACCTCTAGAGGGAGTGCCATTCCCTTTTTAGTTTGCACCTCTCTCTCATTTCTTAATGATAAGAAATAAGATAAGATACATGTATTTAACTATAACATACAGGGAAGGCAATTACCAGAAACAAGAAGGGAATAAGACCTGAGAAGAGACATAATTCCAACATTAACACAAGATCAATGGGACAAGAGTAGCATCAGCAGCATATGGGAAATTGGCAACATAAGTATCATTCAAGAATCTAAACCAACCATTTTGTATGGCTTTTGAGTCTATACACAATGCCTATGAAAGACCTTTACGTAGCACCAGCACAGAACCCACAGAATAGGGGGGCCTCGTAGCCTGGTGGATAGCGCGCAGGATTCGTAATTCTGTGGCGCGGGTTCGATTCCCGCACGAGGCAGAAACAAATGGGCAAAGTTTCTTTCACCCTGAATGCCCCTGTTACCTAGCAGTAAATAGGTACCTGGGAGTTAGTCAGCTGTCACGGGCTGCTTCCTGGGGGGTGTGTGTGTGTGTGTGGTGTGAGAAAAAAAAAAAAAAAAAAAAAAAAAAAAAAAAAAAGTAGTTAGTAAACAGTTGATTGACAGTTGAGAGGCGGGCCGAAAGAGCAAAGCTCAACCCCCGTAAAAACACAACTAGTAAACACACCTAGTGAAGTATAAAGAGAAACTTGAGAAAGTTCAGAGGTTTGCAATTAGATTAGTACCAAAATTGAGAGGCCTCAGTTATCAGGACAGGTTGAGGGGGAACTCACCCTTCACAACCTTAGAGAAAAGAAAAACACATACAAGATCCCGAGGGGAGTAAACAAAGTTGACAAAGGAAGCCTATTTAAAATGGGGTAAGGCAAGGGGACATCAGTGGAAGCTGGACACACAACAGAGTCAAAGACATATAAGGCAGTTCTCTTTCCCTGAATGGGTGGTCGGTAGGGGAAATGCACTGAAAAAAGAAGTTGAAGCCAATTCCAACCACAGCTTTAAGAAAAAATATAATGAAAATGTTAATGCTGAGAGAAGTAATTAGCATGCCAGGTATCAATGGCCAGGAGGTGGGGGATGGGTGAGGGAGGAGAGGGGAATGTTATAAAAGCTAGATCTCTCTCTAACCCATAGTCACTGATAGGTAAGAGAAGGCTTCTCCAGAAAAGATAACAGGCATAAATTTAGCACGAATAATTTCAACTGATCAAGCATAAATAAACTATTGGAAAAAATACTTTAGTTAGAAATAATTAGTTTACCTGAGCTGAGCAAGCCAAGCAAATGATTCCTCATCACAAACAGCTCGACTGAGCAGGTCAATGAGAATGTCTCTTGCATATACCGTAACCACTATGAGGGTGGAGAGTGAATGACGAGATGGATTAGGAGGAATAGCGGAGGTTGTGCTCACTCTGGATGATGCTGGGGTTGAAGGGGTGCCAGGAGTCTCTGGAGAATGAGGTGTACTGACAGATTGCCTACTGCTGTCTAGATCACTTTTTCTAAGCATGGAAATAAGAGTCCGAACTTCACTCTGTAATGTTAAATTAAAATCAAATTTTACATTAAACCTTCTTTATATAGAAAATGGGAAATGCCATACCAGACTACTAAAGTTTGTGAATTATGTATAATGTACATCAGCTGATTTTTTCTTACAATACTATTGGTTCTCAAATAGTAGTTTCATTTAATATTCAGTACAGCCTTCACTGGGGTTCTAGAGCCAATTACACCAGGTGTGCATGTGTCAAAGCAATATTTCTGATCGCAAACAAATGCTTTTAATATAATATAATGGAAAACTGAAAGGACAATGAAAGTTTACATTCAAAATGAAGAAAACTGCTAGTTACATATAGGAGTTTCATGCAATCCACTTTCTTACTTACCTGTAGCTATATATTTATATGACAGTTTAATCTTTGATTGAACTTCATCAGCTAAACACTATTTACAATTGTATATAGTACTACGACAGTTGAATATAAACCATAGGTACTGTCCCCAGAAAACTTTAAGGATGTCAAGGTAAAAACATTAGGAAGGGGTCAAGTTATAATGTATTCAATGGGGGATCACTCATTTTATTAAAATAAGATTACTCATTATGATGAATAATTTTAGTCAGTAAATTTTATACATGCATATGATGAAGTTCTTTTAGCAGAGACTAAGAAATTAGGAGACTAATAAAAAATCAGCGTTGAATGTAATGAAACGCCATTTTCTTGGTGAGCCCCAGAGACTCCCTGGAGCTATCGGACTGATATACACTATATTAGTCTGGGGCATCAGCCAATTGGAGTTTTGCCTGCCCAAAACCTGCCCCGAATCAAGAGAGGCATAGGGAGCAATGGCCTATGGAAACCCCCATGTGTTTGGGAGCATTCCATGTCTGTCATCGACTGAAGTTAGGCACCCATAGAGGTAGGCATAACAAATCAATCCCCACCTGGTAAGAAATTGCAACCGAAGACCGAACAGAGACAGAACTCCACCAAAAACACAAGGAAACAAGCAAACGTCATTCACTGCTGCTTGTCTGCACACTGCTCCCCTCCCCAGGAGTGGGAGGAGATCTCCGGGATCCCCCGCGCCAGCTACTCTCACCTCCAATTCGTTGGCTGAGCCAATTCGGAGCCTCTAGGGCTCACCCATAAAATGGCGTTCCATTACATTCACGCTGGGTTTCTGTGGGAGAGCCCCTCTGGCTCCCTGGAGCTACCTAACCAAAGACAAGTACAGTAAAAGAGGGACTTACCCAGGAGGCGGCCGCCACGCACACATTAACTCGAAGTCGAGACAAGTGGCTGCAACCTGCGACCCATCTGCCACACACGAACGACCGGGACCAGAAATATTGACTAGATAAAGGGCAGCCAGGACCCTTTATTCCTTGATTCGAGCGTGTGGGTCTGAAAACCCATGCCTTGCACCCTGCGAAAAGGGCAGTCTACAAGCAAGGATGACTCCGGAACCTCATAATGCACCCAATACATGGAAGAAGAACAGTACTCCAATAAGGACGGATCCATCACAGAGGCATAATCTATGTCATGCAGGAGGTAAGCCGCAATAGCCTCCCTAACCTCCTTAGGCGAGAGTCGAGAGAGAGAAAACCGTGGGAAAGGGAACTCGGAACCGAACCCGGGAAGGAGCCGACGCCAAATCATATTCATACAAGGAAGTGGGTTGAGAAAACCCCTCCCCCTGAAACAATAAACGCCGCAAAGATTGTACCAAAACCCAAACAGGATCAAAAGGAGGCCCAAGCCCCCCAGGTCAACTCTCCAGCCCCAGGAGCCTCCAAACTACGTCCTGGGGCAGAGCCATTCTCCACCCCTGAAGAAAAGGCAGAGTCCAGTGGAAAGGCAGAAAAAAGAGGGTCTGCTGGAAGGACCCTGATTTCTCGGCAGGAGGAGCAGGTTCAAATGCCTCCGTCTCTGACTTGAATGGGGCAGCCCCCGAAACCGCCCAAGCCTCAACATCAATTAAACCCTGCCCCAACACCGATACCTTCAGACGTTTGGGAGCCAGGAGCAGGAGGGTGGGGAGCAGGGAGGTGGGGAGCAGGACGAACAACGCCAACCAGGGAAGGACTTGCGGGCACAGACTGAACCAAAGTGACTAACGGCCCCAAGTCCAGGTCCCAATAACCAAAACAGGGCAGCCTCAGAGCATTTGAGTGAGCAACCAACCTAGCACGTTGCAGCAACATAACCCGAACATGCAACATGGATGCCGCCTGAACCCGAACCTCAGTGACAGGGCAGCCTCAGAGCATTTGAGTGAGCAACCAACCTAGCTCACCTAGCTCAACCTAGCTTTTACCCTAGAGTGGGTAAAATGGAGCACGAGCAGAGAACACGTCTCACAAGATTCTGGGTCAAAGTTGTTGTTGACCCAACATGCAGCATGATGGAGGCAAGACAGGTGACTGTCACCCTGAGACAAGGGGCACAGAGCAACCTTCAAACTCACACAGGGTGAGGTGGAACTCAGAAGACACTCATAGGTCAACTGAGCCCCAACGGGGGCTTTCCAGGGCCTGTAGGCTGTCTGCTACGGAAAGCCCAGATAAGATACTGCTCAGCCGGTTAAACCCAAAAGCTGACAAAAGAGGATGAGCTATGAACTGGACTTCTGTGATGTGTAGATGTGTACAAGCACAGGGGCCTAGAGGAGGGATACCAATATACTCTATGTGAACTAAATAGCCAAACAAGGCAGACCCCCGTCCCAACAAGAAAAACAAAAAATAAAATAAAAACCCTGCAAAAGCACAATGCCACCAGAAGGAACAGGAACACGGCCATCACTTAGGTAAGCGAGCAGCACAGCACCTTGCGCCCCAACCAGCAAAAACACCACTTCCTACCTAAGGCTAAACAAAGGCCACAAAACCCCAGCTGGCCCCAAGGGTGGGGTAAATGCTGAGCAGCAAGAACCCCAACAGAAGTGGAATCTTGAAGGCTCTATGGAAGGTAATCCTAGAACCCAAGGGTAGTACTTACAGGAAGCTTAGAGAAGGTTGTCCTAAGCATATGCAGCCCCAGTACATTTAAGTTTCTCCTAGCCACCACACCACAAAGAGCAGGAAATACCACTAAGGCACATATCGGCCAAGAAATTGAGGCCAGAGTTGACGACTGCCCCAGCTCACTGGCTACTCACACCTACAAACTGGAGGTGTGAGTAGCCAGCGAGGTGAGGGGGAGGGGTGGGGTTGGGTCCCCCATCCCCCTCCGGGAAGTGGAGGGCTGCGCGATAAAGTGGCCGGCAGCAGTTAATGACATTTGCTTGTTTCCTAATGATTTATTGTTGGGGGAGTTCTGTCTCTCTGTTCAGTCCTTGGTTGCAATTTCTTACCAAGTGGGGTTTGTTTTGTTATGCCTACCTTTCTGGGTGCCTAACCCCAGTCGATGGCAGATAAGGAAAAAAAACGAACCACAAGAGAGTTTTCCAGGGCCATTGCTCCCTGAAACCTCTCTGAAGGGGCCAGGTTCTGGCCCTGATCCCTGGTAGGTCTGAACTCCATAGCTAATGTCCCAGTCTAATATAACATACATTAGCCCGATAAGCTCCAGGGAGCCATAGGGGATCCCCACAGAAAAAGGAATAGACAACTGCAACACAGGACCCAAAGCCACACAGGTCCAGGGACCCTGAACAGGAAACCTGGGAAACCAGAGCGCCAACAACAAGGTCACCGAAACACAACTGGTGACCCAAAGGCAGTAGCGAAAGTGTAACCAGACAACACGCTCGACACACCCCAGCCAAGAGAACGAAGCAACAAAGATCAAAGCACCCCACCCGAGTACCGCCGACCCAATCCTTGCCAGAAATGAAGGAGCCAGCATCAAACAAGAAAATGCCCACCAGGGCCAAGCAAACCAAACATGCATCAAAAGGGCCAACACAAATGAGGATAAGAAATAAACCCAAGTAAACCAGCCAATTTCTAGGTGAGCCCCATTGGCTCCCATGACACCCTCCCTCCGCCAAGGCATTGGACTTGTTTTCATCTTCATAGAACTGATGGTGATGCAAACAGCCAACCCTAGGCTGTGTCCCTCCTCCCTATAAACGAGGGGAAGGTGAAGCAACCGAGCTTCCACTAGTTTCGTAAAGTCTCTATCATTTGTTTACATTGTTGGTGGAGTTCTTTTGGTGGTTTTGAGGCTGCAGTCTCACCTATAACCAGCAGTGGTCTGTTTTGCTTTGCTGATTTTCTGGGCACTTCCCTGTTGGTGGCAGACATGAATAAAATCATAATAATTTTCTCCTATGTACCACTGCTCCCTGTGCCCCTTTGAGGGGGAAGGGGGGGGTCAGGTTGTGGCTCATGTCCTTGGAAGGCCAACAGAACTCTGTGATTGAGGGCACCTAGTAATATGGCACTATCAGAGTTGATGGCTTCAGGGAGCCAATGGGGCTATCCAGTTGATGTTTCATTACATTCAATGATTTTTTTATAATAATAAATGCATTACAATATTTACCTCTACTCTTTTCAAACATTCTTGCAGAGCCTGAGTGCCACCACAGATAGCTTGATGAACCTCTGCAGTCCAAAAGATGTGTCTTACTATTAGTGTTACTTGAAGGGGCCAAGATAGTAAGAGACTATCAATATCTTTATTACTGCTACCACTTTGTCGAGACCAAGTGTCGACACCAGCACATGTTTTCATCTTCAGCGTATAGATAAGAGATTCCTGAAACTAAAAGCAAAAAGTAACTATCAGATAAATCATTAAAACATGCTGAATATTACTAGCAAAATATTGGAAATAAGTGTAATGCAATATGTGGTTAATTAGAAAAATGTAACAATAAGCCCAGCAATATTCAGCCATAAAAATTAAAGCAATAATATGTAGAAATGAAATGCCTCTTTCTGGTAGAGCCCTGATGGCTCCGTGAAGCTCTATCACCAAGTAACATCTGCAGGAACCCCTGTATGGTCTATTACTGAACAGCCCGTCCTCATAAACAAAGACAAATTTTCGTTAACCTAGCCGTGAAACCCCCGTTTAAGAATGAAAAATGGTTTACACACAACTCAACTGATGACGTACGAACACTTCCGGAACAAGTGCTTTGCTGACGACTTTTATTCTAAACACAACGCTGTAAATGCTTCACCGACGTACTACAAATACAAATAATCGCCAACAGAACCTAAACACCTAACCTAACCAGTGCCTAAATATGCACAATATGCTAATATATAATAACATTAATTTATATTTGAGAAAAATTCTGTTTTGAATGAACAGCACGTTAAAATTGCTGAATACGTCTGTGGGGTAGACCGCTGGATGGAATGGACTTGTTCTGAGGATGGGTTGTAAATACAAATAATTGTCAACAGAATCTTAAACACAAGGTTTGCAAATAAATCATGGGATATGCACCATGACACAATAGCATGTTGTACTTCCTCTCTCTATGAAAGTCTTTCAGTCACTGAGCTAGTGAGCTGAGCTGGGATGGTAGCCAACTATGAAGAGTTGCCACCGAGCAGAAGTACAGTACTGCTTACCGACGCCCAAGTCTACCAAACAACTTTCTAAGAACTGAACCCCTGGGGACCTGTATACTCACGGGGACCTAGCAGGGGGAACCACCAGAAGAAAGAAGAGTACTCAGTACACAGGGGGGCAATAACCAAGGCAGACTTCCCCCCCACCAGGCGAGCAAACAAAAAGAAAGAAAACCCCGCAAGAGGACAGTGTACCCAGGCGGAACAGAGCCAGCTGCTATGATTAGTGAAAACAAGCTGCGCAGTACGCCGCGCCTCTTACCAGTGCAAACTGCCTCCTACCCTAAGGCGAACAAGGGAGACAGAACACCGGAGCACACAAAGGGCAGCCGAAAACCGAGCAGTAAACGGCCAACCAGAGGCAGAACCCAAGGAACCTGTGGAAGGTGGCCTCAAGGGCAGTACTTACTGGGCACCTAGGGAAGGTAACCCTAGACGCATGCAGCCCGAGTACTGAAGAATCAGTACTCGATACTGATTAACACTTTCGCGTGTCCATGTCGCTCTAGAGGTGCACCAATTTTTCTCGAGTCCGCGTAACCGACTCACTCACGAGTCACGAGAGAGAATATTTCTATAAAATCCATTTTTCATCCGATCGACTTGGGGATAGTTTCAAAGTGTGCGCCATGAAACTTTAAGAACAAGAGGTCATAGATATAAACTAGCTAAACACAGATGCCGAAGAAATATAAGAAAATTCACTTTCGCAAACAGAGTGGTAGACGGTTGGAACAAGTTAGGGGAGAAGGTGGTGGAGGCCAAGACCGTCAGTAGTTTCAAAGCGTTATATGACAAAGAGTGCTGGGAAGACGGGACACCACGAGCGTAGCTCTCATCCTGTAACTACACTTAGGTAATTACACTTAGGTAATTACAACAGAGAGGGGGAGGACCAGGCAGACCCCCCCCCCACCAGGCAGAAAAAACAAAAACAAAAAAACAAGAGGAAAACGTACCCAGGCAGAACAAAGCCAGCCGCTATAATAGGTGATAACTTGCTGTGCAGTACCCTGCGCTCCCCCAGTGACAAAAACTACCTCCTACCCAGAGACAGCAAGGGCAAGAAAACCCCAGCTGACCTCAAGGGCGGCCAAGTACTGAGCAGTAAAGGACAAAGCGGAGGTAGATCCCAAGGTGACTTGTTGAAGGAAGCCCCAAGCCCCAAGGGCAGTACTTACAAGGCATCTAGGGAAGAGAACACTAGGTGCATCCAGCCTGAGTACCATACATTATTTCTCCAGACTCTCACACCACCTATAGAGACAGCCCACACCACAAGGCACAGAACTGAAACAAAACCGAAGCCCGAGGCACCCAACTGGCTAGTAATCACATCAGCTAAGAACTACTGGTTGGATCGCCGGCGTGAAGGGTCTGGGCTCCCCATTTCCCCTCCCGGGATGGGGGGGTTGCGCAAACAGTGGCGCGGCAACATAATGACGTCATGTTAAATTTGCTAATTTTGTTTGGGGAGTTCTGTCCACTTGTTTAGCTTTCAGTAGCAATATTTTCACCAGAATAGGTGTTTGTTTTGGGGCGCCAACCTTTCTGGGTGCCTGTCCCGGTCGATGGCAGACATAGAATGCTCCCAACCACACGGGGGTTTCTATAGGCCATTGCTCCTCGTGCCTATCTGAGGGGGTCAGGTTCTGGCTCGTGGTCCCCAGTAGGCAAGAACTCCAAGCACTTTGACTGATGCTAGAAAGTTATGCATATCCATTCAGCCTGGATAACTCCGGGAAGACGACGGGGCTCCCCCCAGAAAATTCATCAAAAATCTATTTTTTAACATAGAGATGTATTTTTCACGACTCTGATGCCATATGTCATGAGATTTGTTTAACAAAAATTTCAATTTTTTCATCTTTTAACGAATATATTTATATTCCATTACCCTAATGTTGGTACAGTATACACAATTTTCAGAAAACATGTTTTCTCTCCCCTTGGTCTTTACTCCTTCTTTCCCTAGTGATTTTGCTGGCTTGCCTTTTTTTTAGCAATTCACAGGCTTACCTACCCCTATCAACTTGTAGAAAGAATTTATTTCTTCGGTCCTGCTCTCAATGACGTTTTGCTTCAAAAAAGTTTAGTTTCAGTTTCTCTCATTCTTCCTTTGAAGACATGGTCATTTTAATGACCATAATTTCCCTTCTTCATCACTGTAATTTCCTAACATTCCTGAGTATATCTTGCATCTATTTAGGGTGATCCTCAAGGGTCGATCTTTCACTTTTTTGTACCTGCCAATTCTCCTGTAGTCACAGACATTATCTTTGGTTGTAAGACCTTCCACTAGCTAAACAACTTTATCTGCTACTTCTGTGGCTCTTTCTGACCTAGATATCATTTCTTTCTTTGCAACCAAAAATTTCTACCGACTTGCTTCGATCAACTGTTTTGCACCAGTTTCAGATTTGATGCCAGTTCCTTTCTGACTTCCAGCCTATTGTCTGTGGTTTTTTGATTGCTACAGTTTCTTCACCACTTCTATTATTTCTTTCTCCCTGGCCACTTGTGCATATCCTCCTTGCACTGTTCTAATCCCAGTGTAACTTCCTCCATCTATACTAACAAGTTCTTTGTCCTTTTGGATTTCCTTGTGTAGCTTACTGTATTCACTCATGTTTAGATTTGCTTCTTCAAAAACTATTTTCAGTACTTTATAATCCCCTCCAAGGCTTTACTTTTACCTTCCCTGTGAGTTTTGTCTTTGCATAATTCCTCCTTTTATCCTTCAAACTTTACTACTCAAGTAGTCATTACTTTCTCTCAAATTTCTGATACTTTTCACATGATGGTTTACAATAATCTAATTTTGCAAACTGCTCATACTAATACTGTCCTCATTAAATCCACCAATATTCAGCTCTGTTTTATTTTTCCTCTTGCCGGTGGTCATCTTGGTTTTCATTGTCTGCAACTGCTTACTCTTGCAACTTTTACTCTTGCAACTTTTACTCTTGCAACTTTTACTCTTGCAACTTTTACTCTTGCAACTTTTACTCTTGCAACTTTTACTCTTGCAACTTTTACTCTTGCAACTTTTACTCTTGCAACTTTTACTCTTGCAACTTTTACTCTTGCAACTTTTACTCTTGCAACTTTTACTCTTGCAACTTTTACTCTTGCAACTTTTACTCTTGCAACTTTTACTCTTGCAACTTTTACTCTTGCAACTTCTACTCTTGCAACTTCTACTCTTGCAACTTCTACTCTTGCAACTTCTACTCTTGCAACTTTTACTCTTGCAACTTTTACTCTTGCAACTTTTACTCTTGCAACTGCTTACTCTTGCAACTTTTACTCATCCAATTTGTTTCACACTCTCATGCACATTTGGGTTATCTCAGCTATTTTTCAAATTCCCTACAGAGTGGTAGACAGATGGAACAAATTCAGTGAAAAGGTGGTGGATGTCAAAATCATCAATAGTTTCATATGACAAAGTCATATAACAAAGAGTACTGGAAAGACTGTACACAACAAGAGTAGCTCTCATCCTGTGGCTACACTTAGGTAATTACAGCCAGGCACACAAAATTGGTAGATAGTGCTGGAAAGTGATATGGTCAGGGCAATATTGGTTTAGTGGCAGAAAGTTACATAGCAATGACTGAGGCTTCTTCGGTTTGTCTTATATTACAGAATTGATCAATCAACACTGGGTTGAGATATTACTCCACTGATAACCAAACCACACATCAGAAAGTGAAGCAACGACCTTTCGGTCCGTCCTGGATCATTATCAAGTTGTGTGATACACTACTTCATAAAGGACCACTACAGACCAAAATGTCCTCTTTTTCTTCGTTTTTTGATGTGTGGTTTGGTCAACATATCAACAGACACATTATTTTGATTCATCGTCTGCATACTACTCTTACAGGAGTTATTACATTCTTGTAAAGCCACTGGCATGCATAGCATTTCAGGCAGGTCCTTTAACTTAATTTTTTTCCCGGAATACGACCCGCCAAATTGTTTAACAACCAGGAACCCATTCACTGCTGGGTGAGCAATTAAGGATTGGCACCCGGTCAATCCTCCCCAACCAGGATATGAACCTAGGATACAATGTATTCTTGCACCAACTATGTGATGAGACCATTTGAAAAGTAATTGTAAAGCCTTTTGTCAAATGAGCTGTAAAGTCTGTAGAGCTCTGAGGTCAATGGTGCTGTGGGTGGACCAGAAAGCTGTGAATATGGTAGTATCAAGAAAACTTGGCTCAGAAAACCTATTTAAACTGAGGAACAATGAAGAACAACTAATTTCATCTTCATAGAATCCCACCTTGTGCTAAGAACTCTCAATGTGACACCCATTACCCATGTAGATGTGCAACTTTATCAATACATTTTCATCAATTATTTTGATGAAAATGTATATTTTCATTTCATTTATATACCATATACTTTTCAGAAATCTTAGAGATGCCTAAAATGTAGAATTTTCAAATTCTTAACATTTTTATACATTTATGTTTATTACTGAAATAGATTATGAATTGTTTTTCAAACTGCAAATGGAATGTACTTAGTAATTACTAAGTCATGCAAAAACTCGTATAAAGACACGAGAATTACAACTACTGTACTGCCAAACATAATTAGACATTTTATAAAGACTACAAATTCTAAATGCACACACTATATAACATTATCACAAGTACTGAATCCTTTATTTATAAAGACGTTCATAATTTCTTAGTATTTTACGTAATGTTCTCAGCCTTAACAGATTATGAAGAATGTTACTGTATTTGATAATACTAAATTAAAATATTATTAATCTAATTTTCATTGCAGTCTTAGATAAATAACCAGCATTGAATGTAATGAAACGCCACATTCTGGGTGAGCCTCAGAGGCTCCCTGGAGCTTAACGGGCTGATATATATGAATTAGACCAAAGCATCAGTCGATTGGAGTTCTTGCCTCCCGGGGACCACGAGCCAGAACCTGGCTTCCTCAGAGGCACGAGGAGCTATGGCTTGTGGAAACCGCCATGTACTTGGAAGCATTCCATGTCTGCCATTGACCAGGGTTTGGCACCCAGAAAGAAAAGTGTAACAAAACAAACCCCACATGGTAAAAATTGCTATCTAAATTCAAACAGGGAGGCAGAACTGCCAAACTAAAACAAGTAAACTTCACTAACGCTGCCGCGCCGATCATCCGCGCAGTCCCCCCCATCCTGACAATCGGACTGAGTCCACCGCCTCTGGCTGGCCTGGTGAGCACTTGTCACAAAGCCCCAGCCTAAAGAGACGAGGCATCCGTGAACACATCAAGCGAGGGCTCCAGTAGGTGCCAAGGCACTGAACCCTGAAAAACCCGAAGAGGAGTCCGCAATGTAGCAACCGACACAAAGGCCGCGGGGGCCTAACCCAACCATCGCAAGAGCAGCGGAAGGGAGATCCCCGAAGGAATCAGAATAGCCTCCAAAGCTATACCTGACCCGTAGGTCAACAAGCATGGCCAAGTTCAGACTCCCGCATAGCTGCTTAAGCAACCGCCGAGTGACCCTCCAGAAACCCTCCAGAAACACGCGACGACAGGGACTGCAGCAGCAGTAACAACTCAGGAGGGACAGACAAGTAAGCAGTCCAAGAGTCCCACACAAGACCCAGCAAAGTCCAAACCCGGGATGGAACCAGATGGGCTTCCTTCAGTTCCCCAGGAACCTGAACCCAGCGAGCTGGGAAAGAGCCATACCCCTGGTGAGCAGACACGCGGACTGGTTGGAAGCCCACGCTAGCCAGTCGTTGAGATAGGCCAGACCTCGAAGCCATAACAGACACAGACGGGCCACCACAACCCGGATGAGACGCGTGAATATGCGAGGTGCCAGATTCAGGCCAAATGGAAGGCAACAAAAGCTGAAAACTTGCCGCCCCGCCACAAAACCTAAATAGTCCCTGAATCCCTCAAACCCATGCCATGCCCTCAACGAAAGGAAAGGTCAGTCTGCTAACCAGGAAGATTCCCATACCTCATAACGTACCCAAAAGGGGAAGGTCAAACCGAACTCAAAAATAGACGGATCCATCACTGAGGCGTAATCCGGGTCTCACAGGAGGTAAGCTGTAATGGCCTCCCAAACCTCCTTGGGCTAGATTCAAGAAGCTGAAAACCCCCGGAAGGCAGGAACCAAAGAACCCAGGGAAACCCGGAACAAAACCCGGGGAGGAGCCAAACCCAAATCATACTCGTACAGGGAAAGAGGGCACGAAAACCCCTCCCCCTGCAACAAAAATCCCCACGACGAGGGTACCATCACCCAAGTAGGGTCAAATGGGGCCCAGACCCCCAAATTCCACTCCTCCCCAGCCCTACGGTCCTCCACGCTAGGACCCCGGGCAGAGCAGTCCTCCACACACTCTGCCCCCAAAGAAAAGGCCAGAATCTAGGGAAAAGGCTGAGAAGAAGAGGGTCCACTGGTAAGACCCGTAAGCCTCGGCAGGAGAAGCAGGCTCGAATGCCTCTGCCACCGACCTGGAAGGGGTAGTCCCTGAAGCTGCCCATGTCTCATTTCTATCTAAACAACACCAACAGGGAAAGGTCATGGGAGTGCAGACAAAGCCAAAGTCGAAGCAACTAATGCCCCCAAGTTTGGGGTCCCTATAACCCAAGCAGGGCAGCCTCAGGGCATCCGGGTGAGCAACTAACCTAGCGCGCGCTGCAGCAACCAATACCTAGCATGCAATGCCGAAGCCGCCTGTACCTAAATATCAAAATCAGAAGACTGGGTAATCTGGAGCATGAGCAAGGACGAAGACTCCCAAGACTCCGGGTCAAAGATGTCATTGACCAAACAGGCAGCATGACTGAGGCAAAACTGATGAGTGTAACCCTGAGACAAGGGAACAGAGCAACCTTCAAACTCGCACTTGGCAAATTGGGACCCAGAGGACGCATCCATAGGTCCAAAGACCTCAAAGTGGTTTTCCTGGGCCCTTAAGCTGACTGCTAAGCCCAGGCAAGGTATTGCTAACAGGTTGGGCCCAAACTACCAAGAGAACTGCTAAAAACCCTGAACCCCCGTGAGGTGTACAAGCACAGGGGCCTAGTAGAGGACCACCAATACAACAAAAGGGTGGATAATCGAAGGGGACAGACCCCGCCACCAGGCAAAAGAAAAACAGAAAAAGAAAACCCCACAAAAGCGCAAAGTCCCCAGGAGGAAAAGAACCGGCCACTGAGAATAATGGGAGACAAGCTGCACAATACCTTGTGCCCCTACCAGCAACGATACCACTTCCTACCCAAGGCCAAACAGTGGCAACAAAAACCTCAGCTGGCCCCCAAGGGCGGGCAATTGCTGAGCAGCAAAAGACCCCTACGGAAGTGGTTCCCAAACGCCCTGTGGAAGATAACCCCAAGGTGCAAGGGCAGTACTTACAGGGTGCTTAGGGAAGGTAGCCTTAAGTGCATGCAGCCCTAGTACTGATGAATTACTCCTGGCCTGTGCACCACACACAGAATATACCACAAGACACAGAACTGCAGGAGTCAGAGGCCAGAGTCAACGACCGCCACAGTTCACATCAGCCAAGGAAGTGAATGCTGTAGCAGCTGGCACAGGGGATCCACCCCCCCCCCCCTCCTGGATGGGGGCTGCATGGACGATTGAAGCAATGGCATTAGTGACGCTTGCTTGTTTTAGTTTGAGAGTCCTGCCTCCCTGTTCAGTTTTAAGAAACAATTTTTACCATATGGGATTTGTTTTGTTACATCTACCTTTCTGGGTGCCAAATCCCGGTCGATGGCATATGTGGAATGCTTCCAAACACATGGGGGGTGTCCATAGGCTATTACTCCTCGTGCCTCTCTAAGGGGGGCCAGGTCTTCGCTCATGGTCCCCAGTAGGCAAGAACTTCAATCGACTGATGCCACAGTCTAATACATACATCTGAGCCTGGTAAGCTCCAGGGAGCTGTAGGGGCTCCCCCACAGAAATAGGACTATTACCTGGAGCAGCCAATTTTCAATGCTTTGATGGGCATTAGCTGTTGGCAGTTTCTTGATAAGTGAAACAACCTCGCCTTCCTTGCTGGAAACTGCATAAATATCACAATTGTCATCCAAGTGCAGGGAGTGGACACCATCAAAGCATTTTCTGGTGTGATTTTCAAGGTGCATCACATCCTTTTCACAAAGCAGAGAGATCAGTTCCTCATTTGAGAGGAAAAACAATCTGAAGATTAAAAGATAAAAAATGAATGAAATATGGTTGAAATCCTATAGGGCTACTGAAGAAGGTAAGTCTGATCTATATTTCTATTTCTCATATCTATAATTTTATTCAAAAACCTTAATTTTTTCAATGTGGGTGCAGTACGGTGCAACCTTAATTTGAAGAAGCTCCTTTTAGCAAATCTCTGGTTCCAAAGTACACTTTCTAGGCCGGATTTACTGACCTACTTCTCTGTTCAAGTGCCTGGAAAGTTGACGAAGGTAGGGGGACTTGCAGATTGCTAAAGAAGCGGGGCCAGATTTGTAAGGTTTCCCATCATACAATAAGTCAAAATGAAAATTTTGCTTGGTGAAAGTAGCTCATAGAGCCTGGAAAATTTTAGCGTATGAATGATAACTATTAAGGAGGGCCGACAATGCAGGAGCAGCAGAAACCAAAACCCCCCACAAGAGGAGCCTCTCTAAGAGTCCCCACGTCCTCTGAGAGCCAATCAGAATGAAGTTCCAGGAGGCTCAAGAAACCCACGACAGAAGGCAGCCATGAAGGTCATCTGCAACCGAACAGCCGATAGCTGGGGGACCTGAGCATGCAGCTGCAAACGATCCACACCACAAGAAAGAGCAGGAGCGAAGAGGCATGCATTAAGGGACTCTAAAGAATCCCCCAGAAACACCTGCAAGACAGTAGACACCTCTTGCCACTCAAGTGTGCGGGTATGACAGTGTAAAGGCACACGATTGGAAGCTGTACCCTTGAATACAAACTCACGAAACCCGTCCTTACTTGCTTATAGTATATGTACTTTAAACCAAGGGTGTAGAACCAATCTGCATTTATAAACACTTCAAACATGAGAAAGACCACCTTGGACCAGTACCATATTTTTGCATTGGAAGGACTCAAGAAACAAAGTGTGTGCATTACATTTATTTAGACACAGGAAAAGGGATAATACACTAACAACCAAAAATCTCTCTCACAGATTAAAGATTACAGTTCCAGACACTCGGCTATAAATGGAGGTCAGTAACTTCACACAGTACAGTGGGTACCTCACTAGCACACACCACATAACTTGTGTGTGTGTGTGTGTGTGTGGAGTCTTAGCCCCCTGTCTTGTGGAGTGCAGGGACGCTCCTCTCACAAAAACGTGCAGGAAAACTTTACATACAGAATCATGCTCCTTTACTAATACATACTCTCAAGCACAAATAAAACATAAAAAGTAACACAAAATCTGGTATAGCATTTTAACTACGAGAAACATTTACATTAACAAGCATAAAAGACAAACCTTATATACCAGTCATTACAACAGAAACCACGCTAAGCTCCAAGTGAAAACAAAAGACAATCTGCTAGCCAGGACGACTTTGGAACCTCATAACGCACCCAATAAGGGAAGGAAGAACCAAACTCAAAGGAAGCCGGGTCCATAATTGAGGCATAAACTGGGTTGTGCAGGAGGTATGTACATTGGGCCTCCCAAGCCACATTCGAGGAAACTCAGGAGTAATGAAACCTCCAGGAGGACAAAACCGAAGAGCCCAAAGGCACTCGGAAACAAACCCTGGAGAAAGCTGCGCCCAACTCGAACTCGTACAGGGAGGGGGACTAAGAAAACCCCTCCCCACCATTGACACCTCATACAGGGTGAGTATTGGCACCTCTGTACAGGCACCCTTGGCCACCCAAAACCAACAGAATTGTCAAGGAAGCAACAAGGGGGTGAACTGCACCAAACCCTAGGTGAAAAAGGTGGTTAGGTGGAAAATTCTCAAGGAAAAAAATGGCAAAATGATGTAAAACCCATGAAAAGGGACCGAAATAAAAGCCCAGAACCCCCTAGGACCAAACCAAGGAAAACGAGCAACAGGGAGAATCATAGTACCAAGCGAACATATAAGCTGGAGGCCCACCTCGACATGTCAGGTAGGTCATGAGAACCCACAGTGCACCCCACCCGCAATACACACTCCTGACCCGAGGAAAAACAGACAGTCTAAGACAACGGGCTTACCTGAAGGGTGAGGGCCACCACAAGCGAGCAGACTCCTTAAAGAAGTGTATCCCAAACACACAATGGAAGATATCCCTGACAGTGTAAGGGAAGCACTTAAGGAGCACACAGAGAAGAGAACCCAGAGCACATACCACTCTGAGCACACTAAACTCCTTGCTCACGCTACACTAACACACAAAAGAACAGCCTCAAGGGCAAACACCACTTAAATAAACAAGAGACTGGAGCCAGAGTGACTTGAGTGGGAGACCAGGCACTGGATACATCAGAATAAGAACTGATGGTCGAGCAACCAGCTGACCCGGCCAGCCTCCCTCCTTCCCCCAAACGAGGGTAAAAGGTTTGGTGAACAAGGTCGCTCTAGTTTCACAAATTTTAATTAATTTTTTTTACATTGTTAAGGGAGTTCTTTTGGAGGTTTTGAGGCTGCAGTTTCATTTCTAACCAAGCAGTAGTTGGTTTTGTTTTGCTGACTTTTTGGGTGCCTTTCCATGGTGGTGGTATACATAAATAACCTTACATAAAAGATTTTCACAGTGATATTGCTCTTGTACCTCTCTGAGGGGCCAAGTTCTGGCTCATAGTCTCTGGTAGGCCAATAAGAACTCGGTGACTGGTGGCACCTAGTAGTGTGGAATTGTATCAGTGTAGTAGCTTCAGGAAGCCACAAGGAGTTCCCCCCAGATAGAGGCAAGAAACAACTACACAGCAGTGAAAAGAAAGGCAGAAAGAAATTTTGAGAAAGGTTTAGCAGGACAAATGTTAAACAAAATCAGGGATATTCTATAAATTCATCAAAAGAAAATTGCAGGTAAATAATAAAATTCAGAGGTTGAAAATAGGGAACAGATTCACTGGGAATGAAAAGTTAATGTGTGAAACACTAAATGAACAGTTCCAAAGGGTGTTTGTGCAAAATGAAGTTTTTAGAAAACCAGACAATACGAACTTTAGATAATAACAGTACATAGCAAGGTCTCGAGACAAAGAAAGGAAATAAGGAAATAAATAGCTCAAGGAAATAAGTAGCAACAAAGCAGTTGGCCCAGATGGAGTGTCACATTGGATCTTCAGAGAGAGTGCACATCTGAGCTAAGCATTCCACTTCAATTGATTTTTTCAGGCATCTTTAGGTACAGGAATCTTAGACATATAGAAAAAGGCAACATAGTTCCAATATACAAAAATGAAAGCAGGGAAGACCCCTCTTAAAGGCCTGTATCATTGATGAGCATAGTTGTCAAAATATTGGAAAAAAAGTCAAAACCATATAGGTAAAACACCTGGAGAGAAATGACAATATCAGAAAGACAGTATGGTTTTTGATCAGGAAAATCCTGTATAACAAATCCATTTAGTTTCTATGATAGAGTCACAGACTTTACAAGAGAGAGATGGTTGGGTTGACTACATTTATCTGGACCTAAAAATGGCTTTTGACAGAGTTCCACATAAGAGATTGTTCTGGAAACTTGAATATACTGGAGGAGTGACAGGGAGGCTTCTAACAATGAAAAATTTTCTAACTGGCAGAAATATGAGGGCAGTAATCAGAGGCAATGTATCAGACTGGAGAAATGTTACGAGTGGAGCACCACAGGGTTCAGTTTTTGCACTAGTAAATTTCATTGTCTATATGAACGGTAATTACCAAATACAAAATTGGCTATCTTCCCCAACCCGGATGTACTAGCTAGTGATGTCACCTGATTGCAGTCAGAATAAGGAGATTTGCTAATTTCACAGTTTTAGAATTATTACTGCCCATCTTAGAGATCTCAATGATCTTTTAGAGGGATTGTTTAATAGTTAAATGTGTTCTTAAGTAGTGGAATGAGGCACGTTCTTCACTCCACTTCTCCTGGACAATGGGTTTTGGCCATTTGAAAAGTTACTTGCCTTCTTGGGGCTCATGGTCACTCAAGGTTTGAAGTGCTAGTGGTCACCCGTGCAGACTCTTGGCTGTCAACAGGGAAGAAACCGAAGAGCCCTGCTCAGAATTTACCATTTATTTGATTATGTAAAAAATGTGGCATCCCTAATGGTAAACAAGCAAATATCTTAGTCAATTCTCACCAACACTGATAACATTTAACAGCAGTTAATAAATCAAATCAAGTTCTCTAGGGTTGAGTTGGTGGTGGAGAAGAATGATCATGACTTACCAGAAGGCTGACAGTGTTAAAACATGTAACAAATAACTTCAAAGACAGATGAGCAAGTAATACAGACAAGTCTCTCCTCTATTATCAAGATAAAATAAGAACAGACTTAAGACTGAAAAGCAAGAGACAAAAACAAAACATACCTTGGAAAGATCCTCCGCTTGTTATCTAGGTAGGTATAAACAGCTTTCTGAATTATGGCAAAGTTGCTGAGGGATAATGACACTTCCTCAAGAGCCCGAACATCCCCAACCACATCCAGCAGTTGCTTTGCAGAAACAGTCTCCTCCATCACTGCTACCCATTTTCTGTCTAGCTCCTAAGCATCGTTTCCAATATTGGTTTAACAATACATGGATAAGTCATTCAAAGGTAGAATTAAACAGTAGGAACATTGTTATATAATTAATAAAATAAAGTATTTAAGCTCTTCAAACTCAAACCATCAAAATGTTCTCACAAATAAGTAAGAATATACTTTTGCTCACATTTTATTATTAGTTTAGATATATATACAGAGATGAAGAGTTACTATAGATATAAATTATATAACTTAATTATATAAATTATTTATAAGCATAATTTTATAAGGTGAATCTTCAATGTGTATCAACAAATACAAGAGACAGACTTTCTGTATGCCAGATTGCCAAGCCATAAAGAAACAATATAGTTCTAAGAGAATAATTATAGTATATAATAGGTATTACTAAACTGTAGCCAATAAAGGCATCCTTAGAACTTAAGCTAGACATAACCAACAATGCAAAAATCATTAAGCAAATCTTTAAAACCCCCTTTACCTGGTTGATACCTGGTTGATGGGGTTCTGGGAGTTCTTCTACTCCCCAAGCCCGGCCCGAGGCCAGGCTCGACTTGTGAGAGTTTGGTCCACCAGGCTGTTGCTTGGAGCGGCCCGCAGGGCCACGTACCCACCACAGCCCGGCTGATTCGGAACTTCTCTTAGAAAACCGTCCAGTTTTCTCTTGAAGATGTCCACGGTTGTTCCGGCAATATTTCTTATGCTCGCTGGGAGGACGTTGAACAACCGCGGACCCCTGATGTTTATACAGTGCTCTCTGATTGTGCCTATGGCACCTCTGCTCTTCACAGGTTCAATCTTGCATTTTCTTCCATATCGTTCACTCCAGTACGTTGTTATTTTACTGTGTAGATTTGGGACCTGACCCTCCAGTATTTTCCAGGTGTATATTATTTGGTATCTCTCTCGTCTCCTTTCTAGAGAGTACATTTGGAGAGCTTTGAGACGATCCCAATAATTTAGGTGTTTTATCTCGTCTATGCGTGCCGTATATGTTCTCTGTATTCCCTCTATTTCGGCAATCTCTCCTGCTCTGAAGGGGGAAGTGAATACTGAGCAGTACTCGAGACGGGACAGCACAAGTGACTTGAAGAGTACAACCATTGTGATGGGATCCCTGGATTTGAAAGTTCTCGTAATCCATCCGATCATTTTTCTGGCTGACGCGATATTTGCTTGGTTATGCTCCCTAAACGTTAGATCGTCGGACATCATTATTCCCAAATCCTTGACATGCTGTTTTCCTACTATGGGAAGATTCGATCCTTTCCCCCTATATGCAGTATATGTATGTATAAGGTGACTGCGTGGATGTGTTTGATGAGTGAGCCTAGCGGGTGAGTGATCCTGACGGGTAAATTGGGTAATGCATGGGTGGGTTGGGGAAACAGGTGGCATATATGGTTTGAGGTTTGTGGAGGCAGATGTGAGAAGTGGATTGGGGGTATGGGTAATAAATGGGGGATGCGGTTGGGTAGTGGTCGACCCTGAATGGGTCTGGTAGGGGTCTGGTAGAAAATAGTGGCTGTGTAGAATATGGAGGCACGGGTCAGTGGGGTAAACAAGCAAAGTTGGGTGGGGTACACAAGAAAAGATGGGAGGGGTGGTGTTGGCAAGGAAAGGTAGGTGGGATGGGCACCATGGATTCATGGAAAAGTTGGTGTGGTGTGCAGGCGTGGAAAAGTAGAATGTGATGGCTATGTAATTACAGTATATAATGACGTTAAGCATAACTACCTTAATTACAAGATGAGAGGTATGATCATAGTGTCCAATCTCCCTTATAATCTTTGTCATGCAATGCTTTGAAACTGTTGATAGTTTTGGCATCCACTAGCTTTGCACTTAGTTGTTCCAACTGTTACAACTCTGTTTGCAAAAAGATAACTTTTGCATATATTTTTCGGTACCTCTGTTTTCTTAGCTTGAATCTATGGCCTCTCATTCTTGAGGTTGCAGGTTTATAAATTCCACCACCACAGCACTAATCAACCAGGGGCTCAGTGAGGCCATCACCAGCACACACACACATAGGCTCAGGAACCTGTACACCTGTTGATTGACGGTTGAGAGGCGGGACCAAAGAGCCAGAGATCAACCCCCGCAAGCACAACTAGGTGAATACAACTAGGTGAGTACACACTTCTAGATCCATTTGTCGATATCTTGTACTTTCATGCTCTTTTTGAGAGTGTATTTGCTTGTTACCTTGCATATCTCAGTTTTAACTTTGCTTCTGTTGAAGTTTCAGGGTTATCTTCCCCTGGCATGCTATTTAATGAAGATCATCTGTGAATAGCTGATGACCACCAAAACTGTTCTGAGCTGTCATAGGCTCTGTATGGTACTGCAGGATGTTTGATCAATTACCTAAGTATAGTTACAGGATGAGAGCTACAATCGTGGTATCCCGTCTTCCCAGTACTCTGTCATATAACACTTTGAAACCACTGATGGTTTTGGCCTCCACCACCACGTCACTTAGCTTGTTCCAACCATCTACTACAGTACTTTGTTTGCAAAAGAAAACTTTCTAATATTTTTTTGCACCTTTGTTTCCTTGGCTTGAATCTGTGTCCTCTTGTTCGTTAAGTTGCTGGTTTCAGGAATTCTTCTTTGTCAATTTGGTAGATTCCTGTTATCAATTTGATCTTGATTATCTCGAGATGATTTTCGGGGCTTTAGTGTCCATGCGACCCGGTCCTCGACCAGGCCTCCACCCCCAGGAAGCAGTCCGTGACAGCTGACTAACACCCAGGTACCTATTTTACTGCTAGGTAACAGGCGCATAGGGTGAAAAACTCTGCCCATTGTTTCTCGCCGGCGCCCGGGATCGAACCCGGGACCACAGGATCACAAGTCCAGCGTGCTGTCCGCTCGGTCGACTGGCTCCCTTGAGGTTGGATTTCTTTGTGCATTTGAAGAGAAGCATAGGAGGGAGAATTCCTGGACTACAGCCAGAGTGCATGGGGGATCAATGCACTGCCTACTTTGCCTTCTGGGTTTTTCCCCTCAATTGTTCCATGTTTGGATTGTAGGGATCTACCTTTTTTCTAACTTTGCTGGGTACCAACGTTGGTTTTTACTTTTTGGGCGTGATGTAAGTTTTATTGCTGGCATTTAGCTTCGGCCATGCCTCCATAATGGGTGACAAACGTTCAAGTTATTGCATTTTCAGATTTCATGCCTTTTACTGCTTGCTCTATCATCCCAGACAGTTGTTTAGACCTGTGGTTAATTTCTCAAACTGCATGAATGGGGTTTGCTTCCTGATGTGCGAAGTGCTTATGTCGAGTCCCTAACCCCTTTTCTGAGGTACCATCGTTTTCTGATTCACGTGGACTGCCATTCTCCAGGAGGACAGAGGACCTCTGTGGGTGGCTCTTTCTTCTTTTAGGAGCAAAGGGAGGGCATTTGACAAGCAGCTGACTTCCTGTCCCCATAGAGGCCATGAGGGAGATAATGACCCTTGGGTAAATTCAAGTACATTGTAGGGAAGATGGAACATTACAAGCATAGGTCTCCTTTAACTACACTTCGAAAATTACACATGGAATAACTTCACAATTGTTTTGTAATGATCTTACATTAATAAACTTTGTATTTCTCCTATCATTTCTGTATTATAAAATAGATTAGAAATTTGATATAATTTAAAAAAATACAAGCTAATGTCAAAATAGCAAGTAAACTGGTAGGCTTGAATGTAGTTCTTGCTTCTATTATTATACTTTTCTAATCAATAGTTAGCACTACACACTTTGTATTTTGGCCTTTTGTCAAAGCCATGAGAATACATTATATGCACAAATAAATCCCATTAACGTGATGTATCAATAAGAAAATCAGTAGAAGTCACGAGGAGGATTCGTACCTATGCACTAGGTACTTCCAGGCTAACCCTTGAGACCACTACATCACGACATGTCAAAAGCATTGCAACCTGGGATTTAACTGAACCCTCTAGGGCTCCTAAGGTTTCCATTGAAGTCTAATCAATCAGGCTTCTACTGATTTTCTCACTGATACATCATGTTAATATGATTTCTTTGTGCATTTGAAGAGAAGCATAGGAGGGAGAATTCCTGGACTGCAGCCAGAGTGCATGGGGGGAATTGTGCAAAACCCTGATTAGGCTTCAGTGGAAGCCTCAGAAACACTAGAGGATTCAGTTGAATCCCAGGTTGCAATACTTTTGACTATGTTGTGGTAGAGTGGTTTAAAGCATTTGCCTGGGAGTACCAGTGCTTAGGTTCAATCCTCCTCAAGCTCCTACTGATTTTCTCATTACATTATAGACAAAATTGAGATATTTTATATTTGTTTTAAGTTAATTCAAGGATAGTGTGAAACCATCAACACCTAAACAAATACTACTACACGTGTCCACCAATGTAACCACCATTCAAGAAACAGGGCCTCATTACATCTTGAGACTAAAACTAGATGCACAGACTTTATGCTTTATTTAGACACACAAATTACCTAGCCTGCTCTAATGAAGCCAATCATAAATGGGAAAGATAGTCAAGAATATTGACATTACATACTATGTGACAGACTGAATTGTACTGTACAGTAAAGTGTAGGAAAGAATCTAGGTGCAGTAGGACTCATGAAAGAAGGCACACATATGCATATTAAATGTTCAGCATAACAATAATGATTATTGGATAAAATATACAAGGAAAATTTACATCATTTATACATAAAAAATGAAACACACCTTAAACAGTTTGAATTCATCTGGAAGTTGAACTGGTAGATCAGGAGTGGAAAAGACAGGAGTTAACTCCATCCAGAGTGTCTGTACCTGCAGACAAGAAATATCTCATGTGTTAACTTTTATCCAAGGTTACACATACAGTGCACACAAAATTTCAATTTAACTACTAATTGTGGGCATTGGAATGTGATTGCCCACCATAAAGTGGTGGACAACCAAATCAAGTATATTAACCACTGTGATGCGCCAAGTTTATTGTAATTATTACTTAAGTGTAATTATTACCTAAGTGTAGTTACAAGATGAGAGCTACGCTCGTGGTGTCCCGTCTTCCCAGCACTCTTTGTCATATAACGCTTTGAAACTACTCCCTGCACTGGGAGAAGGCACTCTCCCAGGGAGTGTCCTGAGAGGACACTCCCTGCAATACCTCAAATCTTACCTTACTGACAGGCTCCAGTATATTTCTGTGAATAGTTCAATTTCTCCCACCCTACCCATCAACATTGGTGTTCCTCAGGGCAGCATACTTGGCCCTCTCCTCTTTCTCATCTACATTAATGACCTTCCAAATGCCTCCTAACACCTCAAACCAATTCTATTTGCTGACGACACAACCTTCATTTACTCCAGTCCTGACCCCCTTGCCCTAAATGCCACAGTAAATACTGAGCTAAATAAAGTCCATCTTTGGCTAACTGCCAACAAACTCACCCTTAACATTGACAAAACTTTCTATATTCTGTTTGGCAATAAATCCTCTAATCAAATAAATCTCAAAATAAACAATACCCAAATATGTAACAAATTAGATGGCAAGTTCCTTGGGTTCTCATTGATCACAAACTGAATTTCCAGGGACACATCCTAAATATATAAAAAAAAAGTTTCAAAAACTGTTGGCATTCTTTCTAAGATCGGATATTATATACCCCACCCTGCCCTGGTGACACTCTATTACTCATTACTCCCTCATCTATCCATATCTCAACTATGGTATTTGTGCTTGGGGTTCTACTACCCAAAATCATTTACGTCCTCTAATTACTCAACACAAAGCTGCTATTAGGACAATGTCCAACTCTGGCCCCAGACATCACTCGGTACCCCTACTCAAATCTCTGAATATGTTAGATATTAAGTCACTGCACATTCTCTCATGTGTATTATACATATATAAAATGCTGAACTGTAATGCCAATCCTGACCTCAAAAGCTTCATTGAAGGTTGTAACAGAACCCATGAGCACCACACCAGAAATAAATACAGTTTTGATATTCCAAGAGTACGACTTAATCAAACTAGAAATGCTCTACAAATCAAGGGACCCAGAATGTGGAATGACCTTCCCAACCATGTTAAAGACTGTACCTCTCTCAACCAGTTTAAGACAAAAACGAAGCACTACCTAATAAATTCCCTGTAATCTACCTTACCCCTCAATTGTCAACCCCATGTCTTGTTTTTTTTTTTTTTAAACAACGCTGTTTGTCGACCTAATTGTATTTGTGCTGCTTTTTCAGCCATGTTCCCCCCTCTTTTATCTCTATTTTTATTTGTTCTCAACACATTTTATTCTTTATACCCAATTAGTATTAAGCTTTAGTCATTAATGTTTTACCTGCCCGAAACACTTTGCGTAATAGTGGCTTTAGGCATTGTATGTACTAGCTCTATCTATAAATCCATCAATCTTTGTAAAATCTCTTGTATGTATGTACCTTACCTAAATAAACATTTATACATTTATTTATTTATTTATTTATTTATTACTAATGGTCTTGGCCTCCACCACCTTCTCTCCTAACTAGTTCCAACCGTCTACCACTCTGTTTGCGAAAGTGAATTTTCTTATATTTCTTCGGCATCTGTGTTTAGCTAGTTTAAATCTATGACCTCTTGTTCTTAAAGTTCCAGGTCTCAGGAAATCTTCCCTATCGATCTTTATACACAATACTACGCACAGTGCTTATTATCACCACAATCCTGCTGTTATCACAATACTGGTCACTAAATCCTGTAAATACATAATTGACCACAAATTTAATTTGGAAAGGAACCTAAGAAGTCGTTTGAAGATTCCTAGATGGATGAAATAATGCTGTGGTGCTGTGGCTACCGCTGTGAACATCGTGAACAGCATTTTATCACTAATATTTGAACATTGTACACAGTCATTATCACACTGGAAATCACACACACATTATCACACACATCAACAAACTGGAAAAGGTGCAAAGACATGCTATTAAGTGGCTCCTAGAACTGAAGGGCAAGAGCTACAAAGAAAAGGATAGAGGCATTAAATATGCCAAAACTAGAAGACAAAAGAAAAAGGGGGTGAGATGATCACTACGTACAAAATAGTAACAGGAATTGATAAAAGTGATAGGGAAGATTTCCTGAGACCCGGAATTTCAAGAACAAGAGGTCATAGATTTAAACTAACTAAACACTGATGCCGAAGAAATACAAGAAAATTCACTTTCGCAAACAGAGTGGTAGACGGTTGGAACAAGTTAGGTGAGAAGATGGTGCGGGCCAAGACCGTCAGTAGTTTCAAAGCGTTATGTGACAGAGTGCTGGGAAGACGGAACACCACGTGCATAGCTCTCATCCTGTAACTACACTTAGGTAATTACTTATGTAATTACTTATGTAATTACTCCGTACTTCGGAAGTGAGTAATAATCAACGAAGTAGTCCATGGTACACAGCGCGACTTCGCTCTCGTTGCACCAGGTACAGATAGATTTTCACTTCCCGTTTCTTCATTCTGTGTGCTTGCAAAATAACGCACTCACACACACCCTTGACTTTAGTACTTATAGGTTGTATATAGCCCAGCTTGTAAAGCATAAGGTAGCCTTGAAAAGATTATAGGAAAAGATCAATTTGTAAGGTAGTCTTGAAAAGATCGCTTTGTAAGGTCCCACATTGGAAGAGATTCAGTCATTCTCAAAGAGTGTCAGTCAATCTGGAAGAAATTCAGGCATTCTGGAAGAGATTCTGGAAGAGATTCTGCTATTCTTGAAAATATCTATGGAAAACACCACCATGGAATCTGCTTACACTGTTCATCTATGCTACTTGTATCAGATGCATCATCACTGAACCCAGAAAATGATTCATCTATGCATCGTCTATATAAATTAGAGATGGCATAGGTGGGCAAGGGTGGCGTTCAGAGCAACAACTGGATACGCTCACTGTATCGTCCTCATAGGTGCTGTATCACTTGCATCCGACCTTTGTGTTAGGTCCTTATTGCGCCTAGCTTCACCAATATTATGACCCTTATGTTCTTCAAACAATAAGGTCTGAATTTCACCGACAGAGCGCGATCGTTCAACACTGCGTCGGACATGTGTTTGGGAGCCAGAGGCACGTGTGCCACCCATGGTTGCTTACTCAGTACTAACCCAGCCAGCAGCCCTAGGGCATTCTTGGAATTTTTTCCAAGATGGCCGCCTCTCACTGGAGGTCCTAAGAGTCCATTTCGTACACAACCTACCGCACACACAATCTGAATGGGTACCAAGTATTCAAAAGGTGTTTTCTCGGATGGCGCAGATTCCAACCGACCGAGTTTTCTCAATTGGCGCAGCACAGGGGTTAAACGGAAGGAATATTGGGGTGGGACCCAATCATTCAAAACCTATTTCTCACTGAAAATAACACTAGCCTCAGGTCTTGAACCTGTACAGGTTCCAGATTGAAGCAGGAATTAACAATGATTACAACCTATCAATTACCAAAACAGGAGTAAGAATTAAAATGAGGCCATCACAAAACATGCAATTTTTTTTACAGCCAAGTGTGCTAGGAAACTAGTTTGATTTATTTTTGGAGGATTACATGGGATGTAATACATACCTGGATGCTATGGGATGAATAATAAAACTCCTAACCAAATTTATAATTTGTTATTTAACTAAAGTAAAGTATTAATGTACTCCCAAACTGTACTGTGAGCATGACAAAGGGCTGGAGACCAATGACACCGATTGGATTGGTGAGCGCGAGTCACAAAACTCAAGCCGGGAGCCTGGGTGACCATAAAGAGAGCAAAGGCAAAGGAAGGCAACAGAGAATAGAACCCCCAGAAAACCCAAAAAGGAATCCGGCATTGCAGCAGCTAGTGCAAGGCCGGGCCCCCGAAGTCTGCACCTGGTCATTGCGAGATCAACGAAAGTGGTTGCCTCAAAGAAGCCAGAACAGCATTTGAAGCCAAACCTTGTCCAGAGGGAAAATAAGGGCAAATTTCAGGCAATACTGTAGGGCCACATGTGGAATATGGCCCTACAGTATCAATGCCATAAGCTGAAGGAAGTTACTGAATGGACTTGCCTGTTTAAAAATACCTAAAGATTCTGGTGACTGAAGTGAGCTCCTACCTTCAACCATAAAGTAATCGTCTCCTGCACTATCCGTAGGGTACTTTCCCACTCCTTCACTTCATCTGTAAACACAAACTAGTATTAATCAACAGATAACAGAAGATACATATGCAAATGAGAAACATCAGCAATGGGTTTAGGAAATACCTGTTGATATGTAACATAAAATATAAAAGCATTCCTACTCATGTTAATAATGCACCGAGTGTAAGGAAATGCACCAGCACAATAAGGACCTGTGGATAAGCAAGGCACCTGACAACTATTACTACCTAAGGAAAAGAACCTTTTCAAATTATCTTGCCCCTTCAACTCTCATATCAGGAATAGTTGAGGGCCACAGACATAACACTACAAACCAGATATGAGGGGATGATTTCATCAAGACATTTAAAATACAAAGAACAACTGCTTCAAGTTCAAGAAGCCATAATGAAGGATAAAAAAGGATGCTTTTTCACCCATAGGGTTATAAACCCATGGAATCACCTGTCAAAAACATAAATGCCAAGACATTACTTCAGTTTAAAATTCTGCATGAAAAAATCCTCAGGAACAAAGCAGGGATCTTTGATAAGCCACCAGCTTCCTGTCCCCAATCGAGGCCACTAGAAATGGTGACTTGGGTAATTTTAGACTAATGTAAAGCCACTATTTAGGTGCACAGAGTGCAAGAAACCCAGCATTGAATGAATTGAAATGCCAGTTTCTGTGTGAGACCCAATGGCTCCTTGAAGCTACAATGTTGATATAGTGCCAAACTCCTAGGTGCCATCAGTCATGTAGTTTTTAGGTCTACCAGGAACCATGAGCCAGAACCTAGCCCCTTTCTAAAGAGGCGCAGAGAGCAGTGGCATTATGATAAAATTGTTTGTGAATTTTAATTTTGTCCGCCACCACTGGGGAAGCACTCACAGTCAGCAAAACAAAACATACCACTACTGGTTAGAAGGAAGACCGATGCCTCAAAATCACTAAAAGAACTCCCCCCAACAATTTAAATGATCAAAAATTTATGAAACTAACACTAGCTCATTCACCACACCTTTCTCCCCCCTCGTTTGGTGGAAGGAAAGAGAGGCAGACTGGGTCAACCTGCTACTCCACCCTCAGTTGTGTGGTGATGGAAAAACCACCGAGTCGTAAGTGGATAGAGATTGTCAGCGAGTCACCGGGGCTCACCCAGAAATTGGTATTTCATTACATTCAACACTGTTTTTTTGGAGGAAGCCCTTTGTGGCTCCTTGAAGCCATGGAGAAGGTGAAGAAAAAGGATGTACCAGGGAGGAGGGAGTACCACAGGTACCACAACAAAGAAGATACCACCAGCTGCAACACACGACCCAAGGCCACACAAGGCCGACAAGGTCCAGGAACAGAAATGAGAAACCAGGCCACCAGGATCTTGGACCATCACTAAACACCCACTCGCCCAAAAGTGGTCCACAACATATCGGCTAACATCCAACAGAGCGGGCACACAGATGAACACCATGGGCATGAGGGCAGATTACATGCTGGTAAAATGCGAAGACAGCAGATTTCTCTACCCAAAAGTGTGTAGAAATTCACTAAACAAGAAGGAATGGTTTAACAGATATTGACCAGCATTTCATATCAAAGGAACCAAGTGAATAAAATTAAAAGAATACAGTTATGAATACAGCAACACCCATACATACCAGAGGGAGTTTTTAGTACAAGGACAAAAATGGCAAGAAATATCCAAACTCTTCCAGAATTAATGGAAGAGTTAATGAAAGAGCTAATGGAACTTTGGAGGCCTGGTCAGGGACTGCCACAGGGACGTGGAGCCCTGAAATCAATGCAAGGTAATCATCGCAATGTAACTCGGTCAAATGCTAGACAGGACACATAATGTAGCACCCCTTTCTGCCACATCTAACTTTTTCAATGTTAGAGCTGTCAGTAAATGCAACAGGTTAGATTTTAAATGTAAAATCTAGCAATGTTCTACCTCTACTGAGGTAGAACAATTCTATTGTTCTACTGTTCTCAGTTCTACTGAGTTCACAAAGGTTTCCTTTTGAGCTCCTTTTAACCAAAAAGAAATGTCCTTTTGACAATGTCGTGGCCTAGTTGACTAGGGCGTGTGCATGGGAACACCCACCTCATAGGTCCGAATCCTCATAACAGCTCCTACAGTATGAATCCTCATAACTCGGTCAAATGCTAGACAGGACACATAATGTAGCACCCCTTTCTGCCACATCTAACTTTTTCAATGTTAGAGCTGTCAGTAAATGCAACAGGTTAGATTTTAAATGTAAAATCTAGCAATGTTCTACCTCTACTGAGGTAGAACAATTCTATTGTTCTACTGTTCTCAGTTCTACTGAGTTCACAAAGGTTTCCTTTTGAGCTCCTTTTAACCAAAAAGAAATGTCCTTTTGACAATGTCGTGGCCTAGTTGACTAGGGCGTGTGCATGGGAACACCCACCTCATAGGTCCGAATCCTCATAACAGCTCCTACAGTTTTCTTATTGACACATCACGTTAGTGTGACTACTTTGTATACCGAAAGAGAAGCGTCAGAGGTAGAACATTCCTGGATGACAAAGCCAGAGTGCACAGGCGAAATGTGTGAAAATCCTGGTCCGGCTTCAGTGGAAACCTCAGGAAACCCTTGTGAGCTATGTACAACTTCAGGTTGCAATCCTTTTGACCATGAATGGCCTAGTTGACTAGGGGGTGTGTGTGGGAACACCCACTGCCTAAGTTTGAATACTTATCACAGGTACGGATTTTCTCATTGACATCACGTTAGTGTGATTACTCTGTGTATCTGTGGATGGCCTATGAACTCTTTTAAATGTAAAATGTTCATAGGCCATCACTCCCTTTGCCTCTCTGGAGGGAGGCCAAGTTCTGGCTTGTGGTCCCCAGTAGGCCAATAAAACTCCTCAATTGATGACGACTAGTAGTATGGCACTAAATCAGCGTCATAGCTTCAGTGAGCCGATAGGTCTTCCCTCAGAACAACCTTCAACTTTTAATATGGAAATTATTTCCCAAAACTGGGACACATCATCAGTACTCGTTAAAAGTACGTAAATTAACCCAGCCTGGTTAAGACAGTTGGGAAAACCTACCTCAGCATGTTGAAGTGCAGCATGCATGTCACCAGTGAACCCGACCAGCCAAGATGCTCCAACCAGGGTAAAGATGGAAGCTCAAAACTCCAGACTTGTCCCAACGTGAAGACTAGTGAGGTGGACCACAAAGGAGCATTACCAGAACACTCCAAGGAAAAGAACCCTGGCAGCACAAGGGAAAGCACTAGAGTGTGCCCAGAAACCCTGAACACCTGCAGCTCCAAGTGCACCAAACTCCTGGCCCACCTGCACCAAAGTGCAAGGAATAGCCACCAAGGCAAAAGAAAACCCAAGAAAAACACTGGGTCTTTCTGACTCTGGTCACCGGTAGGACAAATAGAACTTCCACTACTAATTTGACCCTTCAGTAAAGCTTGTGGCAATCTCAGCAAGGTAGCTTCAGGAGCCTCCAGGGGGCTCCCTCCAGAAATCCCCTGGAACAATGTGGTGACCTTTGACAAGCTGCCAGTGTCCTATTCCCGTCAACCCCACCAGAGCAACCCCTCAAGTAAATTCAGATAAATACATTTACACCTCTCATGTTTCTAATAATTTATATAACTTACCTTGAAATGGTCCAACAAAGGGAGAGTTTTTAATGGTATGTGTTGTAATGAGATGGTCCTCCACCAGCTCCCGCACTTCTTGCAGCCCTGCCAGTACCTCTACATCAGCCTCTCTGTAACATAACACACAAGCAAGGTCTATTTTTGCTCAGGAACTACAAACTATATAACTACAAACTAGGAATTATAACTACAAACTGCTAGGTGACCAAACCTCAGTATAACAGAAAATAGAAGTACTAGATCATAAATAAAAAAAAAAAATAGTGAGCATTGTTATTATTAGATGACAATCCAAGTACTTCTATACAAGACTATCAGTCAGTTTATAACAAATGCTGTCAAAATAATAAGACAGCACTTCAAGAAAATTAAAGCAGATCAAGATCTTTATATCATAGGTATTACTGGTAGGAAGATGGTTCAGGCATCCATTAAAGCATTGAGGAATTCAAAATAGACACTTCTTAATTGATGATTCTTTTCTTTGACTGCACTCACAGGGCACTGTCACTTTGTGGTCTGCTACAGTTTCTCCACCTCAACATTTTCCTCTCAATGGAATGAGTTTTCACATTCTTTCCCTTATCACTGGACGTCTCTCTTTCTTTCTTCTTGTCTCATACTTTCTTATTTGTATTCATTTGTTGAGACCTTTTTCATTCTTTCTACAGTCTCATGTTGCTCAGTATAAGAAAAGTATTATATATAAATGGTTTCCAATTCATGGGGGCAGGACGTTTGTTAGTTTATTAACAGTATCGATGGCCATGGACGACACTCACGTCCACTTTTTTTCTAGAGTCCTAGCCGTAGAAAGCACTCACGTCCAATACAAAAATATTTGTATAAAATTCATTTTTTATCCCATTGACTTCGGGATAGTTTTAAAATAAGCGCCCTTAGAGTGCGCACAATTTGATACCAAAATGAAAGATGTAACAAGAAACCTGATGTCAGAACACTTGAAAGATTATAAATATGTTTTTGGTCAAAATATTAAAATATTTGTTAAAATTCTATTTATTGTGCTATTATTTTGGGACTAGTTTTAAAATGCGCGCCTTTACATTGCGAACAATTTGATACCAAAATGAAAGATGTAACACAAAAATTTATGTCACAACAATGGAAAGATATAAATAATTTTGTGATAAGCATACAAAATTAAAATATATGTTAAAATTCCAGTTATTGCTCTATTATTATGAGACTAGTTTTAAAATACGCACCTTTATATTGCAAAAAATTTGATACCAAAATGAAAGACGTAACACGAAAATTGATGTTATCAAACTGAACGAGTATACACATTAGGATGCGTTGTGCCAATTGGTGCTCGTTTACAGGTAACTTTAGGCTTTCCTGCGTGGAATCACGCCGGGCTTTTGTACATTATATGCATATACGCATGCAGGGAATTTAAGGTTCCCCTATGCCAATAACTAACCTTCCTCAATATCCAACTCACAACAGTCACTGTTTCCTGTTATTGCTAGTTGAATAGAGCCTTCCTGCATACGGAAATGTGCCCAAAAATTTCCCTAGCCAAAAATCAAACTCTGGTTTAACTGGATATGAACTGACTGCACTACTATACCACAGATCATCTGTAGGAAAATACTATGGAAAAATAACTTGGAGGATTTACTAAAGAAATCTACATGCTAGCTTGACTTTCCACAAAAAAACAACTGTCACTTTACTGTACTGTTTTCAGAGTAAGGAAAAAATTATGACCATCATTATGAATACACAAGCAGACTTCTGTAGTATATGGCAAGAAACAAGAATATAAAATGAATAGTTAAAGGCCTAGCTAGGAAAACAACACTTAAGCTTTGAAAGTTTTGATACACTTTCCGGTACTGTCCCTTGGTTGTTCACAAATCAAAGGACAGGCCCACCAACGACACTGCTCTCGCACTAGACCCTTGTTGACTTTGAGCCCGACTATGATAAGTAATTGTTTAATTGGTCTAAATACACAGTCTAGGAATAGGGATGCAGTAGAGTGTAGAGTTCAATCACACAACCAAGAGATGCCACTTGATATTATACCAAAAAACCAGCACTGAATGTAATGAATCACCATTTTCTGGGTGAGGCCCAGAGACTCCCTGGGGTTATATAGGACTGATATACACAATATTAATCTGGGGCTTCAGTCAATGGAATTCTGCCTACCGGGGACCACGAGCCAGAATCTGACCCCCTCAGAGAGGCGCATGGAGCAATGGCCTAGAAGGAAACCCCCTGGTATTTGGGGGTATTCCCTGTCTGCCATCGCTCAGAGTTAGGCGCCCAGAAAGGTAGGCATCTCAAAATAAACCCCACATGATAGGAAATTGAGAAAAAAAGAGACTGAACAGAGAAACAGAACTCCCCAAAAGAAAACAAGCAAAACAGGCAAACATTAACCACCGCTGCTGTGCTGCTTGTCCATACAGCTCCCCCCCCCCCCACCCTCCTCCTCCAGGAAGGGGAGGGGCAAGTCCTGGATCCTTGCGCCAGCTGCCCAGCTCCTCAGTTCGGAGGCTAAGCATAAAAAACGAAACTGCCGACCCGAGGGAGGGAGGGAGGGTGCCAGGGAGCCTCCATGGCTCACCCAGAAAATGGCTTTTCATTACATTCAATGCTAGTTGTGTGGAGAGCCCCTTCAGCTCCCTGGAACTACATAACTAAAGATAAGGAAAAGAGGGACTTATTCGGGAGGCGGCCACCACTCGCCCCTCAACTCTAAATCGAGACAACTGGTTGCAGCAGCCCCCAAGGGTAAGGTCCTCCGGGGTCTGAGAGCGGCAGAAGGGATGTCCCCGAAGGAACCAGAACAGCCACCGAAGTCAGATCCAACCCGACAAGTAGACCAGCTCAGCGAAGGTCTGACTCCAGCACAGCTGCTCGAACAATCGACGCATGACCCGGATGCCTTCCAGAAACAGCCGATACAGCTGGAACTGGAAACAGGTGGGAAACCCACCTGAGGGACGCCGTCGTTTCGACCACACCTAAGCGAACCCACTCCAGGATGACCCAACAGAGCACAGGGAAAGAGGCTTGCCTTACCAGCCCGAATCCCCCGAAGTAGGAGTAGCCACCCAAAGGCACCGCAGGCCAGAGGAAACGCCCTGAAATGCCCATGAATAGTAAGAAAAGATGAGAGCAAACAGGGCAAGCTTTCTCCCGTTAATGGGGTGAACCACAAAAGGCCTGATGACCCTTACAAGGTCATCACTATACCACACAATACGCTGTGAACATCGTGAACAGCATTGAATCCCTGATATTTGAACATTGTACCCAGTCATTATCCCACTCAGGCTCTTCTATAATACTATCATGGCTAAATAATACAGGTTATATATATATTTTGGCATTATTAGGCGATGCTGTGGTCACACACTGAACAGCAGAGCTGTGCGCTCATGCTGCGAGCGCCAGCCTTGGTTGCTCACTCACTACTGAGGCTCTGACACCCGGCAATGTGGACCATGATTTTTTTTTTTAAGATGGCGTCTGTTTACAAGAGCCCTGAGGAAGCTGATATGAACCCCATGTATCCGCGGGAGTTTTGAATGGAACGCGAAAAATAACAACACCCGGAGGCGCGTTGCGCACCCGAAGCCTGGGCCTGCAGGCATGTTGTGCAGTTAAAGGGTTAAGTTTGACTCTGGGGATATCAGAGATATTTATGTCTGGTGTGGTGACTGTGTTCTATTACATCTGTCCAGGAAGAGTTTGAGAACAGAGTTTGCACTTAAGAAAGGGTTTTATAAATGTAAATGACACAAGAGAATGGATGGAGTGAATTTATGTTTAGCATGTTTAGGGATTTAAACAGGGGAGCTGTGTGTTGTTTGAAAGTAGAGTTTGTTATTATTCTGATAGCAGATTTTTGCTGGGTGGTGATGAACTTGAGGTAGTTTGCAGAGGTTGAACTCCATACACAGATACCATAAGTAAGATAGAGATAGGTAAGTGCATAATAGTGAGAGGAGAGCAGAGTAGGGTACATAATATCTGATCTTAGAGTGTATACCAACTGTTTTAGAAACTTTTTTAGTTATGTGTTGTATGTGGGTTCTGAAGTTGAGTCTCTTGTCTAAGTATAGGCCAAGGAACTTTCCATCATTTTTACATTGTCTATCTGAAATTGAATTGCATTTGTTGATTTGCTTCCAAATAAGATGTAGTAGGTCTTTTCTATGTTTAGTGAGAGTTTGTTGGTTGACATCCATAAGTGGACTTTTTTAATTCATTGTTTACAACATTATTTAATATGAGTGGATTGGGGTCAGAGTAGATGAGGGTAGTATCATCAGCAAACAATATAGGTTTAAATATGTTGGACACATTAGGCAGATCATTGATGTATATAACAAATAGGAGGGGTCCTAGGATGCTGCCCTGTGCCACCCCTACAGTTAATGGTAGAGTGGGAGAGGTTATATCATTGATGGCTACATATTGGTGTCTGTCACTAAGATAGGATCAGATGTAGTTCAGGGCAAGGCCTCGGATTCCATAATGGAGGAGTTAAAGTAAAAGGTAGTTATGGTTAACAGTATCAAAAGCCTTGCTCAGGTCAATGAAGAGTCCAATTGGAAACTCACTTTTGTCAAGGGTTGAGTAGATTAAGTCAAGCAGACTAACAATTGCATCATTGGTACTCTTTTGGGAGCAGAAGCCAAACTGACAGGGACTTAGTATACTGAATTTTACTAGATAGGAGTAGAGTTGTTTGTAAATAATTTTTTCAAATATTTTTGATAATACAGGTAGATTTGATATGAGTCTGTAATTGTTTATGTCTGTCGGATGTAATGCTAGGAAGCTTTGGGTAGCTTTGGGTAATTAGACAGACCCCTGCTACCTATTGGATGTCAGGCGACACTTTTACTTGGTATTTGGCAGAACATTTTTTATCGGTAATTGTGTCGACAATTATTTATTTTAGGTGGTGTTGAATGTAATATGCCTCTCTTACTAGTGTGTTTGAGCTACCCTCTTCACTATCCACCCCTGGATTGGGAACACCACTTGAAAATTTACTTATGATGATGGGGTTAAAGTTCGAAGAAGGCCTGATATATGAGCAGTGTTGTGGGTGGACACCAGGGGCTTGGGGAGCAACCAAAGGGGACTTGCTCATAAGAGACAAAAAATGGAAAAGTTGTATCCATAGTAGAAGCAATCTGCATGCAAGTAAAACAAATCATAAGCAATTATGAAAAAGGAAAGGGAGTACTGACGGTTGTGGGACCTTCCTCAGCTTTGCTGTCTGCCAAGCACGCTGCATATTGGCTAGTGACAGCTCAAGGCTGTACTCACGAGATGCACCACTGCTCACTACCTCAAACTCCTTTAACAATCCTCCAAGCTGCATTTGCACCACTTTTCGAAGACTGAAAAGGCATGTGGGTTATGTATTGAATTTCTTAATATATATATATACATAGGTCAATTAAGCAATCAAGCTCACTGTAACCATGAGGGTTCAACTACATTCTTGCTCATATATTTATCATACACCTCTTATCATAACACAAATTTATCTAAAGATAAAAAAATATTTTTAATAAATTAAAGAATCATGCATACATTTATGACATACATAAAATATGCTATCATTTTAAATAGAACTGCTCACCTATATAATTGCAGTATCTTGGATATTGATAATACTTATGTACAGCAGAAATTTGCTTGAATAGAATAGATTCTAAAGCATACCAAATACAATGGAATCAGTGACAACCGGTTATTACCTAAGCATGTAATTACTTTATTTACAGGATGAGAGCTATGGTCGTGGTGTTCCATCTTCCCAGCACTCTGTCATATAACACTTTGAAACTACTGTACTGACAGTTTTGGTCTCCACCACCGTCTCACCTAACTTGTTCCAACCGTCTACAACTCTGTAAAAGTGAATTTTCTTTTATTTCTTCAGCAGCTTTGTTTACTTTAAATCTATGACCTCTTGTTCTTGATATTTCAGGTCTCAGGAATTCTTCCCTATAAATTTTAACGATTTCTGTTACTACAGTATTTCGTACGTAGTGATCATATCACCTCTTAATTCTATGTATCCTCTAGTTTTGGTATATTTAATACCTCTAACCTTACCTCATAGCTCTTGTCTTTCAGTTCCGAGAGCCATTTAGATGCATGTCTTTGCTCCTTTTTCAGTTTGTTCATGTGTGTCTTAAGATATGAGCACCATACAACCACTGAATATTCCAGTTTTGGTCTAACAAAAGTTATGAACAATTTCTTTAGTATTTCAACATCCTTGTACAGTACTTAAAAGCAATTCTGAAATAGGAAAGTGTAGCATAGGCTCCTTGCATGATGTTCTTATGCGGTCCTCAGGTGATAGTTTTTTATCTAGAACCACCCCTATATCTTTTTTTTTATCAGAATTTTTAAAGATTTTTCACATAGTTTGTAGGTTGTGTGTGGTCTATATTCTCCTATTACATTTTCCATAACATAGCATTCATTCACATTAAGTTCCAGTTGCCAAGTGGTGCTCCATACACTTATTTTGTCTAGGTCTTCTTAAAGGCCATAACAATCATCTAAGTTTATCTTCTCTAATACAGTATATTGGCATCAGGAGCAAACATTTTCATATAATTCTGTATTCCATCTGGTAGGCTGTTTATGTATCTATCTTGAGGTTATCTTGAGATGATTTTGGGGCTTTTTAGTGTCCCCGCGGCCCGGTCCTCGACCAGGCCTCCAGCCCCAGGAAGCAGCCTGTGACAGCTGACTAACACCCAGGTACCTATTTTACTGCTAGGTAACAGGGGCATAGGGTGAAAGAAACTCTGCCCAATGTTTCTCGCCGGCGCCTGGGATCGAACCCAGGACCACAGGATCACAAGTCCAGCGTGCTGTCCGGTCGGCCGACCGGCTCCCAATGAACAATGTAGACAATCCCAATGTCTCCCAATGTAGACAATGAACATTACCGGTGCAAGAACTGAGGCTTGTTATACTCCACTCATGACATTTCTCCAGTCCAATACATTGCCTCTGATTCCTGCCCTTATTTTTCTGTCAATTAGAAAATGTTTCATCCAAGTCATAAGCCTCCCCGTCACCCCTAAAATATGTTCCAGAACAACCTCTTATGTGGAACTCTGTTGAAAGCTTTTTTTTTAAGGTCCAGATAGATACAATCAACCCAACTATCACGTTCCTGTCAAGAAAAAGTAATGTAGTAGGGGGAAGGCCTGGTTGACAACCGAGTCGAGGGGATGCTAAGCCCCGAAATCATCTCAAGGTAACCTCTCAAGGTAGTGATCTAAGGAGATTGATTGGGAATACCCAGAGCATGGGTTCGAATCCTCCTCATGGCTCCTACTGATTTTTTTATTGATACATCACATTAGCCTGGTTGACCAGACCATCAACCAGGAGGCCTGGTCAGAAACCAGGCCATGGAGACAATGATCTTTGTAGTCATTGCAAGATTACCTCTGTCAAAGAAACTAAAATTTGTTACCCCCAGGATCTTCCTGTTTGAAAACCATACTGTCTTATTATATCATTTCTCTCCAGGTGTTCTATCCATTTGGATTTAACTTTTTTTTCTAGTGTTTTGACTTAAATTCTTGTCAATTATACAGGTTAAGAGGGTCTTCTCTGTTAACATTTGTGTAAATTTGAACTGTTTGCCATTTTCCCAATATCTACCAAGACTCCTGAACACACAAATGCCAGAAAAATTAATTGGAGTGGAGTGCTCAGCTCAAATGCACATTCTCTCAGAACCCCAGGTGATACTCCATCTGGGCCAACTGTTTTGTTCTTTCATAACTCCTTGAGCATTTTTTCCCACTTCATCTCAAAACACCTCTATGTACCCTATGTTATTCTCTAAAATTCATACTGTCTGGTTCTCTGAAAATTTGCACACACACACACACACTTTGAAACTGGCCGTTCAGGGTTTCAAACATTTCCTTTTCATTCTCTGTGAATCTGTTCACCATTTTCAACCTCTGGATTTTATCCTTTACATGCAATTTCCTTTTAATAAATTTATAGAGCAGGCCTGGTTCTGTTTTAGATTTGTCCACTATCCCTTTCTCAAAGTTTCTTTCCCATTCAATTCTAGATTATAATGCTTTGCATATTTTATTTCCAAAAGGACATGGTCCCTCGTAACCAAAGGAAGTCATTGAATGTCATATCTCCTTTTCTTTCCTGGTGAATATTAAATCCAGCACTGAATAAACAAGCCCTTTCCTCATTCTCATGGCCTGCTTATTATGTTGATACATGAATGTCTCCAGGATGAGATTAATGGATCTGCCAGTCCAAATGTTCTCTGTTCTTGATTTGTAGGCCTTCCAGTCTATTGATTTCAAGTTGAAGTCCCCCAGTACCAACAATCGTGATTCATCTTTATCTGCTCTTACTATAATCACTCATGACCATTATGAGGCCCTCTTTGTTTCTCATTCAGCTCCTTTTTTGTCTATGTGTTGCTTGCTGGTGGATTGTAAGCATTTATGATTATTAGTTTATCATCCTGATTTCAAATCTCCAGTGCCATTATGTCCTGAGTTGGCAAATAAAATGTTAGTAATAAACTCTCTTACCTTTAGATGTTCTTTCACCAGCACAGCAACACCTCCACCTTTTCCCAAAATTTCTGTCGTCTCCAAATCGACTACCACCTCAGAAATAAAACCTCATTTAAAATATTAGCTACAAGTTTTGTCTGTTAATCCGACAATATTTGACATCATTTAGCTCTAATATTTTTTACTATATCTATTTTAGAGAGCCAATGGGGGCTCACCCAGAAGCTAATTTGCTTGACTACTGCAGAGCCATGGAGAGTGAAAAGTGGAAGTGAGGTACGAAGCGAGAGTTGCCGACTTCAGCACAGCTGCTGTGATGGGTGTTGCCACCTAGTCGTGGAAAATGCAACTTTGATTCCTAATTAATAGTGCAGAGTAATAATTGGCAGCCCTTATGGTTCCTATCATTTCATGCATACATGGGTTCTTAAAGGCGCTGAATAATTCCTACTGTTAAGGACAGGATTCCTGTACTTATGCTTACTGAGGTCCCCCTCAGCCAACTACTGACCTTCCCAAGGATACTACTCACAACAATTGCTTAGCTCCCAGGTACCTTTTTACTTCTAGGGAACATAGGCATCAAGTAAATGGAAATATGCCCAACCATTACCGTCCTGACTGGAAATTTACATTGAGAGACAAGGATAAACTACTGTACTACACTGGCACATCAGTGGTGGCTTTAAACTTGTCACAAACTTCCTTCACAATTTGTTCTTGACAAAACAATTTGCAAAGATGTTTTTGATGATGGGAGACAAAGTTTATAAGAGCCTGATGGGTAATGCGAGTCCTGGATGGACCAAAAATGAGCTCTGGTTTGGGAAGCGTCCAATGGGCCTTAGCTCGGAAAACAATGCTGTATTGTTGTAAAATGTTTGCAAAATTCATCAAAGGGCTAATGCAATTTGACTTGGGCTGTAGTTTGTGAGACGCAATACGAATCTGTCCATTCAAGCAAGAGTACACTGTACATACAGTACCAGAAAAATAATATACTTTATTATTATTTAAAAATACAGTACTGTAACAAAGAGCAAATCTTGCTTTGCAGTCTTTGTTTAATAAATATCCAAATTACAGAGTAAAATTTTGCAAGAAACAATGATATATATACAAGTACATAAATAAGCCAACCTGGTGCCAGCATTGGGAGTAATGTCAAATCCAGCTGCCTTGTTGAGATTTTGCCAGTGACGTGGTCGCAAACCTTTGTTACACAGAACAGACACCAGTGGTAGATGCTCCTTGAAGTTTTTGATCTGAGTGAGGGCAAGAGCGCACACTCGAAGTGGTCCTGGCAGGTTATCTGGATTAGGGTCATCTAGATTCATTCTGGCCTTTCGTGGGTCACCCTCTAAAGCCTGTTGCTTGAACTTCATCTTAAAAGTTTTACGAAGCCGGAATAATTCCCTGAAAAAATATTTTATCAGTGTCTCACATATAATAATTTAATAATATTTCCTATTATAAAACACATTTTAGGAAGTATTATAAGATTAGATTAGATTATCACATAGCATGAGTTTGTTTTGTGAGGTCTGCTTTGGCCCAAAATTCTCATTTTACTCTTTTTTTTTTTTTTAAAGGTGATGGAAAGTCCCAATAAGTGTTTAACTGTATTAAAAACCCAGTGCTTGGATGTAACCTGTATCCTTTCTCAAGGTGCTGTATACAATGTATTTAGAGAGAGAGCATTGTATACACCATCTTCAGAAAGGATGTGGATTACATACAAAAATTTGTTTTTTAATACACTTACACATTTACTGGGTCTTTCCTTCACCTTCAATCAAACACTATGGCACAATAATAAGTTACTCCACTCTTTTTATTACATTCAAATAACATGACATACCAAACGATGCATAACTCATACTGATGAAACAAAATACCAGAGTTGAATGTAATGGAACAACAATAACTGGGTGAGTCCAAGTGGCTCCCTGAAGCTACTATATACTGATATGGCACCATCTAATAGGTCACATCAGCCTTGGAGTTCTACAGGCCTACCGGGTACCAGTGCTAGAACCTGGCTCCTCAAAGAGGCACAGCAAGCCGTGACTTATTTTGGCAATTGTGGATTTATAAGTTTTCCAGAGGTTCCACTTAGTTATTATGCTTGTTTACTACCCATGTCATCCATCTACTTCTTTCTGATTTTTGGGACATATTTTTGAACGAGTTTAGTGATGACCTTGAAATTTTCCCATGATGCTTCCATGCTGTGTTCACCTATCAGCTCCATCCAGGAGGCATTTTGTAGTTCCTCTCTCATTCCTTGATAGCCTCCTCGAGTGTAATCTAGATATTCATCATCGTGGTCCTTTACGTGAGTTTCTATATGTGTAGTCCATCTTGTAATACTTTATGGTGATTACACAAGAGGATTTGCTTTTTCCCTACCTGAAGCAAATTATGAAGATCTTTCATCATACTTTTGTAAGTAACAAACCTTTTTACACAGCACAGAGGATGTAGGTCCTCTCAATTTCTTTTTTACTTGGATAAGTAGCATGGGTGGGAAGGGTTGACTGGGGTCTGATATGTCAAGCAAAATTCCTTCTGCGACAAATCAGCCTTGTCCCATATGCATCGTTCAGGTATTTCACACTGTACATTTGAATCCAAGAAAAAACCCAGTGTTGAATGTAATGAAACGCCATTTTCTGGCTGAGACCCGGAGGCTCCCCAGAGCTATACCGGGCTGATGTGTATATATTAGACCGTGGCAACAGTCAATCGAAGGAGTTCTAGGCCTACTGGGGAGCCTACCTGGGAGTCCACCGGGGACCAGAGCCAGAACCTAGCCCCCTCAAGAAAGGCACGAGGAGCAATGGTCTCCAGACACCTCCATGATATTGGAAGCAGTCTTTATCTGTCATCTACCAGGTCAGGCACCCAGAAAGGTAAGAATTCCAAAACAAACTACTACTTATCAATTAATTTGCATCCGAAAGCCGAATTAGCTACAAAACTCCCCCAATCAAAATCAAGGAAGCAAGACTGACGTCACCACAAATGCCGTGCATCTGTCTGTGCAACCCCCACTTCCCAGGAGGGGGACGGGGGTCCGAGACCTCCACGCCAGCAACTCTCCTCACTTCAGAGGCTGAGCATCAAAAATGCCGACCGGGAGGGAGGGAGGGATGCCGGGGAGTCTACGGGTCTCACTCAGAAAATGGTGTTTCATTACATTCAACGCTGGTTACCTGAGGAGAGCCGCTTCGGCTCCCCGGAGCTACCTAACCAAAGATAAAGAAAAAGAGGGACTTACCCAGGAGGCGGTCGTCACTCAATCCTCAACTAGAAGTCGAGACAACTGGCTGCACCATTCGACCCAAGGCTACACACGCCCGAGAAGGGCCAGAAACTTTAACGAGATACCGTGCGACCAGGACCATGTTCGACCTCCAAAAGCCCTGTGACCAAATGTCAGTCCAGGACATATTCCCCAAAACAGCAGCTAAAGCTGCAAACTTACGAACGTCGTGGGCACGGGGATAGACCGCAGGCTGGCTGGACTGAATAATCCTGCAGACGACTTGGGAGACCAGTGCCCTGGGACAGGGAAGAAGGGAAACCGGGTCCACCCAAAGTGTGTCCCTCGCCACGGAAGTCGTGGTGCACAGATAACGGCAAAGAGCCGCAACAAAACATGATGCACCACCGGCCGAACCAACCAAGCATCAACAACCCAAGGACCCCTTCGGAAAGCAGCAGACTCACTCTTCCCCAGAAAAGAAGAAGGCTGCAAACGAATGAAACGACCACCACGACCGAAAGAGCAGAAACCCCTGTGCCAGAGGAGAGCATGAAGCTCCCCGATCCGACACTCTGAAGACAATGCGAACTAGAAGAGCCTTAGAAAAACAGCCCTGAAACGAGGGGTGCCACCACAAACCGAGGAGAAGAAAGAAAAAGAGAGCACTCGGTCCAATGACCAGGACGGCTCAGGTGGCGCATGAGCAGGTCGGAGGTGAAACAACGCCTGAGAAAGTTTGCGGAACAGAGCAGAAGTGACCTCCACCCTAAATGCAAGCTGCAGTGGCTCCGTCAGCGCCGCACGATACGAGGAGACAGTATTTGACATAAGATGACGGTCCTGAAACAACCAAGAGAGAAAGGACAAAACAACCCAATCAGAAATCGAAGACAACCTACGGAGACAAAAAAATGCAGAAAGAACCGCCAGGAAATTTCATACCTCTGTCTAGACGAAACTTGCAGGTGGGACACCATCAACGAAGCCACCTGATCACCTTACAAGTGGTGATACACCCGCGTCAAAAAGACCAGATGTGAAGAGTGAAGGAGAAGATCGAACCAATTACGTACCTGACTAGACCGATCTGCTGAAAGAGGTGGAGCCGCGGGAAGACCCTTGGGTTCAGACATTGAGCAAGAAGTGCCTGAAACCAAGGCTGGGCCAGCCACCAGGGAGCCAACAGGACTACTCTACCCTGGTAAGTCTCTTACCAGGGTAGAGTAGTCCATAGAGCCAGTAGAGTAGAGCCAGTCCGAAGATAGTTCCAGCAGAAAAATGAGAGACAAGACCGAAGCCAAATGCCCACGGGCGCGCAAATCCATGGCCACCAGGGATGAGGAAAGGGAGGGAACCTGCGCATAAAACTGAATCTGACCGACATCACGAGGAAGTACAGGGGCGAACAAGCACGCATTGAGGTGCTCAAATTTGCTCCCTAGGTAAACCTGAACAACCGTAGTCACTTCCTGCCAATCAAGCGCACGGGTCCGACAGAACAAATGCCACGCCCCCAATGAAAAGAAAGGGCAGTCCGCCAACCAGGAAGACTCTGGCACCTCGTAACACATCCCGAAAGAAAATGAGGAGCCAAACTCGAAAGAAGAAGGACACCCTGAGTCAAGGGGACAGAGCAACCTTCAAACTCACACAAGGTGAGATGGGACTCTGAGGTCTCTTCCATCGGACCCCTGAGCCCCCAAGGGGGTTTCCAGGGCCCTTAGGCTGACTGCAAAGGGAAGCCAAGGCGAGGTACTGCTAACCAGTTATCCCAGAGCTACCAAGCAAACAAACTATAAGCTGAACCCCTGCGACGTGTACAAGCATAGGGACCTAGTGGAGGGCCACCAAAATCCTACAAGTGGTCCTACCACCACACCAGGCAGACCCCATCAGGCAAAACAAAACAAAAATAAAAGAAAACCCCCGCAAAAGCACAATGTCTCCAGGTGAACAGAACCGGTCGCTATGCGTATATCAGACAGCTGCACAGTACCTTGCGCCCCTGCCAGCGACGAAACTGCCACCTACCCAAGGGAAAACAGGAGCAAGAACCACCCCAGCTGAACCCCAAGGGCGGGCAATCACTGAGTAGCAACAGAACCACCCAGAGATTGTTCCCGAACGGCTCAGGGAAGATAACCCTGAAGCCACAAGGGCAGTACTTACAGGGCACCTAGGGAAGGTGACCTTAGGTGCATGCAGCCCCAGTACTGTACTCTTGTGTTACTCCTGGCTCGCACGATACCAAAACTGAACACCACCACCGCACTGTAGCACTGCTCAAAGGATAGAGCCAGAGTCGATCAATCGTTCGCCCTCACAACAGCCTATGAACTGAGAAGAGTTGCCTGCGTGGAGGTCTGGGACCACCCCGTCCCCCTCCCGGGGAGGGGAGGGGGGTTGCACAGATGGATGCGGAGGGGTTTGTGGTGATGTCATGTTTATTTCCCTGTTTTTGATTGGGGAGTTCTGTTTGCTTTTTCGGCTTTCGGTTTGTAATTTTTTGACCAGCAGTAGTTTGTTTTGAAATTCCTACCTTTCTGGGTGCCTGACCTGGTAGATGGCAGACAAAGACTGCTTCCTATTACATGGGGGGGTGTCTTTAGGCCATTGCTCCTCATGCCTTTCTTGAGGGGGCCAGGTTCTGGCTCTAGTCCCCGGTAGGCCTAGAACTCCTTCGATTGACTGTTGCCACAGTCTAATATATATATCAGCCTGGTATAGCTCCGGGGAGCCGAAGGGGCTCTCCACAGAAAATTTTCAAGTGTTGCTTATTTGAGTTTTAGAGCCCTTTTAAATCCACTTTGTACAAGAAGGAAGAATGAGTCACACTAGTACAGATTTTAGTGTATAATTGATATATTCAACCAGTAAAAACTTCATAGCCCAACTGTTCCATTCTGCCCATCACATTACGTACCATTCACTTGCCTCTCATCATCACATGGCCGTTCGCTATTCCCTACTTCTAACTTTCTCATATTCATATTCTTACCTTGCTAACTCCTCTGTTTCCCCATCTATAAAATCTGGGTCGAGACTAGTGAAGTCTCCATCCATCCAATACTTCTCATACTTGCGCCACTTCATAACTAGAGTAAAAAGTTCATCGTATGGCACCAAACAGTCCTGCAAATCAATTACAGTATTTAATCAAATGCCAAAAAATCAAAGCAATTCACAATAAGCAAGAATCATATTTTAGTAGCTAAAATGGTTACCTCTTTTGCCCAAACATACAGTACTAAGGATCAGCAGCAAATAGCCCTATTGGCTACACACGCTTATGTCTATGGCCCGGGGAATTATTTAGACTATGCCGACATGAAGAAGTCAACGTCTGGGACCCTGAACGTCCGACAAAGACTGAGGACGGAATCAGCATTGACAGTCCATTCCATGGAGAGGAGATAGAACTGAGACAGCCCATCAGCCAGGAGAGATTTGACACATTCTGGATATGAACGGCATGGAGATCCAAACCCCAAGAACTCGGCAAACGACCATTTGAAGCGACCAGCTCCAAAGAGATAGGGACTGCAGGAACCTTTCCTGCCCCCAGTTGAGACAATGAACCATGGGGGAGCAGTCTGAATGCAGCTGGATCACAGAGCCTGGAGGAAGCTGAACCCTCTGCAGAGTCTGCCACACAGCTCTGCAAACTCTCGAACCGTACTGTGCACTCAATGAAGGAGGGAAGGTCAACGACCCTGGCTGACCTGATGAGCACTGGTCACAAAGCCCCAACCAAGAGCAGGGGCATCCGTGAAAACCTCGAGCAAGGGTGGGGGATGGTGCCAAGGAACCGAACCCCGAAACGCCCAAAGAGGGAGCCGGTGATACAGCAACCAGTGCAAGGTCAAAGGAGTTCACACCCAGCAAGAGAAGCAAACGTTGCTGCACTGAGGAAACCAGAACACCCCACCAAAGCCAACCTCTGCTCAGGGAAAAAGCAAGAAGGGCAAAGTTCAGGCTCCCGCATGACTGCTCAAGCAATTGCCGACTCACCTGACTCCCTCTTACAACCAGATGACAGCACTGATGAAGGTGGAGCAAGGCTGCCGGAGGTAAGGAAAGTCATGCTGACCATGAATCCCAAACCAGGCCCAATCAGCTCCAAACCTGGGATAGAACTTAATGGGACTTCTGACAGTTCACCAAGAACCTGAACCCGGGGAGCTGGGAAAGAACCAAATCCCTGGCTCACTGACAGCATGAGCCTCAAGAGCCTGCCTTTCAACCAGAGCGAGCACTGCGCCTACCAGACGAAGTTTGGGGACAAACATCCAACCTAGCTGTCAGCACCATAAAAGACCCACCTCGATTAACAGCAGGGCAGTGATCTGCTGTTAGCTCTCACCTTTCGCAGTATTCTACTCGAGCCAGGGTGTTGCCATGGCTCAACCAGTTTACTGTGAAAGACAAGAATGACCCCAATACACACACAATAGGTCCTACACAGGATGGCAACAACAGTTGCAGCAGACAAGAACCGAGACAATGTCCTCAGAAAACAACAAAGACCAAAAAGGGGGAAACAGAATTGAGAGCCAGGGTCCATGCTGAATCCAAAGACTGAGCCAGCACGAGTTGCTGACATGCGTGACAGGTGGTGACAAACATGAATATTGCCTTCCGGAGGATCAAAGCAAACAGCTTAAGGAAGGCAGCAGAGGCCAAGACCCCTGCACAAAGGATCACACCGAGCATCCCAACATCCACCTCAAGCCAATCACAATGAATCTCAAGGAGGCTCAAGAAAAGCATGACCGAAGGAAAGTGCAAATGGGCAGGATGGTCGTCAGCAACCAGGGCAAACTGAGCATCTAGCATCTAGCAGAAAAAGACCCACATCACAGGAAAGGGCAGAAGTGAAGAGGCAAATACTGAGAGGCTCGAAAGAACCTCCCAAAAATACCTGCAACACCGAAGACACTGCCTGCCAGTCAAGCGTGCAGGTATGGTAAAACCTGTGTCAAGCCCCAAAGGAGAACAAAGAACAGTCCCCTAGCCAGGATGGTTCCTGAACCTCGTAACACATTCAATACAGGGAAGAGGAGCTGAACTCAAATGAACTTGGTCCATAATCGAGGCATAGACCAGGTCATGCAAGAGGTGCGAACCAATGGCCTCCGACTGGGTAACCCAGGAGGAAGGAAGGAAATCTCTGGAAGGATGTATCTGACTAACCCAAATGTACACAGAAACAAACCTGAGGGGAAGTGGGGGCAGCTGCAACCAAGTCTCAAAAATCAGATATTATGTTCCCCACTCTGCTCTCCTATCATGATACTACTTACTAATCTATTCCTATCTTGCATGTGGCATCTGTGCATGGGGTTCAGCCACTGCAAATTACCTCAAACCAATCATCATCCAGCAAAAACCTGCTCTCAGAACTAAACATAACTGTTTTCTGACAACACAGCCCCTCTGTTTAAATCTATAAATAAAACACTCGCCCACGTCACACATTCTCTTGTACTATTTACGTGTACAAAACCTTGTTCCTAAATGCTAATCCTGATCTAAAACTCTTCCTTGGTAGATTTAACAGAACCCATGAGCACCTCACCAGAAATAAGTCTTTGATATCCCCAGAGTGAAACTAAATCTGTGCAAATTCTCTATGCAAATAAAAGGACCCAGTCTATGGAACTCTCTTCCTAATGAATTAAAAATTTGTCAAACCTTATTCAAAAGTAAAATCAAAAGTACCTAATAATCCTTGTAGTTGCCTACCCTGTGCTTCAAACTCACATTTTATCTATGATGATAGGCTAATTATTAATCTATGAGGATAGGCTAATGGTACTAAATCCAACAACCAAGGAGGATAGAATAAACAGAAATAAACAGAAAAGAAGAAATAGCCTAAGCTACTCTATACCTTTGAGATTTTATTCTCTCAATAAACATACTTTAACATCAAAATACTGTAGTTAAATTGTAACAACAAATAACAAGAGGTACAACAAGGCTAGTAGATGAACAAATCCACAAGGGCCGTGACGAGGATTCGAACCTGCGTCCGGGAGCATCCCAGACACTGCCTTAATCGACTGAGCTACGACAGGGTAAAAAGAGTTGTAACACCTGAGTTGCAACAGTTGTAACATCTGGTTTCTTATGACGGGTCTCGCGTGGGGAAGAAGGTGAGGTTGTTATTGTGGTGTTATGGTAATTTTGTTCCTGGAGATGTTGCTCAGGTGTAATGATGTAAGGGCAAAGAGGGAGAACGGCCTATTGACATAGCTCGAGTGCAGGGGGGAGTTGTGTAAAACCCTGGTTTGTGCCTCGGAGAGGCTGCGGGATCCAGTAAGTTCAGTAGAACTTCGGTTTCAACTCTTTTACCCTGTCGTAGCTCAGTCGATTAAGGCAGTGTCTGGGATGCTCCCAGACGCAGGTTCAAATCCTCGTCACGACCCTTGTGGATCTGTTCATTTGATGCATCACATTAGTGTGATTTCTGTGTGTAAGGCTAGTAGATGGATCAAACAGCCAAACCCACTCTCCACAGAAACTTGGTTGTACTAACCAAGTCTCTCAACCTCTCAATTTTTTTTCTTTCATCTCTTGGATCCTTAATAGATAGGTTACTGCCATCCATTTACAATGTAAAACATGAACAATCATGCAAATGTAATTAGCAAAACTCACTTTAAGTTCAGCCAGAAGAGGAAAGGAGGAAAGCTGGAACTTGAAGAGGGATTCTTCCTGGTTGACCCACGTGACCAGTGTGCTCACCTTCTCCAATCTTCCCTCAAGCTTTCGCACTTCCTGAAGAACAGCCAGTCAAATTTCTGCAAAATACTATATTTTTATAATGCTTAAGATAACTTCAAATATAAAACTAATTAAAAAAAATTGTAACACCTTTACAAATCTATTTAAGACATTAATTTACACTTATATTACTATTTATTTATTTATTTATTTATGCATATACAAGAACGTACATAAGGAATGTGAGGATACAAATATGGTAATTACAATCTTGTAAAGCCACTAGCACGCGCAGCGTTTCGGGCACTACATATTATATAAGATACAGAGTAATGTTAATAGAGGAATTATAAAATAATATGATAGCACAAGGTTTTTGGTTAGACATGATTTAAACTGCAATGCACGCATATATGAACAACAATAGGAGGTTGCTAAAGTAAGGAAATCAGGTGCTTTGTTTTATTTTTTCATATATTGAATGTTGAGGAATTCTTTTATTAGAAAGGAAATTCTATTTTTCCATATTTGCACAAAATGTTCGGCATGTTAGTGTCTTTGCAAGATGTAAGAACACTAATGTTCTGTACTCTCACAAACCCAATGAACCTTCTTGTATATATAATTAAATAAACTAGAGTAGAACGTAATATAACGCCATTTTCTGGGCGAGCCCCGGAGGCTCCCTGGAGCTTATCGGGCTAATGTATTTTATATTAGACCGGGACATTTGCTATGGAGTTCAGACCTACCAGGGACCAGCACCAGAACCTGGTCCCTTCAGAGAGGTTTCAGGGAGCAATGGCCCTGGAAAACCCCCTTGTGGTTGGGGGATTTCCTTATCTACCATCGACCAGGGTTAGGCACCCAGAAAGGTAGGCATAACAAAACAAACCCCCACATGGTAAGAAACTAAATAAAAAACGAACAGAGAGGTAGAAACTCCCTACAATCCAAAGTTAACAAGCAAACATCACACTTTACTGCTGCGCCGATTGTACGCGCAGCCCTCCCCGCCCAGAGAGGGGGAGGTGGGAGGGCCTCGGACCTCAATGCACCAGCTGCTTAGCATCAGTTTGGAAGCTAAGCTTCAACCAACGCAAAAAAACTGCCGACCGATGGGAGGGAGGGAGAGTTACAAGGGAGCCTCCGGGGGTCACCCAGAAAATGGCGTTTCATTACATTCAACGCTGGTTTTCTGTAGGGAGCCCCTATGGGTCCCTGGAGCTACATACCTTAAGAGAAGGAAAAGAAAGGGCAGACCCAGGAGGCAGCCGCCACAAACTACGCAACACGAAGTCAAGACAACAGGCAGCAACCAGCAACCGAAAGCAACACAAGACCGCACAGGAACAAACACGCTCACAAAAGAATGGGTGGCCAGGAACCTGTGCGACCCCCAAATCCTCGTGCCCGAAATGAGCCCAAGATGTCGCCAAACATGGCATCGAAAGCTGCAAACGTCCGAACGGCACGGGCGCAAGGATGGACCACAGGCTGGTAGACTTAAGAAACCTGCGGACAACCTGGGAGACCCCGAGCCCTGAAACAGGGAACGAAGGAAACCGGATCAACCCAAAGCGCATCCCCAGCCACGGCACGCAGGTAACGGCGAAGAGCCGCAACCGGATAACACATGACGCACCTACAGCTGCATCAATAACCCAAAGACCCCTCCGGAAAGCAGCCATTTTGACCGTCGCCAGAAGAACGAAGAAAGGCTGCGAACATACAAACCTACCACCAGTACCAAAAGAGCAGAAACCCCTGCTCTGGAGGAGAGCCGGAAGCTCCCCGACCAGACCCAAAGAAGCCAATGCCAACGAAATACAGTATGGCCTTTGAAAAACCAATACCAAACCTTTGAGGCCAATACCAACAGAAAGAGAGCCTTGGAGAAACAATCTTGAACCGAAGGGGCTACCACAAACTGAGGAGAGGAAAGATAAGAAGACACCCTGATCAAGGACCAGGACAGCTCAAACGGCACATGAGCAGGCCTGAGGTGAAAACACGAGAAAGAGTACGGAACGGGGCGGATGTGACGTACACCCCGAACGCAAGTTGGAGTGGCTCCGCCAGTGCCGCATGATACAAGGCGATAGTAAGAAGCATCAATTAACAGTCCTGAAACCCCAAGAAAGGACAAGACAACCTGATGCGAAAGAGAAGACAACCTATAAAAAGCAAGAAAATTGCAAATAGAAACGCCAGGAACGTCATACTGTTGCCGAGATGAAGCTTGCACGTGGGACACCATCAACGAAGCCACCTGATCACCATAGAGTTGGTGATACACCCATGTCAAAAGACCAGATGCGAAGAGCCGATGAGAAGGCCGAACCAGACACGTACAGGACCGGTCCGACTTGTCGAAAGAGACGGAGCAGCGAGAAAACGCCCCGGGTTCGGACACATATCAAACAGCGTCTGAAAATAAAACTGGTCCGACCACCAAGGAACCACGAGGACTACTCTCCTTGGGAAGGACTCCAACCGAGCCAGAACCTGAAGCAACAGCTGGACCGGGAGAAGAGGAACAGGTAACTTCACCTCGACCAGTCCTGCCGAAAGGCATCCACAGCGAACGCCTCGCAGGCGGGTAAGGGCACCACATAGAATGGGAGATGCCGAGACCACGCCGACGCAAAGATGTCCATGTCCACGAGTTCGTACGTCCAGCAGAGCCAATGAAACGAGTCGGCAACAACCAGCCAAGCCGTGAACAGAGGAACGAACCGAGACAGGCCGTCCGCCAAGATGTAGGACACACCCCGGACATGAAATACACGGTTAGCCAAACCCCGAGAATCCAGCAGATGAGCCACTCAAAGGGACCAACCCCAAAGGTCAAGAACCTAAGAGAATCCCCGTGGTTTCGGTAATGACCCACCGGAGAACAGCCCGCATGGAGCCGGATGGCAGACCCGAGTGACCCGAACCCTCCGAAGCACAAACCTGACAGCCACAAACTCCCGAACCATGCTGTAAGCCCAACAGACGGACAGACCCCATCATCCCCGGCCGGCCTCGTGAGTACTGGTCACAAAGCCCCAGCCAAGAGATGACCCATCTGTGAACACATCAAGCGAAGGCTTAGGGAGGCACCGAGACATGGAACCCCCGAATACCTTAAAGAGGAAGCCGGTGACGCAGCATCAACACAAGATCCCCGGAGGACGAACCCAATGATTACGAGAGCGGAAGGGGAGTCCCCCAAGGAACCAAACAGACGCCGGAGCCAAACCCGACCCGGCAGGCAGACCAGCACGACGAAGTTCAAACTCCCGCACAACCGCTCAAGCAACCGCCGAGTGACCCAGGACCACCTCATAAACAACCGAAGGTGGGACCGCAGCCACAGCAACACTTCTGGAGGGAAAGACAAAGAAACGGTTCAAGAGTCCTAAACAAGACCCAGCCAGGTCCGAACCAAGGACGGAACCAGATGGAACGGCCTCCAGATCACCAGGAAACCGAACCCAGTGATCTGGAAAGAACCGCACCCCTGGCAAGCAGACAAGTGGACCGACTGGGAGCCCACACCAGCCAGTAATCGAGGTAAGCCAGAAACTGAATCCCGAGGAGAGACAGACAGGTCACCAAGATCTGGTAAAGATGCGTAAATACACTAAGTGCCAATTACAAACTAGGGAAAACAACAAAAGCGGCAAGCTTGAAGCCCCACCACCAACTGTGCCAGTCCCAGAACCCTGGAGCGGAATGTGCCAAAAAGTGACCCAGAGGTCCTGGGACACCATCCAGACACCCGACCCCAACAATAGCCTGACCGGAGACAACAGTCTTCCGAAGAGGGCAAAGAATCCAGGGCGCAGACTGAACAAGTCCGGATGAACCGCAGATCCGCAAGGCCCATGTCTGCACTAGAACAGGCGAGAACCCTGGAAGGATGGGTAGAACGACCACATCCAAATAACACCCACACCAAGATGACATGACAAAGTTCAGGGGAAGAAGCACAAACCGCCAGCCCCGAAACCCCAAAGGGGGAGAAGCCACCTGACGCCACCAAAGGCCGGAAGACAACCAAAAACGCCCATGAACTGTGGGACCAAGCGAGAGCCAACAGAGCAAGTTGCCTTCCCCCCCAGTGCCCCATCAACAGCAAACGGAACGGATCCCTTTCTGAAAGAAATTGTATACAGTATATATATAAATACACACACATACATACAAGTACATATATATATATACATCTGTACACATATACACATATACATACACACAAAATGTATAAAAACAGACATAGAAGTAAATAAAATTGAAAACATAAAATAAAGAAAAAACAAGCCGCCGGTCAGACGAAGAAGGCATTAAGAGAGCACAAAAACTGTACCAAAAGGCCCACCTCGACAACAAAAATCCAAGGGCCCGGCACGAACACAACACATGCCAAGACCCAAAAAGATCAGCTTGCAAACCAGGAAGACCCCGGAACCCCAGAAGGCAGAACCGGGTCACAAACGAGGTAACAAAAACCCCCTGAACCCACAAGGGGGCCCAAGAGGAAGAAACCTTTGGAACGAAACCAAAGAACCCAAAGGAACCCGGAATCGAACACGGGGGAGCCCAAACCACCACATTTACCGGCGGAATTACACCACAGCAGGGAAAAGCACAGCACCCAGACAGAACCCCCAGGGAAACTGACAAAACAGACCGAAATCTGGGGTGCAAGGTGTGGGAGCAAGCATAAACAGACAGGGACACTGAGCCCAAACCCTAGGGCCCAGACCCAAAACAGAAAGAAAACGCAAAAAACGGTGTAAAAACCAACACCCAAGTATTCCCAGAAGAACGGAAGACGGGCATAAAACCCCAGAAAATAAAATAAACGGCAACAGAAAAGAAAGGGAAGAAAAGGAAGAGTCTAGGGAAAAGGCAGCAAGGAAAGGGCCGCTGGTTAGACCCAGAAGCCTCGGCAGGAGGAACAGGCTTGAAAACCTCCGTCCCCAACCCGAACGGGCCAGCCCTCTAAGTCGTCCAAGTCTCAGCACCAACTAAAACCCCGCCCCGACCCCGAAACCCGCAGACGGTCAGGAGCCGAGAACAGGGAGCGGAAAGGGGCGAACAACACCTAACCAAAACGGGGCGGCCCCAGGGCATCCAGATGGGCAACCAACCTAGGGTGTTGCAGCAACCTAAACCAAGCTTGCAATGCGGATGGCGCCTGTACTCCAAACAGTAAGGACATCAGGAAAGTACTGGAGAATAAGCAGAGAACACAACTTGCAAGACTCCGGGTCAAGGTGTCAGTGACAACAGGCAGCATGAAGGAGGTAAAAAGAGGTGACGGTCACCCTGAGACAAGGGCACAGCAACCAAAGAACCCGCACAAGATGGGTTGGAACCTGGAAGACACATCCACAGGTCCACCAAGCTCCGACAGGGTTTTCCAGGGCCCGACGTAGGATGACAACTACGGGAAGCCTGGGCAAGGTGTTGCTAACCGGTTAACACAAATCTAACAAGGGGTAGATGCTAACACTGAAAAAAACCTGCGACGTGTACAATCATGGGAGCCTAGCAGTGGGCCAGCAAACAATACCAGTGGAACTATAGCCACACTAGGCAGACCCCCACCAGGCAAATGAAAATAAAAAGAAAAGAAAACCCCCACAAAAGTACACCTTCCCCAGAGGCAACAGGAACTGGTCGCCGCATAGGTAGCAGGTTACACATCACCTTGATGCCTCAACCAGCATGAAACCAGTCCCTACCCAAGGCCAAACAAGGGCCCCAAGCCCCAGCTGGCCCCAAGGGCGAGGCAAATGCCGAGCAGCAAGAACCCCTACGGGAATGGGTCCTGAACACCCAGGGCAGATAATCCTAACACACAGCTGCAGTACACACAGGGCGCTTAGGGAAGGAAGCCCCTAAGCACATGCAGTCCTGGTACTGAGGAGGAACACCTGGCCACCACACAACACAAAAACACAGCAGTGAGCTGTGGAGGCAAACACCGCCTAGGAAACTACGGCCAGAAAAGCGCCTGTCCCAGTTGACATTAGCTTACAAACTGAAGTGCTATGCAGCCGGGGCGGTGAGGTCTGGGCCTTCCTCCCCCCCCACCCCTTCTCTTCCCCTCTAGGAGAGGGGAGGGCTGCATGGATGAGCGGCATGGCAGTAGTGTCAAACAAGCAAACGTTTGCTTGTTTCCTTGGGATAGAAGGGAGTTCTACCTCTCTTCAGTTTTTTGTTAGTTTCTTACCATGTGGGGTTTCTTTTGTTATGCCTACCTTTCTGGGTGCCTAACCCCCCGGTCGATAGCAGATAAGGAAAAACCCCAACCACAGGAGGGAAGGGGGGTTCCAGGGGCCATTGCTCCCTGAAACCTCTCTGAAGGGGCCAGGTTCTGGCTCATGGTCCCTGGTAGGTCTGAACTCCATAGCTAATGTCCCGGTCTAATATAAAATACATTAGCCCGATAAGCTCCAGGGAGCCATAGGGGCTCCCCTCAGAAAATAAATAAATAAAATAAATTAACAAATACATTAGGTCCTTTTATGTGCAAAGTATTTTTGCATCAATTTACTCTTCCTCTGGGATTTTTGAAGATTAACTTTATTTGTAATGCTCTTGGGTTCTATTTCATGCACCTAAGGAGTGTTTCATGTCTGGGTTATTTCTGACGTATAGAGCTTTATAATTATTAATAGCACTGAGAATGTAGGGTAAATGTTCAGCATGATTAAGGTTTTGAACAAAGTGTATGTTGTCTGAAGACAGAAGTAAGTAGTAATAATCCAAGAAGACACCAAGCCGGGAAGGCTATGTAGCACTATGTAGCAACTCTGTCTGAAGACAGAGATTGTTATACAGTAGTTCTTATCACCTAATTTCTCACCCTGATGTACTTGTTGACATGACACACATCAGACAGCTCTTCCAGCTCCGTCACAAACTGCTGAATGCGTTCTAAGGTGTGGTTGACCTCACCTGACCTTTCCACCAACATCTCTTCAAATTCTTGTTTTAAATCCTCCAATGACTGAAGAAATAATACAGTAACATTATTATGTAACAAAAAACTAGCATTGAATGTAATGAAATACCATTTTCTGGGTGAGCCCAGGAGGCTCCCTGAAGCTATCCAAACTGATATGTACAATATTAATTTGAGGTCAACAGTCACAGGAGTTCTTATGCATACCAGAACCACGAGCCAGAACCTGGTTCCCTCCGAGAGGTGCAGGGAGCAATTGCCTACAATCACTTTACATTTAAAGTATGTTGTAATTGCCATTGACTGCGGAAGCACCCAGAAAGATAGATGAAACAAAACGGACCATAATCTGGTGAAAACTGCGACCGCCGTCCAAACATAGCAGAAGAATTCCCCCAGAAAGAAAACAAATAAACAGCACTTCATCCAACTAGCACTCCCACTCGTTAGTGCTAACCCCACCCCCACCTGACAGAGGGGTAGGGGGATCCATGCAGCCCACTACTCCAGTTCTTGAACGATAAAGACCGCCGACCAGAGGGAGGGAGGGTATCAGGGATGCCCATACGTTTGACAAAGTCAAAGGAAGGAGGTGGTGTCAACCGTCCACTCCGTGGAATGAAGCACAACAAGCCAACTGCCAGGACATTGGACACTCCCTGAATGTGAATGGTGTGGAGAGCTAAACCTTGAGAACTGGGCAGAAGAGCTACACGAAATGACCAGCCCCAAAGAGCCACGGACCGAAGATACCCTGACCCTCGGTTGAGATAAGAAACCATGGGGGAGCAGTCCGAATGGAGTCTGAGCACCGAGCCCCGAGGAACCTGAATTTGTCACAGCGCTTGCCACACTGCTGCAAACTCCCACACTGAGCTGTGAACCTGACGCAAGGACAGACCCCAAACATCCTTGGGTGGACTGTTGAGCACTGATTGAAAAACTCCAAACAAGAGACAAGGCATCTGTGAACACATCGAGCAAGGGAAGAGGAAGGCATCATGGCACCGAACCCCAAAAAACCGGAAGAGGAAGCCAAAGATGCAGCAAACTGACACAAGGACACCAGGGAATGAACCAGCGATCACGAGTGATTAAAGAGACCGTCCCAAAGATACCAGAACAGCCTCCGAAGCCAGACCCTGCCCAGTGGATAAACTAGTAAGGCAAAGTGCAGAGTGACCCGGGCCCCTCCTTCCCCCCTCAAAACAGCTGAAGGCAGCACCACAACTAGAGCAAAGCTACAGGAGGGAGAGAAACAGTGACAGTCCGAAAACACCACACTAAACCCAGCCAAGGCCGAACCTGGGACAGAACCAACCGAGACTTCCGCCAAGTTACTAGGAACCCGAACCCGGCAAGCTGGTGTTATGACCCCAGGTAGCCTGGGGAAACGAGTCTACCTGATGAGAGTTATTCTGCTTACCTGACCAGAAATTAAGAGGTCAGTAGGAGAAAAATATGCAATAAACATCAGTGGGCAATTTAATAATACAGGCAGAGAATGAGCATCTTGTCAATGTTAGTGGAGATGGAATGTCAACAGTTTGTGACATTGTGACACTAGCGGACAACGGAACATCACTTGAGTTGCCGCAGTCGTCAGAGATGGACGGCCGTTTCAGTGTCTTGGGAATATTGAAGAATACAGCTCTGGATGAAGTGTTTGAGTGCTAGCTATGATGCATAACTGTTGAGGATGCTGCCAAGGGTGCGACACACATTACTTCTCAGCATTTGTGAAGATTTGGAGACGACCTGAAGCCTAGTGGTGGTCGTACCTGTGTGGAACTCTAAATCATAGTATCCTCAGGTGGAGGAGAATAGGCAGGTGTTTTTGTGTGGAGCCTGCCAGGCGACTGTGTGAGCTCAAGTCAGGTCCAGAAGAGCTGTGTGGCAGACATTAAGTAACTTTGTTGGACGTCTTAGAGGGAGCCGGTCGGCCGAGCGGACAGCACGCTGGACTTGTGATCCTGTGGTCCTTGGGTCGATCCCAGGCGCCGGCGAGAAACAATGGGCAGAGTTTCTTTCACCCTATGCCCCTGTTACCTAGCAGTAAAATAGGTACCTGGGTGTTAGCTGTCACGGGCTGCTTCCTGGGGGTGGAGGCCTGGTCGAGGACCGGGCCGCGGGGACACTAAAGCTCCGAAATCATCTCAAGATAACCTCAAGATAACGCCATCTTGGAGCTCCCCCAAGCTACAAATTCTGCGGTAAGATCTTTCATCAGCTGTTTTAATGGTTGCCTGTGAATGGTCGTGTGCCCAGCAATCATGCAAGTGCATATACATGTAGAATAGTATCCACTCAATTTAACAGCCTCTTTTATACCGATCTGCCGGTAATAACGACCGGTTTAGGAGACCGGTATCGAGAGCCTCATATACCAGTCTGGCGGTCGATATTACCGAAGGCCGGTATTGGATTTGTTTTGGCATCAGGGAGGTCCTCACATGGCAAGCAGGCCGCCTACCTCAATTGTCCCCTCCCTCACCCTCACTGAACCTCTCCCCCACTCCCTTACTCCTGCTCTCCCCCACTCCTTCACTCCTGCTCTTCCCCACACCCTCACTTCCTGCCTCCACACCCCCCAAGACCGTTCTGGGAAATGGCTCAGTAGACTGCCAGCCAGCCAGAGACAGCCTGGAGAATCTCCATCTAATACAATAAAGCATTCATGAAACAAGTATTTTATAATTTATTATCCTAATAATATCACTAAACAAAATCTGCAACCAAAAATATACATGATGATGTACATACATTCAGAATTTAAGAAACATCTAGTTAACTGGGTCAAGTGTGTTAGGCTTATCAGTGAGCCGGTCCTTCCCCACCACCGACACACCTCTCACCCCTACACCCATACATTCTCTCTTTCCGCTTCACCACAACTCAACACCCATCCCTCCCACCATCCCTCCCTCCCTCCCTCCTTCCATACCTCCCTCCCTCCCACCATCCCTCCCTCCCTTCCATCCCTCTATCCCTCCCTCCCTCCATCCACCCCTCCCTCCCTCCCTCCATCAATCCATCCTTCCATCCATCTCCATTCTCTCCCTCCCTGCCTACCTCCCAGCCTCTGCCTGCCTGCCTGCCTCCCTCCCTCTCTGCCTCCCTCCCTCCCTGCCTACCTCCCAGCCTCTTCCTGCCTTCCTGCCTACATTTCAGCCTCTTCCTGCCTGCCTGCCTACATTTCAGCCTCTCCAACCCTGCCTGCCTGCCCATCCACCCACCAGTCAGCCATCACTGACACAATGAGTGCATTTGGAGCCGACATGGGGCACAGATGTTCCTTGATTGTGCAGATATGTTCAACAAAGTCACGGAAAGAACACTCCAGCCTCTTGAAAAATCAAAACAATATGCCATGAATCTGACGTCACAGGGTAGAAGGCACTAGAGTGGTGGACCAAGTGGCAGTCTGTACAAAATATATCTTACCTGAATGTTACTTGAAAAATTATCGACACTTAATTTCGGAAATATTGGAGCTGCGGAAATAACGACCAGGGTACAGCCCCATATAGGCCGTTAAATCGAGTAGATACTCCATTACTCTTTTTAAGTACAGATACTCTTTTTAATAAGACAATGAGCTAAAATAAGCAGTTAGATATAAAAGAACATGCTGGAGGAAGGAGTGATACATCCTCTCTCGCAGGAGGTCAGTGGACAACTGGGGGGCGGAGGCTCCCAGTTTCTCTACCAGGACTGAGGCCTCGGCCTCATGAGGCCGTCAAGACATGTTTCCAGTGTGGACTCACTCCGGGATGGGAGAGAACCCACCACAGTTGGACAGCGCGGAGCGACGTCGGAGGGTGTAATTTAGAGCTGGGATACAGGTTTATTATTGATGTTTTGTTAGGAAAACATTTTATTGGCATGGTAATGGAATTGTAGGTTTGTGTGGGAAGGAGTTAATGGAGGACCTTAGAGGCTGGAGAAGAAGTGTATGCTGAACTGGTATAGATAGTTGGTTAAGTCAGGATGTGATATTGGAGTGTGACCAGTTTGTAGCAGCTTAAAAGTGTTGTACAGTAATAGTATATTATATATCTTTTGTTGTGTATGTTTTTATGTATTCAATGTTTGCTAACAGCTTGTCTTTGCTCTTGTTCTGGTGAGGTTTCCCAGAAAGTGAGAGAAAGAGAGAGAGAAAAAGAGGGGGTCACAGTTGCATACAGGGTGACAGTGGACAATAATTCACAAAAAGGGGATTTAGGAGAACATCCCAAACAAGGAGAGCGTGAGGAATCATAGCAGCTTGAGTAGGGTGTGTACTCAAGACAACAAGGCCAGTTTAGGAGCTGCACCCCTAAATAAAGGTGATGCTGAAAACCTTTCAAAGATAAAGAAGCGTACAGGGTGACCTTCCAGGTAATTGCAAGCACTCCAGTGTCCATTGCTGGTCAACCATCAGTAGCAGAAGTGTGGTTGCCCAGGTCAGCTGTTTTTCTATCAGGGAGTGGTTGGGGGGGTCTATTCATATGTATGCAAGTAACAGTCTGGTGCAATAACCAGCTCTCTTGGGTAAAATCCCTAACCCCCCACCCCCCCTCAATATTGTGTAAGAACCAGAACCCTGGCTAGCAGACAAGCAGACCAGCAGGGAGCCCATATCAACCAGTCATCGAGGCAGGGTACCAGCCAGGTACCTTGTAATGCCTCCAAATGCATTACGATCAGTGTAAGAGGAACCAAACTCAAACAAAACCAGAGCCAACAGAGGCGAAAACCAGGTCTTGCTGGTCCGTGTACAGTAAGACACCTGGCCACCACACCACACATACTGCTGGTACAGCCACACAGGGCAAGATCCATCACAGGAACTTAAGGGAAGAGGTGACTGAGCTGACCCTAGCACCTCAATTTCAAGAACAGGAGTGGTGCTGTCGGCTCACCCTCCCCCCCCCCCTATTGAGTGGGGGAGTGTAGCACTAATGAGAGGGAGTGCTAGTTGGATAAAGTTTTGCTTGCTTGTTTGTTTTCGTTCTGGGGAGTTCTTCTGCTATGTTCGGACGTAGGTCGCAATTTTCACAAGAATGTGGTCTGTTTTGTTACACCTACCTTTCTGCGTGCTTCGTCAGTCAATGGCAATTACAACATACTTTAAATGTAAAGTGCTCGTAGGCCATTGCTCCTTGCACCTTTTTGAGGGAGCCAAGTTCTGGCTTGTGATTTCCGGTAGGCATAAAGACGCCTTTGACTGACGACCCCAAACTAATATATTACCTATCAGTTTGGATAGCTTTAGGGAGCCGACAGGGTTCCCCACAGAAATAAAAATTCAGATTAACGAAATTATATCCACTAATGTTTTCAGTATAAAACAAGAATATAAGGACATGCAATGTTAATTGAGAAAACAAACTCTGAATGTAATGAAACACCAATTTCTTGGAAAGCCCCGGTGGCTCCCTGAAGTTACCATCTCCAGTGTAGGTAAGATCAGTCATGGAATTCTCTGACCTACTGGGGACCCAGCAACAGACTCTGGTCCCTTCACAGAGGCACAGGGAGCTGTGGCATTTAAATACTAAGTTATTAACTTATGCCACCACCAAGTAAGGCACTCAGAAATTTTGCAAGACAAAACAAACCACAGCTGGCTGCCTCCATGACCTGCAGGCTCGAAAATGGCTACAGAACTCCCCAAACTACACTATGTAAACAATCGAAAATGTTACAAAACTAGCATTTGCTTGGTTGGGCAAGGAGGCAGGCAGACCACAGCTTACAGGCCAAAATTTTGGGGGATTCAATGAAGAAAGCATTGATAAAAGCAGTCTACACAACAAGTTGGCAAAATTAGATATTATAGTGAGCTTTCATGTAGAAATAATCAGTAAATTGAATGAAAGTAATGACTATTGGTGTAGCAAAGTTTCATGTCTTGAGGGTTTAGTGAAAGATTTGTGCAAGGACAAGAATCAATTGGAAATACATTGCAAAGCCATGGAAGAGGAAAATAAACTCTTAAAAATAGCTTTGGAAGAAGTTAAAGCAAATTTAAACATAAATGACTACATTAGGTTAGGTAAGGAAATTCAACAGGAGAAACAGCTTTTGTCAGCACAGATGGAGGAAGTTACACAGGGAATAGAACAGTGCAAGAAGGATATGCAACTTACCTATGCACAAGTGGCCAAGGAGAAGGAAAAAAATTGAAGTAGTAGTAAAGGAAGCCAAACACTGCAGCAACCAGGATAAAACAAACATTAGGCTGGAAGTGAGAAAGGAATTGGCATCTAACCCTAAGCTGGTGCAAAACACAGTTGATCGAAGTAAGTCCCTGATCATTTTTGGTTGCAAAGGAGATAACTTCTAGGTCCAAAAGAGCTGTAGAAGAAGCAAAAAGTAGTAGATAAAATTGTTGGCCTCGTGGAAGGTCTTACTACCATAGAGAATGTGAGCGACTACAGGAGAATAGGCAGGTACGTAAAAGGGAAAGATTGAAACTTTGAGGATCACCCTAAACGGTGCCAAACAGATGGAAGAAGTACTAAGGAATGCTAGAAAACTACAAAGTGATGAGGATGGGAAAGTGTGGTCGTTAAGACGAGATCTTTCAAGAGAAGACAGAGAGAAGCTGAAACTAAACCTCGTAGAGGCAAAACGTCTAAGTGAGAGCAGAAATGAAGAAGAAATTAATTCTATACTTTTTATTTTTATATATTTATATTTTATAATTCTATACTTTTCTGAAATTAATACAGAATTATATCAACATGTTTGCTGATGATGCTTAGATAATAGGGAAGATAAGAAACCTAGATGATTGTTATGCTCTTCAAGAAGACAAAATAAGTATATGGAGCAACACTTGGCAAATGGAATTTAATGTGAATAAATGCCATGTTATGGAATGTGGAATTGGAGAACATAGACCCCACACAACCTATAAATTATGTGAGAAATCTTTAAAGAATTCTAACAATATCGTATCGTATCCTGGCCGGGGAGGATTTACTGGGCGCAAATCCTTAACTGTAGCCTCTGTTTAACGCAACAGTAAAATGTGTACTTGATTATAACAACGATTCTTCGCGGTGGGGATCGTATTCCAGGGTCCTGCCCGAAACGCTACACGTACTAATATCTGTACAAAAATGTAACAACTCTTGTCTTTTAAATCTTTAAAAAAAAAAAAAAAAAAAAAAAAAAAAAAAAAAAAAAAAAGGATCTAGGGGTGTTCTAGATAGAAAACTGTCACCCGAGGACCACATTAAGAACATTGTGCGAGGAGCCTATGCTACACTTTCTAACTTCAGAATTGCTTTTAAATACATGGATGGAGAAATACTAAAGAAATTGTTCATGACTTTTGTTAGACTAAAGCTGGAATATGCAGCAGTTGTATGGTGCCCATATCTTAAGAAGTCCATCAACAAACTGGAAAAGGTGCAATGACATGCTACTAAGTGGCTCCCTGAACTAAAGGAGAAGAGCTACGAAGAGAGGTTAAGAGGCAATAAATATGCAAAAACTAGAAGATAGAAGAAAGTGGCACAATATAATCACTACATTCAAAATAATAACAGGAATCGATAAAATCAATAGGGAAGAATTCCTGAGACCCGGAACTTCAAGAACAAGAGGTCATAGATTTAAACTAACGAAACAAGGCTGCTGGAGGAATACTGTATAAGAAAATTCACTTTTGCAAACAGAGTGCTAGACGGTTGGAACAAGTTAGGTGAGGTGGTGGTGGAGGCCAAAACCGTCAATAGTTTCAAAGCGTTATATGACAGAGTACTGGGTAGACGGGACATCACGAGCGTAGCTCTCATCCTGTAACTACACTTAGGTAATTAGGTAATTATTCCACCATCAGTTCAACAAATTTTGTACGAACTCCTTGGTAGGAGAGGGTGTCAGGGGGCCAACGGGGCTCGCCCAGAAACTGGCATTTCATTACAATCAATGCTCATTTTCTGGGAGGAGCCTCCTGTGGCTCCCTGAAGCTATCTACCCATGGAGAATGAAGAAATGGGTGCTTACCACGGAGAGAGCACGTGGAGCATACGAGCAGGCACTAGTTCTGTAACATTTTCAATTATTTGCATTAATAGTTTGGGGAGTTTTATGGCCATTTTCGAGCTTGCAGGTCTTGGAGGCAGCCAGCTGGGATTTGTTTTGTTTTGCTAACTTTCTGGGTGCCTTCCTGAATGGTGGCATAAATGAATAACTTAATATATATAAAAGCCACAGCTCCTTGTGCTTCTGTGAAGGGACCACGATCCAGTGCTGGTTCCCCAGTAGGCCAGAGACCTCCACAACTGATGGTACCTTCAGGGATGGTCACTTCAGAGAGCCACACGGGCCTCCACCAGAAAACAAGTTCAGATACAGTTTGAAAAGATATTAGAAAATAAAATGTCATCAATAGTATTGAAATATACAAGCAACAAAATATATTAGTGACCTCAACAGCTCGATCAATGACAGGCTTCAGCTTAGATGGCCAGACAATGACAGAAGCAGTGGTAGCCAAGTCATCAGGAGTCAGATGCACAACATCCAAAATCACCTGTACAAGAAACCAATTTTACATATATTGTATTATACAAAGCAATACATCAATTATTCAATCACCATCGTATTTCACAGAAAATGATTAAACTGATAACCATTATTGTTATAGAACTATTACATAATTAAAAGCAATATATATATAATGGCTCTTTGTAATAAATTCAACATATAAAATATTGTGAATGGTATACCTTGAGCCTGACAACCATTGCAGCTACCTCCTCTGCCAGACGGTGGATGGTAATGCGACGCACTTCTTCCACATATTCCATCAGTTTGAACAGCTCATCTGTAGACTTTGGTACCTCCTGAATATGTTTGTGAATCGTTTCAAATTGTTGGTTGAGCCTTGGCAGAAACAAAATTGAATTAAATTAATTTATTAATGTCACTTATGTCTACACCTCGGCTTACAAATGCCCCTATTTACGAACTTTTCGGGTTACAAGCCCAATTTCTTCGTAAAATCCGAATCAGGTTACGAGCTTTGCATTGGGAAACGAAGTTTGTTGATACACGTATGGCCGACCTAGCACTTGGTGGCATGGCAATCGCACCTCAGTTTACCCGTGCCTCCTGCCTAGTGACAATCGTGCCTGAATTCTTTGTAACGAATTAGTTTTTTTGGATTTTGGGAAATATGAACATAAAAGTTGTTATTATATATCTTGCCATTGGTCCCAAGAAAGCCAGTGGTAAGGTTCAAGGCAGGAAAATACATGTGAAAATGACCAGAGAGGAAAAACAAGATCATTCGTAAACATGAAAATGGTATGAGGGTTGTTGAGGTAGAGTAGAGGATGTTCCTACCTCATTAAGAAAATATGTGCAGTATGGGAAGAATTGCAAAGTTTTGCTGAAAATTGTTACCCAAATCAAGCTGTAGCAGACTGTTGTGTTAACCTTTTTAATGACAATGTGATGTCTCACTTCAGACGTGTTACAATGTAGGGAAAAACAAGTGTCGCTAGAAAGGTTTTTAGTGAGAAAAACAAGCAGTGAGCCACAAGCAGGTCCCTAGTGGTATGCAGGCAAAACGTGCCAGAGAATGTACCCCAGAGAAATCATCACTGCCTGATGTTATAATGAAAGGGGACTTCCCTTCCAAACACTAGCACCTCTCCTCTTTCCCCTTCTTCACCGTTTTCCATGTGCCAGCAAGAGTCATCAGTAAAGGTAAGTAGTAACTTGTACATACTTTAGTACAGTACTGAAGATTTGGGTGAATAAGGTATAAAATTTACTTTGAAGTTAATTTTTTGGGGAGTCTGGAAAAGATTAATTCACTTTACATTATTTCTTATGGGGAAATTTGCTTCAGTTTACGAATATTCGGCTTACGAGATGTCTCAGGGAACAGATTGAATTCGTAAGCTGAGGTATCACTGTATTACTTATTTCTCTCATTACCCACTGAACTAAGGGAGACCACTGCTGATCCCAGGGTGATGAACATATGGCATGTAATTACCAAAGTGTAATTACCTAAGCGTAGTTACAGGATGAGACCTACGATTGTGATGTCCCGTCTTCCCAGCACTGTCATGTAACACTTTGAAACTACTGACAGTTTTGGTCTCCACCACATTACCTGCTTTATGGGGTTCTGGGAGCTTCATCACTCTGGCAAGGAATGGACCAGCTTCACTACCAGGGAGTTCTTTTACTCTCCAAGCCCGGCCCGAGACCAGGCTTGTGAGAGCCTGGTCCAACACGCTGTTGCCAAGAACGGGCCCACAGGCTCACATATCCATCATAGCCCAGTTGGTCTGGCACCTCTTGAAAAAAAACTATCTACTTTTCTCTTGAAGACGTCCACGGTTGTTCCGGTAATATTTCTTATGCGGTGGTATCTTGGTTTACAACTGCATAGATTATGATTTTTTGGGGTGTATGACATCAAATTCCTTGTAACATATGACTTGGTGTACAACATTTGCCTTGGAATACAATGTCTGTTGATACTTATATGGGTCGAGGGAGCACGTGGTTCTGCACCTCTTGTCCTTCAGTTCCAGGAGCCATTTAGTTGCACCTCTTTACATCTTTTCCAGTTTGTGCACTTCTTAAGGTATGGGCACCATATAATTGCTGCAATTCCAGCTTTGGTCTAAAAAAAGGTCGTAAACAATTTCTGTAGTATTTGACCATCCATGTACAGTACTGTACTTGTAATCAATTCTAAAATTTGAAAGTATAGCATAGGCCCCTCAAACAATGTTCTTTATGTGGTCCTCAGGTGATGTAAAACTATCTAAACCAGCCCTAGATCTCTTTCTTTATCAATTTTTTTTTTTAAGATTTTAAACATAATGTGTAGGTTGTGCATGGTCTATGTTCTCCTATTCCATAATATGGCCTTAATTCACATTAAATTACATTTGCCAAGTGGTGCTCCATACACTTATTTTGTCCAGGTCGTTTTGAAAGGCGTGACAAACGTCTAAGTTTCTCATCTTCCCTAGTATCTTCACCACATCAGCAAATATGCTCATATAATTCTGTATTCCTTCTGGTAGGTCATTTATGTAGACAATGAACATTACCAGTGCAAGAACTGAACCCTCTGGTTCTCCACTCATGACATTTCTCTAGTCCGATACATTGCCTCTGATTACTGCCCTCATTTTCTTGTCTGTTAGAAAAAATTTCAGACATGTTAGAAGCTTCCTTGCCACTCCTCCAGTATGTTCCAGTTTCCAGAACAACCTCTTATGTAGAACTCTTTCGAAAGCCTTTTTTAGGTCCTGATACAGTACATGTATTCAACTCGACCATTTCTTTCCTGTAAAATCTCTAATTTGATCATAGAAACTGAGTAAATTCGTAACACAGTATCTTCCAGATCGAAAACCATACAGTCTGTTATTATATAATTTTTCTCTACTTATTAAGTTTTAATTATTTTTCCAACATTTTGACTATTACACTTGACAATGATGTATGTCAATAATTGAGGGGGGGTCTTCCCTGCCGCCTCTTTTGTAGACAAACTATGTTAGCCTTTTTCCACACATCTGCTAGGATTCCTGTACACAGGAATGCCTGAAAAATCAGTTTAAGTGGAATGCTGAGCTCAGGTGCACATTTTCTCAGAACCTAAGGTGAAACTATCTGGGCCAACTGCTTTGTTCTTCCCTGAATTTATCCGAGAGTCACTAACACTAGTGGCCTGGCTGGGGACAGGAAGCCGGCAGCTTGTCGAAATTCTCCCCCCCCCCTCTCCCCATTTTCCTTGATCTTTTCCAATGGTACTTTAAAAGTTAACAGTTTCGGCATTTATGGCTTTGGTGGGTAGGCAGTTCCATGGGTTTATAACCCTGTAGGTGAAAAAGCATTCTATTCTCAGTCCTACATTGTGGAGAAACTGTTGCTCCTTGTTTGTGTTACATCTGATCTTTCGAATTAATTCTCCAGATCAACATCCTCCAAACTGTTCAGCATTTTAAAACTTTCATTGAGATCTGCCTTGTCATGCCTGGTTTACAGTGTTGTTAATCCTGTGGCCCTCAAATGTTCCTGATGCGTGAGTTGACTTAGCTCTGGAATGATTTTTGTTGCCAGGTGTTGCACTTTCTCCACAACAGCTATGTCCTTCTGAAGATCAGGTCTCCATGCTTGGATACAGTAATCCAAATGAGGGTACACCAGAGGTTTATACAATTGAATCACTACCTTCTTTTTCTTAATGTCAAAGATACACTTGATTATTTCAAGTGTTTGATTACCTTTTTTGACTGCTGCCCCTACCTGCTGTGCAATTTCATTGAGTGGTGGATTTTCATTACAAGGGCGATGAAGAAAAGTACCTTGAAGTCGATGAAGAAGCTAAGTTGACCTTACCTAGCTCTTTGAACATTTTTCCACTGTCTCTAGACACCTCTATGTACTTTATGTTGTTCTCTGGAATTCTTATTGTATCTGGTTCTCTGAAGATTTAATTTTCCACACATTTTCATTTAAATTTCAGGAAATCTGTTTCCTAATTTGAACCTTTGAATATTATCCTTTATCTGCAATTTGCTTTTGATAAATTTACAGAATAGGCCTGGTTCTGTTTTACATTTGTCTGCCATCCCTTTCTCAAAATTTCTTTCCGCTTCTCTTCTCACTACCATGTAGTTGTTTCACGCTTTTTGTATCGCTGGTATATTTGAGGGTTTGGCTGCAAACCCTCAATGATGTGTGAGTGATGTCTTTTTTTAATAACACTGATGTTAGTGTTAACAATAATAACAGCAGTAGTAGTATTAGCATAGGTATTAATGGTAATGGGGGGTAGAGGTAACATTGGTAACATTGATGATAATAAGAACATTGTAGGTAATGGTGATTATGTCAAATTGTAATGGTTACAATTTATCGTATGTTGGAGAGACTGGTCAAGGTTTGTTGAATGAGTTGATAAACACAAAAACATAAATAACAAAATTTGGTTAGCCATTGCTAACCATTATTGGGGTTTTAATCATATGATGGATTTTAATAATAGTAATATTGTATATATCTGCTCAAATATCAGAGATGCCTAATATGAGTAATTAGAGATTCTATAGAGACAGAAAAGGGGCAATAACCCTTAGTAAATACAATTAACAGTAAAATTGTTCTTAACGAAGCAAAATTAAAAATCTCATTAAATTGTATAAGCACAGATCTTGTGGTGTTTAGAGTGGGGAGAATGATTATGCAGACCCCTGCCCACAGTTCCAAGAAATCAAGGTAATTGAGCATTCTTCTGAAACTTTGACAATCCTTGGCAAGTCCCTGGGGAACACAATCACACTGACATATAATGATGGACACCCGTCAGGTGCTCTGCCAGACATATCAACACAAACTCATAGAATCTTGTCCAGCACATTGTTTACAGCACCTTGCGAAAGGATGTAGTTGTGACAATAATCTCCTTCAAGAGATTGAGCCTGCTCTTCCCTCCACAAACACGTCGTTGAAATTATATAAAACGACTATGGAAGACATGTCCAACAACAACAACAACACCAGCAAGGCTTGCCAGGGTGAGCAAAACGTATGCAGCCAGCCACCTGTTCGGACTCAAACCACCAAACTACATGTTGATCGCTACCGGCTCCGCTGATTGGTCGCCGGTCTGGCTGCACCTGCACTCGCCCCCCCATACTACTTGATGTCTGGGGTCGCCCCAACCTCATACCTCAGAATGTTCAGTGCTCTCGTTGTCACCACTCCTCCCGGCTAGACGCTAGCGTGTACTGAGAGAAGTGGTGGCTTAAAGCCAATATTCCAACACCTCCCATTTACTTTTGTATTGCACTTCTTGTTATTTTGCCTTAACGTAACTTTTCATTGTGTCATCTAATTATTCT